ATTACGACACCCACAGAAAAGAAAGGCGTGGTCCGTTCTATACCGGGACCACATGGCAATAATATCGCTTTATGCTAGGCTTGTAACAGGACTAGTAGCGACTGAAAACCAGTTTATTATAAAACTAGTTTTTACCTGCGACTTCTTCCGTATGACTGGATAATGTTTACTAACTAGAATAAAAAGTAGCCTATATCTTTCTCCATCCCAAATCAAATTTTCATATTGATTGATTAAGAGCCTAAGAGGTAACAAGCAACCAATTTCACTTTCCAATTTTAATATTAACAAGAAAGTAAGGATTCTTCTAAATTTATTTAATGAGTACATTATATATTATGTGTATATTTATTATGCCATAGATATAATTCTATGTCAAATTGATGTCATGTGTACAGGGTTGTTTTAATATAGTATTAATTAGCACCTCTCTGAATCTTAGAACTATTGCAATATTATTAGGGAACAATAAAGAGTTTTCATTCATGTGTTCATTGTTCAATGGTGCTTATGTCCTTACCTTATACTATCAATAAACAATTGAGACAAATATGGTACCTATCTAAACTAGATCAAGGTTTCATTATTATATTAATTTCAGCAATTTCTATAAGAATATTTATACTTAAAACACTTAAATCAGTTTAATGGCTGCAACTTAATATACTTGTAATTTATTAGGTATTTATAGTCATGATTGAGAACACATAGATACTTACATAAGGGTCCGTATATAAAACTAAACAGTTTACCCACATAAAATTTCTGAACTTAAAAGAGATTTCATAAGTTTGACGTTTAAGTTTAAGTTTTACACTATAGTCATGTAATATACTTACATAATCATAGTATTCAAGGCCTGCGCAAATGATGGGTGATTAGTGCAAGTGTTTATAACAATTACATGTTACAAAAAATTCAGGCATTTGTAGTATGCATTTGTCAAGACCAATTTAGAAAAGTACGTTTCTTAATATATACTTTTAATAAAATTTCCTAATTTGATCTGATTGAGAATAGAATTCAGCACTTAAATTAGGCAACATACCTTCTAATAGTTCTGGACAAGAGCAGCGCGATATATTCATTCCTGTTTTGCCAATAAACAACTATGCTTCAGATTGTTTTTTTATTTAAAATTAGAAACATGGCAATTGACTAAACATGTATGCAAGGGGGGAAAGGGATTGTTAGTAATGAAGTTTGACAGCACCATTGCTAGCAATATACCCTATTAGGTCGACCTCCACGTGGTTCCCCCTGGAAACCATCGTGAACAATTCTTGTTGAATTCGTCACGATGGGCTAACTGACCTGCTTCGTCTTCACCTATCATTCTTCACTGTTGCCCCGCCGGTGTAAACCGATAGCGCGGGTGGGGTTACCGACTACATTATCACCCACAAAAAAAAAATTATGCAAGTATCACGATATAAACAGTACTATTTACGTCTATAAGCGATGGTAATCAGATGGACTAAACGCTTATTTGCCTACCCAAGTCTAAAAATAAAAGTAGTTCCTATTATTTCTGAGGAAAAGATACTAAACATTTAAAAGGGTCTAGTTTTATAAAGTTTTGAAACAATGGTCAATTATTAATGATTTAATGTTTTGCGTGACTAGATAGATGGCTCTGTAATCGGCACGATAGCAACAAATAAATAAATTTTCGTTGAGTGCGCATGTTTCTCGTCTCCTAAGACTAAGTAGGTATGTGTATATTCATAAGGGCTTTCTTACGAAAAATAAATCATAATATTGGCGCTCTCAAATAAATACACAAATAATAATTTATTGGTGGTTACTCTGTTTGATTCATAGATTCTTTTCTTTACTGTTCTAATAAAAATTATAATATTTTATATATTTATTATGATTTATTATGTATGATGTATGTATTTATTACGTATATATTTATTTATTTATTATGTTTGTATATGTTTTATTAGTGTAATTATATGTTTATATATAGCATTACTTTATATTTTCTTAATTCATGAGTGTAACGCTTACCTGTTTCTCTGTTTGCCCAATGGTTCACTGGTAGAGAACACCATTGGATGTTAAGTCCACCAAATGTATTTTATCACACTCCACATTTATACTGTACATTAAAATTAAAAAATAAACAAAAAACTCATGCATTATACAGTTGAGTTTGTATATGTAATGTAACTTATGTATATACTAAAACTTTTAAAATCTTTTTACTCATTTATTAGTGTAAATGTTTCCTCATAAGTTTATGATGTAAATCGGCCAATTGTGATATCAATATTAAAGTATAAAGATGAATTTGGTGAAACAAGGTTAATAAAATACAAAAGCTTTTCAAGAGATAAGTACCTTTTACATAATACCAAATTAACGTTAAAGTTCCTAAATCCAGAATAAAACGATATTCCTCTTAGCAGGCTGAAATCAATTTCGATCATCTATGGCGACCCAGAATATCTTGTACTTACACTAAATTATAGTCTTTAGAAATGAAATATTGAATTTAATATGCCCTCAATAATATAAAAAAAATTACCGGAGATTACGTGACTAGTTACAAATAACGTGTCTATTGTTAAATAATCTATACATTTCTATCCGTATACGTATGTTGATAATTGTCGCAATTTTTATTTAATTTAATATCCTAAAGAATAATGGTAAAGAATGAATTTAATTCAATAATGTATCATGTTTCGTGACTCATTTGGTTCTTGACCGAAGCGAAGGCCGAAAACTCTATCTACTTTGTGCACGATTACATAGGGTACTTGCATCGAATCTGAGGTCAACACGCGCTTACAGCCCACATCGAAATATTACAGAAAATTATTTTTTTTTTTCTAAATAAAATACTTAAACATATTAATTACATAATTGATGAAGAAAGGAGGGTAATGATGTTAGTATACTGGTTGACACTAAACAGGCTTGTCTTAGAATATGTGTTGTACCTACTTGGAATAAGTACCTATCACGTACATATAAACCGTCAAACGCTTATTAAACATTTGAATTTTTATCTTATTTGAATCTCTCTAACTACACTGGGTTGGCTGGAAGAGATGTCTTTCAGAGATAAGTCCTCCCTTGCTAACAAGTTGTTAAACTAATCGTCGCATGTATTGTTTAAGTGCAATAAAGAATATATAAAGTGCATAATAAAAGACAAATAAACTCTTATTTAAATAAATTTAATCACAAACAAGTACATTTTATTAATCAGTTATTTATAATTCTACTTCTTTAATTAGTTATGTTATTATTTGTTGTGTACAACACGCAAGTAACTTATTCTTTTAAAATACACATGTTTTATTAAATACAATGACTTCGCGTCATTATTAGTGCATTAATATAACATTTACGAATAAGTAAAATAGCGAATACTTTAATATCTATAAACATTTTGAAAAGAAAAAAAAATAGAAAAAGAATTTTCCTATTAATATGATTAATTTATAATAATTTATAATATATGATTAATTATAATTAATTTCCTCTGAGTACCATAAATTAGTAATAAATGTATACCCATCACGTCTACAACGAAGTGTGTAAGTAGTAAGTTCACCAACCAGGGGTAAGGGTGGGGGAAGGGATTGTTAGTAATGGGGTCAAATAGCCCCATTACTAACAATATACTTCTTTATAAAAAAAGCACATATATATTCATAGATTTATTATTAATGAAACAAATATATACGGCAACTGTATGTATACTTATGTATTATGAGAAAAGAAGACTTTTTTAATGGATGAAGATAAATAGTAACCCCGCCCGCGCCATCGACATATACTGGCACCAGTTAAAGAATACAGATGCGGAAGAAAACAGGCCCGTTAGCTCATCGTGATGAATTCAATTAGAATCAACCATGATGACTTCCAGGGGAAACCGCATGCATCTTCTTCACTGGTTTCTCGTCGGTGTATGCCGATAGCGCGGGCGGGGTTACCATTCCATTTTCATCTATTAAAAAAAAGATACTATGATTGAATAATTCATGTATGAATGCTGGTACGTGCTGGTGTCTGCAACATCGGTAGGGAGGTCAATTCGATATAAATAAGCTTGAATTTTCGACTTTATTTTAGAAAAGTTATAAAAAAAAATACAATTGTATATGATAGAACCGTTGGCTGGTCCGATCCAACTTTTTAAAGTCACTCCATTACGTAAAAGAGAAAAATTTAGTTTTTAAAGTAAATGGACCAATCCTAGTGTATTTCCGATGTTGCTATCGCTTCATACTTTACGTGACAAATGCCTAAACCATGCGTGATCACATTATTTTTTTACAATTTTGAGTAAAAAATTTATTAATCGCAAAATTTGAGAAAAAAATGAAATGTGTTTGGAGAAATTTTTATATTTGAGTATTTATATTTTGAAAATTTAAGATAATAGTTTTAATACTTATAAACTATACAGATACACAATTACAGTAAAATATAATATATATGACTGAAAGAAACATGACGAAAAAAGAAGCAGAGGAAAAAGTAGAAATAGAAGAAATCCTTATTTTCATCGTTTATGTTACGGCACATAGCAAAACATAGTAAACAACGATACAATTTTGTAAAAGGGTAAAAATCTTGAAAATCTTATCGATTTGAAAAAAAATATTTGGCATTTAGGTAAAAACCAAAAATCGCGGTGTGCAAATCCGGTTGATTTTTTTATTCGAATAATTAGTAATTACTAATGTTATATTTCCAATAATAAATTAATAATGTACTAATAACCGCATTCAAATGATTTTACTAATTAGTAATAAATCAGAATAACAAAGAGAAAAAGAAAGACCTGAGTTGAGAAAGACCTACAAAGAAAAAACAAAGTCCTTTCTCTATATCTACTACTACCAAGTCTGTTTTGTAGTAGTCAAATGATTTGAAAATCATTCGAATATTCCGAATGAATTGCTTAGTCGAATTATTAGTTTTCCGATTTTTATATCGAACATCGCTACTGTCAGTTGTATTCGTATCTCTCTTTCTTTTATTTATCAATAATCAATTTTTATAATTTTATTATTGTTGACAATGTATGTTTATTAAAATTGGTTAATAATACAATATATCCAAATCTGCATATTGTGCTAAATATATAACCATAAAGTACAATTTTTTGTCCAGTTTCATTTAACTGAATAGTTATTAGTTTATTAAAACAATAATACAATGGTCGACGTCTTGAAAGTATTGATTAATGCATCAGAAAAAGCAGCGTGCATTGCTCGTTCTTGTTGTAATGGAGCATCAGATGAAGTACTTTTAGTAGCTGAAAAAGGCGAAGGAGAAGCAAACGCCCGCTTTGATAAGGATTTTAAAACCATTGCCGATGTTTTAGCACAAGAATCTGCTAAAAGTGAAATAGGCGTACACAGCCCTAAACTAGCACAAAATACGAGAGGTGAAGAATGTTCTGAAATTGGAGGAATATATATTAAACTCCAAGAGACCTCTGAAAAAACAGCTGAATTGCTGAGCTCACTGGTCACTCCAAGTGTAGCTAAACGAATGTCTGAAGCAGCTCACACTCCTGTAACTCTTTCTCTTGACTTACCAAAGAATCTAGAACCAATTGATGTTAACGATTTAGGAGTTTGGATTGATCCTATTGGTAATATCTTTATTTCTAGTCTTAAATTTCATATGTAACAGTGAAATTATTAATTAAATTTTTGTTCTATTTAGATGCAACTGGAGAATTTATATCTGGAGTTCGTGGACAAGCAAATGCAGGCTGTGGTTTGCCTTGTGTAACGGTTCTCATTGGCGCTTACCTTATATCAACAGGAGAACCAGTGATGGGAGTTATTAACCAACCATTCTATAACAAGTAAGTGTTTTTGTTTATTTTTGTTTTATTGTAATACTTAGCTTTTTTGGATTTTTTTAATGCAACTTAGTAAACAAACTGAAAACTTAACTTTTATAATGGCAAATAAGCTGAAAGCCCACCTGTTGAAAAATGGTAACCATTATCTTGACAGATATAACTAGACATAAACAACACCATGGGCATTACAGGATACACTGAAATATCCATGATACCCCTTATGCATCACCATTCCTGAGGGCTATGATGTTATGCCTCTGTATCCTGTAATTTTATTGCCCTATCCCAGGTAAAATATAACAGGACAAATTGTTTTACTTAACTATATTATATTAGAAAATTCACATTTTACATTGAATAATTACAATAGTTAATAGTTGGCAATGGTAACTGCATACCATCAAGTGGACCAAATGCTTGTTTGCCACCTCCGTGGTATAAAAAAATATTTAATTTCAGTGGAAAAGGTCGGATAATATGGGGTGTAAACTATGCCAGTACTAAAGAATGGGGCACAACAGAAACAAAATCTGTGGCTCACAGTAACATTGTACTTATGAGCAGTGCTGAAAATTTAGATGTTGTTAATAAATTAAAGAAAGCAGATTTGGAAGTGAAGTCTGTTCCTGGTGCAGGTCATAAGCTTCTTAAAGTTGCTCTTGGTAAGAGACTAATCATTAATGTTTTTATAAATTTTAATTGGCTAATAGTAGTTCAAAGTCAGAATTTTATTAACAGATTCATGGACACTCAACATTTATTATCATGATAAGACTAATCCCTAAATATGTGTAAGTCTTTAAAAACCAAATAGTCAATTAGAATTGTTTTGTTAAATAGAATAAATTAGAATTGTGGAATGATACAATATAATTCTTATTGACTAACTAGTGATATAGACTTTTGCAAAATATCACCTACTTAAGTAAAATCTTTAAAAACACATGCCAAGAAGCTGAATTATGATTTAAAAAAATTTAACATAATCTGAAAATATAAAAAATGATGCCAAGTGACTTACTGACTGACCTATATATCAATGCACAGCTTAAAAAGTGCTGAATTTAGAATCTTAAAATTTTGCAAATTCTTTATATAGGCAAGATGTGTTTTCAAACCCCCTAGATTGCTGGCTAGAAAGCTAGTGAGATTATAATATAATGTATGAAATTAATTCTTACATTCGAACTAAATTTAAAGAATGAAAAATTAATTATTTTAACTGTAATATTTCTTAGTATTTAAGCTATTAAATACATATTATTTCTACTTTCTAGGAGAGGCAGGGATATATATTGTTTCTAAAGGAACAACATTTCGTTGGGATACATGTGCACCACATTCTATACTACGAGCTATGGGTGGTGACATAGTGTCTTTCAATACACACACTCCAATAACATACAATGATCCTGAGGATGTAGAAACACAACAATATTGCAATTTTGGTGGAATAATTGCATATTCTGATCCAAAAGTATTTGAAAATATTAAAAGTATTTTAGTTTGAAATACTTTTAATAGAAATAATTAATTTGCTAAACCACTGAAAGTGAAACCTTGTCTTTTAGTACCTGATTGTTGCATTAGAAATGCAATATATTGATATTGTGATAGTGATGTTAGTTTTCTTTTTGATCTCAATTGAATTAATAATATTAATTAGGTTAATAGTATTGATATTTTCTTGGTATTACAATTAATGTGTGATTTGTATATTATTCAATGTATTTATCTTGTCAAGATATATGTATACAGTAAAACATAATCTAATTTTACTTTACTTTTAATACAAAATAATATTTTAACACTAATCAGAAGAATCTGAACTTCTGCTTTTCTTTTTTTTCTTCTTTTTGCTTTTTTTATCCTTTTTTCTCTTTTCCTTGTTTTCTCTCTCCTAAAACATATTGTTTAACTTTTATTATATTATTGCTAAATGCATAAGCAATAATGGTAATAAACAAAAACAACTGACAAATCAGAAAATGCATTAATGAAATGGAAAAAATCACCACCTTTTTAATTGCAGATAATAGTGTTTCAGTTTTTACTGGAATATTTGGTGCACATCCCTCTGTTCTAATAGTTGCAGTTAGTTCATCAATTTTACTCATATCAGCGTTTGGTGCTCTGTATTGTTCACAGTGATCAACACGGATTGTTCGACCCAAAATCTAAAAATTAAAAGCACTTTTTTTACTTACACACACATATATATAATAACCTATTACCTACAATACAATAATAACAGAATAATGAAATAAATTTTATTGAAAGAAATATCATTTCCAATGAACAAAGTTATTAATATATTACCTTAATTCCATTCAAATTATCAACAGCTAGAATGGTTGAGCGTTGATCTTCATAACATATAAAGGAAAATCCTCTGGACTTTCCTGTTGCTTTATCTCGAACTAAATTTATGTTTACTATTTCTCCATATCTGAAAAACATTGTTGATTAGAGTATTTACTGTTGTCCAAGTTATTAAAAAGTATGTTTTTATTAAAAAAAAAAACACCTCTAGTATCCATAGCATACATTGGTATTGATTTCTTGTTCAAGCTTTCTTTTTACATTTTACAGTAATTATGTTGCAAAAATTTATAATTTTATATTGCCCCTATAAAAGTAAAACTTTTTTGTTATTAAAAACCTGTATACCACCTGTAGTCATTCTTAAAAAAATTACCTATCAAATGCAAAGTCTTTTTAACTCCGACTGATAGTTTCAGAGTAGTTTAGCTTTTGGTTTGTTACATTATTATAGATAAAATATAAATATCATGTGCCTGAAACTTACTGGGAAAATACACAAATAATATCTCCTTCTGTTAGATCATATGGCAAACCTCCTATAAATATCCAAGCACTATCTTTATATTGATCATGCCAAGAACTTTTAGAATTTCCTGATAATTCACGTTCGCTTAACTTTATAACATTTTTCACATTTCTGTAAAAAGAAATAAAATTACACATTATTAATTAAAAAAAAAGGTATGATATTATAAAATGATAAAATAACCTTACGTCATAGGATTCATTTTAAAATTTAACAAATAATCACAATCTATTAATAATTTATTACTAGAAAAAAAAAGGAATTATAAACATTAAAACTAAAAACTAAGCAAATTAGGCATACAATTAAGGTAAAAGAGATAACACTTCATACAAGTCACATAAAAGGACTGGGTCAGGAATATCCTACCAATCTACACAAAATTCTCCTTTTCTCGTTATGTTGGCAAGACTAATGTTCAAAATCAATAAAATTTATGTAAAATTGCACATTTTAATGAACATTGTTTTAGCATAAATAAAAAAATATATATCTATTATACAATATTACTTTTAGAACTCCATTTCGTAATATTATTGCTAGCAAACAATTTTTCAACACTTCCCCTAATATCTGAACAATTTCTAGAGTAGACCGCATAATAAAGTCAATATTTGCTAGTACAAAAAAAAAATTTAATACAAACTTAAAACTGTTCCATGAATAGTTTAGATGGCAGCCATTTGCATCACATTTGACAGTATTTTTATTAGTTGGCATTATGGTGATTTCATCATTTAACTAAACGTTTGCATGATGTTTTCTGACCAAATCCATACATTAAAAAAGGTGGCATAATAGTTACGCAAGACTGCATACACTGAAAGACAATTAATCGAATAATAATTACAATAATTAATTTTATTCGACTAAAAAACCATTTGTAATATAAGTGTATATAAATGATATAGTAGTAAAAAACTTAGTAAAAATAATAAAAATTAGATTATAATGATGCTTGTTTCGTTTTTTTTTTTGTAATCAGATTGAAATTCATATGAAAATAGAAACTCAAAAACAATCAGTTTTAGAGAAATCAATTTTCACCTTAATTTTTTTGTGATCAATCTTTTTTGAAGGACACGCCAACCGTAGAACAAATTACTAAAAATTAACAAATTAGAGATGACGAGTAAGGTAGACTGAATAATCGTACTAATCTACTCAGTAATTCAGTATTCAAAATATGATGTACTTATCAAGTTCGGAGCACTTATAATATTTAAATTATTATCACGTGTTTATCATATATTGTTAGCTTACATTCCTATCAGAAACAATGATTATAACTTATTCAAATATTAGATATTTGTATCAAAAATAATGTTTAAAGCTTAATCCAAAAATTGAATACATGATCTTTAAATATAAGTGTCGAATACATATGGCATTTGAACACTACTTGTGTGTTTATCATGAGTGTTTCTATATTAGCATTTTAATAATATTTTTCCCTTTGATTAATTCGGTTTCCAAAAAGTCCTACTCGACGAATCACTAATTTTATGATTCTAGATATAAATTCTTTTAAACCCGAAACAAAGATACTAAAAATTTTACCTTACAGGCACAAAGTAAGTAATCACTACGTTATAGTCGCATGTCTTTAATTTATGAACAGAAGAATCAGTACGTTGATGTGCTAGTATATAATCTGTGGTAGTACGTCAAAGATATTTTAGTCTTTCTAATCTGTGGATATTTCGTACTTATATTTCATAAAGTGAATTGTTTGCAAACAAATATAAAGTATATTAAATACACTATAAAATTTTACAAACTTACCATTTTACGTTTCGTGATTTCAATATGGCTACTCCTACACCCGATACTCCGGAAAATTACGATCAAGTTAGTCTTTCTTTATAATTAATTTATTTATTTATTCTTTAGGATATGAACGTGTACAAGGCTGCCTTAATGCTTTTAGCGTTAAGTTCGCCTTTTTAATCTTCTATTTTTAAATGAGTAAATAACTCTTTGTATTAATTGTTAGATCATACAGTGTCCTGGTGACAATTGACGATGAAATGAACTGTCTCATCCTAAAATATTGGGTGAGACAGGCTTAATGCAAGACCGTCATGACCAATTACTAACATAGGTTAAGTAAATTATTATTAACAAAATGGACCTTATGTTATCTAAATAAATATATTTTTTAATAAATCTCAAATATTATTTTTTAGTTCGATGAAGAAGAATCAGAACAACAGCTTGGTGCAACTGCTTCTGGACGTAAACGTTTATTTAGTAAAGAGCTTCGATGTATGATGTATGGCTTTGGAGATGATCAAAATCCTTATACAGAAAGTGTCGACTTTTTAGAAGATCTAGTTATGGAATTTATTACAGAAACAACACACAGGCAAGTCATATTTATCCTATTGCCAACTAACATAAATGTGAAAATTTGTTTAGATGTTTGTTAATCAATCATGCTTAAACAGCTTAACAGGTTTGAAAAAAATGTAACCACATATAAATCGGGTAGGTTTTTTTAATGTTTGAAAATGGAATGATAACTCCGTTTATGTTTTTGGTATACACTGGTGGGGCACCAGTGGAAGATGATAGGTGAGAATTAATGCAGATCAGTTGGCTCACCATGATGAATTCAACAAAAATTAACTATTATGGTTTCCAGGGGGAGCTGAGGGTCAATCTGAGAGGGTATATTGCTAGTGAGTGTTATTAGACCTAATTACTAACAATCCCCTTCCCTCATATGCAAGTAGGTTATATTGCAACTTCATATAGTATATAAACTAATGCATACTGGCAAAGCAGTGACCGCTACTAGCAGTTCTTGCAGGAAACTGTTAGTTTTAGTATAAAGTATTGCTCTCCATTGCTTATAACTCTGCCTTTCCTCCTCTATTAAAAATGTATAATACATATATTTGTATTACATTTGTAAATTCATGTATTATACATTTTTAATACATGTAGACACTTGTATATTATTCACATCAAGTCATAAAACATATAAAATAATATTTTTTAGTTTATACATAAATCCTTCTTACCAAAATATTTTATTAAATGTCCATTCAGGTATCTTTGATAATAAATAAGTGGTATAATGGAAAAAGCTAATATAATGATTCCTAGGAATTTATGTATCTGTAAAAACATGAATACCATTATAACATTGTCAGTAAATTGATATTTTCATCTTTCTATAGGGCTATGGAAGTTGGTAGAACAGGTCGAGTGCAAGTAGAAGACATAATATTTTTAGTTCGAAAAGACCCACGAAAATATGCCCGTGTGAAAGATCTACTTACAATGAATGAGGAACTGAAGAAAGCCAGAAAAGCTTTTGATGAAGTTAAATATGTTGGTAAGTAAGTCAAGAATATAAATATAATGGTTTATATAAACAATATTTCTGTAATATTACTAAAGAATTTTAATTAAGATTATATTCATATTAAGAAACAGTTATGAATTGAGCTTCCACATTAATGCTGTTTCATGATTTTTTGTGTACTATTTTTCATTAATAAAAATAATTTTATGAAATTATAGAAGATCAACAATAACAATCGTGGCGAACAACCGACGCTATGCTACTAAGACTGATGCAAGTAACACAATTTAATATAGACACATTGCTTCTGTGTTTGCACATTACACTAATGTGTATTAACTTGATTATTAAATGTAACTTGATATAACTAACAATTGAATGTGGTATAACTGAATGTATGCATCTCAAAGGGAAATGTCTGTTATTATAAACTATAACTAATCATTAATAATCTCATTATATTACTTACAGTATATAGAAGTATATGAAAAAATATTAGGAATTAAAAAAATCCTTATATATTTATTCTTAACAACTGATGTTTCCCATTTTGCTTGTAATAAAAAGTAATAAAAAGTTTGTTATGTAAGCTAGACTGTTTTGTTCTAACATTAACTGCAATATTTTTTTTTGTAATAAATAATATAACTCTTTATACATATAATTAAAATCCTTTTATATTATAATTAGCTCCTTAATTTTATCTTAATAGTATCTACCGTTATTATGTCTTGTCTGAACATAACAACTTATTATTTCATGGCATTTGAAAAATATATAGTTGCATTTAAACAACACTTATTACCCTTCTATATAAACCTAAATTTATATTGACTGTTAACTTTAATTTTATGATACAACTAAAATAATGATCCTTTTTAACTAATTGTTATTAATATACTGGATTCACGGAAACAGTTCTTATAAAACAACTTAAAAATTTTGGAAAATTCTCGAAGGTACTTTGATTTTTAATAATATAGGATAAATTACATAAAATTAATGTTCTACAAGTTGTTTAGTAAATACTGTTTATTCCACTCATCAAAGTAGTGATTATTGGGTTATTTTGTAAACCGTAATTCTGTATTAGGTGGTATACTGATTTAAAAAAATAGTATATTATTGTGTTCAAATGTGTAACAAATTATTATTTTTGCAGAATGAAGACAAACCAAATATATGTAAATGGAAAGGAAAAGTACAGAATATATATATTACTATTGAAATCTATTCAAGGAATATACTGATCTTAATACAAGATTATATATAAATGCGAAAATAACAGCTGATAAAGGTTAAGCCGTGGCTATTATATATGATACTACTGCATATTCAAAAACAAATTGATGCTAAAAATCATGTCTACATCTTGAACCATTCTTCTTTATTCTTGTCTAATGTATTATTAATCAAATCATAATTCTCTTCTGTAAATATCTCTAAAATATACACATTCACTTTAATAAAACAATTGATGATTAATATTGTTTTATTTTGTTCTTGTCATTAGTAATTCAAACCAATACTAAACAAACCAAATATCCGTTTTCACGCCAATTGTTAATAACGAGAACAGATAGCCCTATTGCAAGCAACACTAGCCTTGGAAACCATTATGGTTAATTCCTGGTAAATTCGTTACCATGAGCCGACTGATCTTGATGAGTATGAAGCAAACGACTAGTTAACGATAGGATATATTACGAACAATGAAGACATTAGATCCCAATCACTGACATCCCCTTCTTCGACTGTACTAATTAAAATATAGCCAGCTAGCCTCCACAAATTCTGTAATGTAATGATCGTACTTGGACTACTTTAGATACGATACACAATGTGAGGTCATCTATGAAATATAGATATTAGCTAGCTCCACTCCAGTATTGCACTATATGAAAGCGACTGCCAAACGGATTCTTCATACCCATTCATTATGTGTGTGTGTGTGTGTGGATTTAGCCACACCCATATTATATACACAACCATTAAAGTGGTTCTGGAAACAACGTAACGAAATAAAAAGGGGCTTTATTAAAAAAAAAAAAACTTTATTTTGTGCGTTATAAAGAAGAAACAACAAAAGAAAATTAAGCCAAATTAATATTCAAATATACAGATCAAAATATAAAATTGGATAGGTCCTAATCTACATAAAATAGGTATGCTTTATTGTCATTGATCAAACATTAACATAAATAGGAATAAGTAAAATTATTCTTCAAATAACAATTTACGATTATCTTATATTACAAATCGTTTTATAATGTGATAAAACTATGTGGAATTACAACATTAGTGGTTTTTTAATTTTAATTGTATATAAAACTTCAACGAAATTTCACATTTCAGGCGACTAGACTAGGTGTTCAAAAAAACATCCAAAAGTCTAAACTTTGGTTTTAAATATATGTCACAACAGTTTGTTATCTATATCGTCTATTTATAAATCTAATAATAATAAATAGGCCATTTATGGCAGTGAAAAAGTAGTAATAAATTAATCGTGAATAATTTTCTAAGAAAAACGCTAAGGAATTCAGAAATGTAGCAATAATATTGCGGATAAATAGAATTATGTAACTAAGTTGTCCTAGACATACTACATAATAAGCTAAGCCTATATATAATTATAATTAAATGTGAAATATTTCTTCAACCTGGTGAATGTACTGCACATTTCTTTTACAATTCTAGCAGTAGACCAACAAATGCAATAACATTAATACTTTTTGTCCCAGTGACTGTTTTTGAAGCTAGTACGTAGTACTTTTGTTAAAACATGCCACATAATATACACATAATCTGGTAACAATAATTTTAAATTCATATAATTTAAAATGTCTTTTCGATGATAATGTATACAATATACTAGTCTGATATACATAATTAGCATATTATTCCATTATTTTTTATGTCAAATTTAATCAGATCGTTATAAATATGAAATAACTATATATTAGAATAAAAGCATCACAAGTGTGCATGTGCCTTATACAAATTTATACATACGTGTACATAGGTGAAAACAAAAATAATTACAAGTAATAAGTAAGTATTAACAGATATAATGAATATATTCAAAATAAAAGGAAAATATAGTTTCAGTGATGATACAAATGTAACATGATGCATATTTTTGACATTACAAATATACATACATTTAATTTTAATTATTGCAATATATTGCCAATTAATATATAAAACAGAGTAATTATTAATTATTTGGCTTGCAAGCAGGAAGACCTGTTTTGAGCACATTTTATTTGGCAAATGGCTAAGAAACGTGACTCATAAATAAAACAACGCGAAGCAAGCTTATGTAGAATAGTAATAGTAGTATTAAATTATAATTACTAAAATCTCACTAAAAGGCTTGTAATTTTGTTCCCTACACTAATTTGTGTAAATAACTCTTACTTGAAATAACATTTTATATTAAATATTTCTGTAACAGCCAAATGTAAGGCAAGTAAACCTGTACTATAAATTAATTACTTATCCCATTAGACAAGTTATTTTTTTAGATCACTAATTACATGGCTTGTGCCAGGATTTATTAACTTACTTATTTGTTACTTGACTTATTTGTTAAATATCTAAAGATTCTTAAGAAGTCATTGCTAAGCAACATAGCTGTATTCAGTGAAAAAGTTATGGTATTTTGTTATTATCATAAATAATATATATTTTTTATGTTGAAATCTCACAACATTGCAGAAAATCGTAACATTGTAATACTTAGAAATGAGGAATACTTGATCATTTTATAAATATTATAGCACAAATTTTTTACCCATGACAGAATGGGGAGGTACATACTTATGTTTAGTCAAGTTCATCTGTTATTACATCCAATATGTAATCTTAAAATAATCTGAATTGATTTTTATGGGTATTTGAAGTAACAATATTTTCTAATTGTCTTTGTAATTATAGTTTTTAAATAAATAAATTCAAAGTGATAAACAGTTATGTACTGTATATGGAGTTCTCTTTAGAGAGGCAATACGCTTAATTTATTGAATTGAAGAAGGGGTATTAACACGTAGCGTTATTGTATATATTAAATTATCGACGCAGAAAATGTTATAATATGAAGAAATATGAAATTGTTGAAGAATTTTTTAGAGAAAAATAAAATGGACGAGTATAACTATGTATAATTATTTTGACAGTTTTGATATTTTTTTATTATAAAGCAGTATTTTAATTCAATAGAATATACAAATGAAAGAAGCAACGTGAGGTGAAGAAGTAAGGTGTAGAGAAGAGCGTTTTTTTTGTCTTTCGCATAGTGGTAACATAATAAAACAGAGGAAAATCGAAACAAGTTTATGATCGAGTAAAAGCGAACGAAATTGAAATAAAAGTAATTAAAAAAAAAATTAACATTGGGGAAAAAATTCAACTTGCGTGGGCCTATCGGCGTTACGATGTTGGTCACAATGAAAATGTGCTTATTGCTACTTGAGATATTTTGCATAATAATAACTCTTCTTAAATTTAGACTGAGATACCCATAAAAATCACAAATATGAATTTTTATCTGTAAGTAACAGTCTTTAAAACCTGAACAACATCTACAGTTATCACAAACGGAATGTTCAGATAATATCTGGAACGTTCAGTTGAAGTATAATTTTATTTTTAAGTTTTATCTATTATTTTGTATCTGACAGAATCTCGTCAATATGGATTTCTCTGCAGATAAGAAAATTAAATGAAAAATAAAGATAGTTAAATTTCTAAATTCCAATAACTTTGTTAAGTATTTTTTTACTATTGTAAGATTAATTTAAATGATACCCCATTAGGCAAATTTTATTAAAATCTGTTTAGGCTATATTGCGCCAAAAATCCGGATATACATATTTATGTATAGTATATTAATGGATATTTTATGGCTAATCTATAATATCTTATTAATCATTATTTCAATATATTACTTATTTTCCTTGCGTTAAAAATAAAATTGTGACATTATTATTCATAACCTTTTTATAGTAGTTCAACAAAACAATATACTGTATTTCTGAAGGTTTGATCGGAATAGATTTGCTTTTCCGAAATTACAGTTATATTTCGTAAAAGTTCAATCAGTAGGCGGATCCATAGCCGCTATGATGCCCTTCATAACAGCAGCAGCGGCGAGAGCTGCGTGCGGCTGCCAGTCTTTGCCACGCGTACCGTCGCGATAGTCGGAAATACCTGGAAAACAAACACGTACTGATAACATATTTATGGAAAAACCCCAATACCTTCGTGACAAGTTATTAATTCTATCATCATAGTCGTATAGAAATAATTGTATATTTTTAATATTCGTCGGTCGGAAATAAAGGTATTCCTTTCCGGCCGACGAGTATTGTGGAGAAAAAGCAGAGTATTTTCAGTGATTCTTAAAAGAGGCGCCAGATGATATTTTTTTTTTTCAATATTTCCAATTTCAGCACTACAACTGCACGAGTAATCTCATTAATTATAATAAATTAATTAATATATAAATTGTAACTAGACAATATTTCTACATAATGGATAGGTATTAAAAAAAAAATCTTAATAATATTTAGAATTTTTATCTGTCTGTTTTTCTAAGATCACATAAAAAATACTACATCAAATTAAATGCAGTCTTTACAGTTGTATTCTTAAAATAGATATTTAAAAAAAAATGTATTATTTTGATACGCTTTATAGAAGTGATTAACATAGTTGCGAAATTCACGCGTACGGAATTGCAAGCAAAAGCTAGTAAAAAAATAAAACATCGCATATGCACCTGCGCATCGCCTCTGGGGTACGCCCTAGCCCTATCGCAATCTGTTTTATTCTTGTCCATATTACGAAAAAAAGATTTGGCTTATAGTTTTACGACCGGCCGCCTGCCTGACGTCAACCCTCCTTGGGAAAAAACATCGCAGTTTTTATTGTAGTGTGTTGTATGCGGTACCTCGTATAGATATGAAGCAGTCCTTGCGGTTGCCCTGCACGCTGTCGAGCACGGCGTCGAGCTCGCAGTCGTAGGCGAGCGCGCGCACGTGGGCCGCGAAGGCATCCCGGGCATCGCCCGAGCCGGTCACCGCGCGGCCACCCGCCACCGGCGCACAGTGTACACGCAGCCCGCGGCTTCGAGCCTTGCCGTCTGCATCGCTGCACCGCACATTTATTTGTTACTAGTAGTATCTAGCGGTTATATGCTTTCACCCATATAGTCTGTGTACCATCTTCTATAGAAATAAAAATAAATCGCTAGATGTGTTGCCAAGTGCAAAAATCTAGAATGGCTGAACTAATTCAGAAATTTCATTATGTTAAATATTTGTTGAAGTACGAGTAAGGTTCTTATGAAAATAAAAATTAGAAAAAAACATTTCATTATTAACCATGAAAAAAAAAACAGGCCTACTATTCCATGACATCAAAGCCGCGGCTTTATATAATAATTGGCGACTAAAAAAATAAACTTAATTATTTTATTTCTTTGTACACCGGACTTAATGGCTATCGGCATTTTTTTATAATCAACTATACTTTCTAAATTAATGACGTCGATCTTACACTTGATCGCCATGGGGTGCAGGATGTGAAACCTCGATGTATGCACCCTCACCAATTTCCACACACAGGCGATCTGTTACGCCCTCTGGTGCATCCCAACGACCAGGCACATTTTGCAATCGGTTTAATCCTGATAAAAAAAATTTTAATAAATAAATAAGGTTGATGAGGAGTTGATAAGGTATTATAGATTAAAAATTCTAATTTTAAATGAATATTGTACGCCTGACATCGGTTTCTCATTCCATTCAGTTCCATCGTACTCTTACTTGTATATTCCTGATGAAATAGATTGTCTTACATTACATGTATAATATTCTTACACATTTACAGAATGATTATTATTACTATAATAATACTACCAGTAAAATAAAAAAAAAACGTAAGTGTGCTTGTTTATTACATTTTGGTACCTCAACTGAAACTAGTGAAATTTGGTATACATGAAATATTTGGCGTTGAGAATTACTATTTTTATCACGGTTAATCAATACGTATGATGGAGTCGCAGACGCAACTGGTAGGTATATTTATGTATAGTTTCCTTTTTTATTAATACTTATATCTAATTTGATCCTACAAATACTACAATGACTATTACTTCATAATTATTAATTGCGCAATTATTCTAAAAAATATAGTTAATAGTGAAAGAGAAATCAATAAATTTTAAGGTACATGTTATTAGAATAAATATCCGACTACCTACTTTTCTATTTTGAGGCATTTTATAATTATTAGTCATTACTTCTATATGTATAATTAATCTTTTGATAGAAAAGAGTCATAATTTAATTATTAATTAACAATTGTGGGACGTCAGCTTGATACTAAGTAAAATACCTTCGTTGACGTATAAATTCCAAGGCGCTTGCGAATTTGCAAGGCGAAGGGCAATGTCTTGTAGTAGGAAATTCGGTGGTTTATACGGTTTCACTTCGTAATCCCAGCCTCCTTTGTCATTTCGTTCGGCCTTTTCACAAAACACGTACACATATCTGAAATGTTGATAATTTGAATATTATGAATATATATATTCACCTTCACGTAAAGTCCCTTAGAGACAGACAGAGAAAACTAAGTGCCAAATATCCTTCTGAGTCTTTCCTTATTCATTTTCTGTTTATTTAATTTGTTGAATATTTCATTCTAAAATAAACACTTTATAGTCACGTTAACTGTTTAACTGATTTTAATAAAATTTTGTCAATGTTTGCTCCAACTTGACAGCTATAATTTTTATTTTAATAAGAAAAAAATGGACCCGATAGGTGGCAAAATAGGGCTTGCGGAATCAATATTATACAGGGTTCAAGCGAAATCGTTAGCTGTTATAAAATATATCAGAAACAAAAGTTTAGGTATCAAAAATTCAATTAGAGCTTCAAATACTAATTCAGCAGTTGGACGTGATTACTATCGGTTGCTCAAAATTTATTGTCGTTTTCCGAGTTATGTTTCTTTGGTGAAAATGTTGAAATTCACAAGTAGAACTCGCTGAATAGGATGATAACGATATCATTTTGTAATTTTTGCGAATTCATTTCGAATTTTACTTTCCGGACGAAGTGTGATAACTGGATCAACGTATAGCTAAATAATTACTTTATTTGTACCTATGTGTTCTAGTATAGACTGACAGGAACATACACTGTATGACGTCGCCAAATGTAAAGCTCATGTGTAAATGTGAAATATTAGATGATATCATTGGTATTATTATTGACGTAATAAAAATAATTAACGTTTGTGGTTACAAATTTTCACTTGACAGATATGAGCAATTTTCAGGTCAACTTGTTGCTACCATATAAATTTAATTGAGGTATATTGATGATATATACTCGTATATTCACAAAAGAATTAGTTGGGATTCGAGACACCGTGGAGTTAATTGTGATCACTTGATTCAAAAGATAAAAAATAATATAATTTTCGCTTAAATAAGATTTAAGAAATCAAAACTATAATAGCAATAGGTTCACATGTAAATTGGTTGGCGAAATATGGTAACAATGGTTGAAAAAAAATATGGTTAAATTGCAAAGAGAAACATATAAATGACCAAAAAGAGTAACGGTGAACAACTGCATGTGTCATTATAATTGTAAACTTACCCATAATTAACCCAAAACCACAATATGTTAGTAATATCGATGCAATATTGTGGCGCCGTGGCGTGAAAGAATTATGACGTTCGAGGTGACTCCACCAGACATCAGGTCATTCGTGGGCGACACAATCATGCTCAATAATAGCCAGTATGCATGACGGACCAATTTGCAAATTTTAAATTATTAATTTTAACTGCTCTAGTCCTTTTTTAAAAGAGCGTGGCTCATAAGTAATAAATGAATACGTCTATTTTTCATGCAATTTAATATGGCATACAAGCTGTCAGTCCACGTTATAAAATATAGCAATATGGAAACCATTTATTTTTACGCCAGATAAAAAGCAAGTCTAATTTACATTTAAAGAACAATATTAAATTGATCCTAGATTTATTTAAACTTCTTTCGTTTATATCAGAATCATTATTATTACCAATATTATAATTGTTAAATTACATTTAAAATTATTATATTTTTATTAATGTTAAATATCTTCTTGTTTTTGCCTATAATATTAATATATATTACAAGTAAATAAATAAGAAAAATATATATTATTTTAGTTATTAGCTATTAAGATAAATTCTTGTATTGTATTTATTATTCGGTTCCAAAATAAATACAAATTCTCAAGCCGAGCCGCATTTATCATTTAGATAGTTGATTATTTATTCAATTAGTTTAATGGGAAGTAGGAAATACCTGATTTTTTACCCAATTATGTAGATGTTAAAGAATTGTTACGATTAATTTATTAAAATACTATTTATAATATGATTTCAAGGAAATTTGATAAGGGATAATACGTTTATGTAAATACTTACGGATACTTTTTGCAGAAATTTTAAACATTTTTTTATATGAAAGTAATAATAAAAATAAAATTAGGAAGAGAAAATTGTTTATTAATTGTGCACGTCTGAAGGAAAGTATGAATTTTGGATCACAGAAATCAACACAATATCGGAATAGAAAAGTACAATAGTACTTTTCTGTTCCAATATTGTCCAAAGCATAGTAACGTTACGCTATGGACGTTTGCTTAATATACATATTTATAATAATAATAGATACATTGTATTAAATTCTAAAGATAATGCGTACGTAGGAGTTTAATCTAATACATACTTACCTGTTTTAGATTAAACCCTGTTATACTAGCAAATTTATTTCAAGCGAAAGACAATAAGGAATCAAATAAATAAAACATTAGGTACAGTATAGATACAACCAATGCTTGATTGGTATCGGCATAGAAAAAAAGATTGTACTAGTATGCTTATTAAAGATGTTATTTTATTAATTTTAGAATATATATATTATAGTTTAAATAAAGTAGGCGTATCTATCTATTTAGAAAAACTTATGACAATGGCTAAAAACAGTTCATACTATAAACACGTGTCAATAGCAAATAAATTTTGTCATCAAGGTTACGATTACATATTATATTCACATACACACCGCAACCTAGGCTTTATTTACGCATATTTCAGTGTTTTACAGACAATTAGCACCTGAAAATACTTTCAATAAGGAGCATACAAGATGTAATGAAAATAGAATGGGTATGTCATGTTGTCACGAATTTTTGTTAAAAAACATAAGTGAAAATATAAAATTAATTTATGAACTATTCATTGGATCACGTTAAGGCGCTATTCTCACGAATAGGTGTAACATTATTTTATATTTTAACCAAAGTATTTTGGATCTCCAGATTTCGTATCAATTGTACCTTTCTCACCATAACTCATTATATTATATAGTTGTTTTCCTTCGGAATAGCTAAAATAGTAAAATGTTTGCATTGATTCCTTTAATTTTGTATGGTAATGGTGTTTGAAAATATTTTCCTAAAATACTTAATAAAGAATTAACATACTTGTCAGGCAAGTCAGATGCTGGCGTGGAGACAACAACGTCGCCTAGTCTCACGTGGTGTGCATAATCTGTGTAGTGCGGAACCCCGCCACCTACGCCCACTAAGAACACGTACTCCACCTGTGAATGAAGATAACATTTAAAAAGATTATCACTTAACTGTTGTCCTTTTCTAGACACCTGGTGACAGTAAGAGTACTAATATAAAACAAAAGTCCAATGAGTTTTCATAATACTGAACAACAATACTCAAGAAATGTAACAATTTTCCCAAGAGACTACAACATAGAGTTCTTCAAAAGGGGCGTAAAGAGGTTTCTTTAGGGTCGGCAACGCGCGCGTAATACCTCTAGTATTGCAAGTGTTCATAGGCTACGGTAACTGCTTACCATCAGGTGGGCCGTAGGCTTGTTTGCCACCTCAGTGGTATAAAAAAATAATAAACAATATTTATTTAATTATTGAACTTTAAGTTTAGTAGTTTGATCAAGTTTGGTTAATTTGATCAAGTGTCTAATTGGTCCATGCGCTTATTTAGTTTGTAGTGTCCAGAAAGAGGCCTTGTTAATACACACATATTGTTTTTACTCATGAAATTTAATTTGAGCATTAAGGCCATTTAGTACGCATATTTTATAGTAAAGAATAAAAAAAAAGCCAGCTATTCGGTTTGAAGGGTGGGATATGGTATAAATTTACAGGGTACAGAGGAATAACACCTGAGTCCACAGGAATGGCAACGCATGGGGGGTATCATGGACGAAACAGTATACTCTGTTATGTCCATGGTACTGCTCATGTCTATAGGCGACGGTTACCACTTTCCATCAGATGGGCCGTCAGCTTGTTTGGCATTCTAAGTTGTTGTTGTATTAAAAGCTATTATTTGCTACATTTGAGTTTTCTAGTTTGAGATGTGCTTTAATAATGCTTAAAGCTTCGAGACTTGCCATAATAAGGTTCTGATTCTATTTGGGCATTTTTTGCCCATTCCTTTTCTAATTAGACAGCTGTTTCATTTCTGTGAATGTTTGAGTGACCACGATCCATCTCAAGATAATGTAATTTCTACTACCTAAGACGTTTCCAGTGTGTACCGTTAGCGCGGGCGGGGTAACCATTTTATTATCATCCATTAAAAAAACCCAAGTCGTTTAATAATATTATGCATAGTTATTTATAAGTTTAATAAAATAATAACTTAGTAATTAAATAAGAAAATTTAACCATTCATTTTACAATTCAAAAGTATATGCATACATTAATCTTTGACAGGTACCAAACGAACAGTTTGATACCCCCTTTGATGGCTAAAATAATCAAAGAAACTTTTATATCGAAATCAACTTACCTATAACAACCAACTCAAAAAGTTTTAATACAGGTTGAATTATATAAAACATTGCCGAAATGTTAGTTACTACTCGCAACATGCAAACACGAGTACAAGTAAAAAGTCTACTAACTTCTAATATATGTATCCGACAGTACTAATTACAAATTTCATACTTAGGTTTGTACGTGCCACGATAAAGTGGATAATGTGGATTACACATCACTGAGATACTTTATTATTACTAATGCATTATAAATGTACATGCATATTTCTTTATTTGTCTATTAAGGATAACTACTATAATATTTAAATACAAAAGTAAGGAAAAAATCGTTCAAGTTTGTATTTGTACGTACATTGAAATTAGAAATGTGAAGTTCTTAGTTGATAAGAGAGTTATATTATTTAATACCGCTACCATTAGTTTTCGTGCGACAGCCAACACTCGAATATTGACTACGATTATTATTACCAGAAGGTTTACTTTTTATAAAATAGGCTGCAAACAAACATACGATTAACCTACTATTACTCTTACGACTATCGTCGCCCATAAGCACCTGTAATACCAAAAGAATTGCAGGTGTGCTGCAGACCTTTTAAAATGGAATACGCTCTTTCCTTGAAGATTACGATGTCATATCGGTTCGGAAATACTGTTGCTGAAAGTGCCTTCAAAAACACACTTTGGAGAACCGCCACTCAGCCAGATCCAGAGGTTGAGATGGAACTTTAGTTTGTGGCGGGTTGACTATGGTAAAAATCAGCAGAAGGTATTAATTCAACAATACTTCAGAATACACTCCATGATATAATTGAAAAGATGCATAAAGATACAACGTCTGTACGCAGTTTGTTCAATTAATAACTGTTATACAAACTCCTTGTTTGTTATTTATACAAAAAAAGAAAAATAATGTTTTTATCTGACACTTTTGATTGTGACGTTCTTGTACAAATTTAATAAACACATTCAAGATCAAGATTCGACTTTATTTTTGTTTACCATTCAATGGAAGAAACTGGTAATGTGGCGCTTCTGCCCATAGGTGAGAATAGTATTCCATATGGGGACAGACTTGACCTTTATTAATAAATTTTTACTTAACATGTGCTAAGACAAAATTTGCATGCCTTTAGATAAGGCGAAATGTGTAGCTCAGTTACCATTTAAGACCTTTGTACCACATTTCGAGCAAATAAATTATTCTTATTCTTATATAATTCCAAGCAGTATTATGGCATGAAATAGCGTCTCACTCTATTAAGCACACGTTATTCTTTGGAGGCCATCTTAGCCTTTTCTTTCAAATGACCGAAAAACTGGTCGTCGCTGGATATATCAACGTCGAGGATCCCTAGACTCGAATTATTATCAAAAGGAGTGTTTTGTACATAAAGAGATATGATAAATGTCTTTTTTGCGGTAAACGTGCAGACGTGACTTTCCATAATTAGTCATTCGCAGTTTGGGCGCCAAATGGTTAATACTAGGCTTCGAGCAACGATCTATTAATTTGCCTGAAGATGTCTCGTTTAGAGGTAAAACATGTGTAGCGAAATGTGCGTGGACGGAATGACAGTTGGTGTTTGATAACTAATATTAATGGAAAATTTGTAAGATTTTTTTTTATACAACTTAGAATGGCAAACAAGCTGACGGCCCACCTGATGGAAAGTGGTAACCGATAATAATAATAGTAGTTAATCTTGGGCTGTTGAAAGTCGCACACATACTAATGGTAGCGGAATTAAAGGAAATAATTTTAATACGTCATAACCTTCAAGAAAAGAGCATATTCCTTTTTAAAAGCACACCTGCAATGCCTCTGGTGTTGCGGGTTTTTATTAGCGGCGGTAGTCACTTACTATTAGGTGAGCCGCATGCTCATTTGCCTCCTATGTTATAAAAAAATCAAATAACCAGAGATATGAATTTCCGCAAAATAACAGCTAGTTCAGTAAAATACTTAGAAAAGTGAAGTACAGAATTACCTTCTATGGACATTAATAGGTATCACAAATAATTTTTGATTGATATCTATTGTCAGAATCAAAAATTAATTTCAATAATAATTCACTTCTCTTTTATCTTTATTAGTTATAAATGCAAAACTTAAAGAAAAGAACAAAAAAATAAAAGAAACAAAAAAGAGAAACAAAAAAAAAAAAAGAAATTACACCAAATATCAATTAAATGATCGAAATATAAGAGCAAATGCTTTAACAAATTGAAAACAGTATTTTGGGAAGCGTTTCAAATTATTCTAAGTAGATACAAAGTTGCAATACTTGTAATGTTTACTAAATTCCTAACAATTGGTATTCGGCAATAAATCTATTATTGAATCGCTTCAGAGGAGCTAAATATAAATTTATGAAAACGATCATAGCATTCTAAACTAATCAAGCCGCTATTCAATGTTTGCGAGGAAGACTGGATTCAAGGGCGTAGAAATTAGATTAACGGCAATAAAGAATATATTAAGAATGATTCACTTTTGAACTGATACTTATTAATACGTACACATAATGATGGTTAATTGTATTCTCTTATTATTTGGAGCCGGCATAGTAAGTTTTTGCCTTCCATTCTAGTCTTGATTAGGTCATTCCACTTGTTATACCACGAAATTTAAGACTTATAAAAAATTCTCACATTGTAAACTTTACACATAACCGCTAAGTAGGACTATTAAAATAAGATATGACAGGGCTTAGATTCTATAAAAAGTTTCTATGTATATATTGACATAATTCATAAATGAAGTCGATGGTCGATATGTGTATGATATAACGTGGCATGCGCCAGTCAGTGAATTAAGTGTATAAGATTTTTCGTATACCTGTAATAAAATTTTGTAAATATCTGAACCTCTCTCTCTCTGATATATTCAAACACATAACACATATGTGTATGATAACATTCAGGATCCGTATCCGTTCAAAAGTTTCATTAGTTTCCACCAATGAAATCTTTGAACAGCAATCTTTGTATGAGGATCATATTATAAATAAAGATTATACATAAATAAAAAATTACGAAATATCATAATAAATGAAATGCCATAACTTAAAAGTTCTGTTTCAAACCTTTTGGAAAATGCCAAGAAGTCTTGTAGTTGTATTCCCAGCGGCAGTCATAGCTTCTCGGGTTCTTCCCACAGAGGGAAGTTTAGTAGTGACCACTCTGTGCGCACCTATGGTTCCCAGTGTGTATACGTTTGATTCACCTGGAAGGAAAATACGGTATTTGAATCCATAATAGATATTCATTATTGTGACGACCTTAAACTACAGTGACTCAGAAGCGAGGTCGAAGTAACCCCGGATTCAATATTTTGTTATGGCAAACAAAATACGATTTAGATATTTTAAGGCACCATGTCGAAAGCGATGATCAAAACATTACGAATTCGCAAATTGTGCACAATTAAACGTCGGAATACCATGACCCCAATTTACTAATATCAGGAAAATCAGTATCAATTTATTTAAAATATAATAATATAACAGAATTTGTAATTGAAATTAAATACGTACATATACCGTGAACGACAAAATACACCTTATAGTACGAAACATAAGAAATAATACAGATTCAAACTTCCAAAGAATAGTTCAACCCTTGGAAACAAAGAGAAAGAAGTCAATATAATCCAGAAAATATTTATAGGGATGCGCATAAATAGGGTATTCCCGTTGCAGATCAAGTTAAACCAGAATAACATAAATCCATATTATACATGTAAAGGTAGTTGTCTCTGTGACGTAAAGAGGTTGGAAATGATTCACTTTAACTTAATAAAAGGCACACCGGCGCTAAAACGTTCATTAAGTAATAATTGTCAAACCATATGCACCACTGTTGTGTTGTGATGTGTGAGGAAATTTTTAAAATAATAATAAATTATTCGATGTATTGACAGTGCATCATTAGTGTAGTGGATCATTAAAGTGCAATAGTGTTTATTATTATGGCTGTTATATTGTTGCTTTTTGTGTGTGTATTTAGTGGAATTATGGCACGACCTTATGATATCAACAAAGAAAAAAGGTAAATAAATATATGTACATTTTTAAACGATATTATATACCAGCATAAATTATTTATTTACTAATTGAGATTTAACCCGTTATTTAATATTATTTACTATTATAATAAATTAAAACAAATCATATTCAGTAAATTTATATAGGGTAACTTATTACAATTTTTGCTCCTTCAATAATATTACATTCATAAAAGTATTTTACAAAATAGAAATATTCAAATTCAAGTATAAAATTTTATTGGCATGTGCTATATATTTGCTGTATCTATTTAGTTTACACTTTATTTACATAAGTGTGTTAAATACTGAGGTTGCCAATAACTGTAAGTACATACTGGGGCAATGAAATCGTCGAATAGATTTTTAAATAGCATTGTATCATGACATTTGAGCCGTATACTCTTGTAATAAGGTTTAAAGTGCATAATGCTAAACTCATTTTTCTCGAAAACGAATAGCATTTAAATGTTTGAGGATTGGAGAAAGTCTGCGTTTTAAATATACCTAACTTCTTTAATATATATAATTCAGATAAATGTTGGCTACATTTATCTGAGTTATATTATATAACATATATTTTTTAAGGAATTTAATGTTAATTGCTTCATAATTGGTCATTAAATCATCGTTTTAGTAATATGACCATCAATAATTGAATTGAAGGTGTTTTATAACAATTCGACATTTTTGCCTGATTATTCATCACATCTTTCTAATTTTAAATATTTTACACATCCGTGAGCACTTCTAAGAACATAAAGAAACGATACCTAACCTAACTTCAATAAATAATTAAGATTTTGACCGCTATACCTTATTAGAATTTAAAATCTATTTATTATAAATTATTTAAAAACAATAACAATCCTTGGTTACGTATGTACTAAATAGCTTAACAAATCACATTTACTTGCGTAAATGAATATTCATAGTTAGATAAACGTGTACGACAATTATATATAGTCATTAAAATTTTTATGGGAAATATAATACCGATTATCACATTAATATTAATTACAAATGAATCGTAAAATTTTTTATACTTAATTTGTGGCTTTGCTTTCTTGTTTATCATGTTATTTTGTCAATACTTGTATTTTACTTTTAGATTTATTATCTTTGTTAAAAGTGCCACATTATCACATCAATCATTTGGTCCTCAAGCACAGATATTCTGTGTTATTAGTAACTAGGTAACGAACATTTAAGATACAACATCCCACAGTACCCAGAATCGACCTAATTCAGAAAAGATCGTTTTCCAAATTAGTACGATCGAAAATCGAATCTGGAACACATAGCACATGTGCCAACCACTTACTAAGGTCGTCAATTTGTTAGTATTTATTATTGCGGCAAATAAAAACTAGAATTAACACTACCTGTTCGATGGTATAAAGTATCGTATGCTATAGAGGTTTGCGAAAAGGATCGTTGGCGCTACATCTGCCTAAAAAAACGAGAACAAAAGAAGAGAGCCGTGGAACATATTTATGTTCCACGTCTCATCTATATTTATAAAATAATTCTGAAATTTTTAATTTAAAGGGAAAATAGTAATACGCATGCAAAATTGCGGGCGACATAGGAGTATTTAAAGAGGAAGCCAGGTAAGCTGTGCCCACCCGAGAATTCTCTGGTGTCCACTACAGAATAAAGAATGGAGCGTTAAGCTATAGGCAGAAATATATCTAAGAGTACATATACCATACATATTTTTTAAGTGTAAATGAATAATAATCTTAAATATATCAATGGCTGGCGACATGTAGTTGGTTATAAGACTAGCTAATAAGGCTAATTTTACCTCGCTAGATAGAGATGTATTTTTATGTATAGATGTAAATTTATATAATAATCTACCTAAGGCGGGTTTTCCTCTTCTCATACCAACAGTATAATTATTATTTATTTTTATCATTTATGCGTTATTTGCTTTTATCCTAGGGCTCTGGTAGCTGGTCAAGAAATTCAAAAGGATGCAACAAAACTGGTCGAGCCAGAATCACGGGAAAACTTATTATTGCCAAAAGTGTTTGGCTTGTATGATATCATTACTGTATTTCTGGATACGCGAAATACAAAATCGTATGTAAAAAGATAAATAATATTTTTTATATTTAAACTTAATATTATAAAAAAAATCTTTTGTATAATTGTTTGTAATTTTCAAACTCTTGTAAACTCAAAAACTACTTAACCAATTTTAAAAATTTCACCTAAAGCTACATTATCAACGAGTTATATAAACTGTATTTTATTTTTTAAAAAAAAAAAAAAAACCGTGCATAGCCAGGTCTGGCAGCTAGTCTCAAATATTGTAAATATAATCTCAGCCACACCAAATAAACTTTTCATAATATTCATGCAAATAGCTATTCTTACTTTATAGATAATTAACTAAAATTTACTTTTTATGTTGCAGATTAAATATAAGTTTGATTATGGATGACGAAGTAAATTCAGCAGCATCGGCGCTTTGTATTATAATAAACGAAGAAAATATTTCAATATTTCAAAACGACTTTAAGATAACTTCGTCGTATGCACACAACTTAAGAAACGGTAACATTAATATATTCATTTACGATCTATGTATTTTATTACTAGTTTTCAACCGCGAGTTTGTCCACGGGGATCGGGATATATTAACATCCCAAAAATTACGTATTTGCCAAATTGTTTGCTATTCAGATGCCAAGAGAACCTGAGTGGCTTACAACCTGAACCTCAACCCATAGCTATATTGTTATTAACACGTATTTGGCAAGAGATCATTTTATGACCAGACAAAACTTGCGCACAAAGTAGCAGCCAAAACTAGTTAAATTCTAAAGTGAAATAAAAAATGATTCGATTTCTTAGATAAGTCAGATCTTGTTGTACAATGAATGCATACTTGAACATACGTTAAACTATGCATTCTTTATACAAAGATAACAACACGTATTTAACACAAGATGTGTACGAGAGATACTGAGATATACGTGATTTTAATCACTTTTATTAGTAGCTAAAGTTAAAGATATATGAAGATGTTTACCTATAATTTAATCAATAGGTATCCAGTATATAGGTAGTCCTTGATGCAACTATATTTGCTTGCTTCTGTATGGATATATTAATTTAGAGAGACATTAAAATTAATCAGAAGTCAGTTTTACGTATATTTAGTTCTTGTAATTTGATGATAGGTACACCAATAAATTACCATTAGGATAATAAACTATCAGAGTAATCTATGAACCTAGTTGCGGGATTGCCAGTGGCAAAATATGTTTGGATATTCCTAATTAATCCTTAATAATATTATTAACTGTCAAAGTGTGTCAGTTTGTTACCTTATAGCGCTTTAATGACATAATCAATCACTACGAAATGTAGTATACTCGTACTATATGGGACAGAGAAAGATATAGGCGTTTATCCTGATCAGTAAAAATATGCCGGTCACGCGGAAAAAGTCGCGGGTAAAAGATACTATTGAAATACTGGTAGATAATGGTCCTGGACGTTAAGTCACAGGACTATACGAGGTCTGTCCGGAAAGTTCGTATAAAAGTGTTCTGGAATGCGAGAAAGAGGAGTGGGGAGGCCAGGTAAGCGCAGGACCCCTTCCTTATGTCCCTAACAATGCTTCAGTTCTGGTCTGACCGCCGTGCGGTGCGAACTGGCTTGTCACGCCATCTGTGAAGTTACCTCTTAACGAAACCCCGTCGGCATGGAGCCCGCTTCCGTTGAAGAGCAGCGCGTCGTAATCAAGTTTCTCTCGAAACTCGGCAAGAATGGCCGTGAAATTTTTGCCGATCTAATTCGATAAGACATCCGGGGAACCACGAACAAAAAAATCAAGAAAATCCCGCTCAAATGTCAAGACAATGTTGATTGTTTTTTTCGATGTTCGGGGGATTGTCCATCAAGAATTCGTCCCTCCAGGCCAGACAGTTGATGGAAAATTCTACGTCGATGTGCTCAGACGCCTCAAAGCTCGTGTGGCACGAGTTCGTCCAGAATTGGCGCGAGAGGGGCGTTGGATTCTTCACCACGACAATGCCCCTGCCCACACCTCTCTTGTTGTCCGTGAGTTTTTGAGTAAAAATTCCATTACGGTGACCGAACACCCCCCCATATTCGCCGGATTTGGCCCCGTGTGACTTCTTCTTGTTCCCAAAAACCAAATTGGTACTTCGGGGGCGGCATTTGGGGGACATAAATGAGATAAAAAAAGCTACGACGGGGCAGCTGAGAAACCTACAACCAGAGGACTTTCAAGGAGCCTTCTCACAGTGGAAACGGCGTTGGCACAAGTGCATTATGTCACAGGGGGAGTACTTTGAAGGGGATAAAATTGATTTACCTGAATAATTGTAAAATAAAATTTTTAAAAAACTTTTATACGTACTTTCCGGACAAACCTCGTATATGATATAGCGATGTCAAGTGTTTTATTTATAACACACATAATTCTACTAATATTATAAATGTAACTAAATAAATAAATATTATAGTGAGACTCAAAGGACCACTTTGAAGATCTGAAGTAGGATCCTAAAAGAATATTTTCATTTACATACCAAGTTTTTTATGTGGAATCGCAGTATAGGCCGTAGTAATATGGTACTGAACATTTCATGCAATGATTTTACATTTTTTTTTTTTAAATTATATCAACTATACATAGCAACAAGCCAATTTTACTGATGTAAGAGATAAATTAGATAGTATTACAATTATGTAAGTTCTATGATCCTATTATGAATCACCAAAGGTAGCTAATTAAAATTTTCAACCTGCGCTAAGTTGGTATAAGTGTCACAGTGCAGTAACTAATGAAATTTTTACAACAAACTGTAAATTTAATTAAATATACATTACATGTATGTACCTATCTAGTATGAGATCATATGGCGTCGCGGGCGTCAATGAGAATAATATGACCTTGACTAGAGACCAGTGAGAGAGCCGTAAGAATTTATAGTACCTAGTACCTACCTACCTAAATAGTTACCTAGTTGAGTATGATCGTTTGCGTATCTCTGTATACAAGTCGCAATGTTCTGATATTAATATTTAATAATATTTTAATCAATTACATAGGTACAGGGACAGAAAGTATATAGCAACGAACTGTTGTAAGATTATTTACGTTTATTGTATCTTTTGCAGGTTCTGAATTTATAATTGGATTTCAAAGAATAATAGACAAATCAAGCCAAGAGGAAACTGGATTAAAAATTCATGATTTTCACAAGAATGCAATTTTTGAAATGGAGTTGGAAAACATTAATAAGTTGAAATATATTCAAGTTAGTGGAGATGTCATTAAAGTAACGAAACTAAAATTTGAATATAATTGAAAATACTTGTCACAGAGGATCACGGTTAAATTTTCAGTGGTTTGATTACCACAGATGTTTATAGAAAGTGTCGGTGACAATAGGGAGCATAACTTTGCACTTGCTGCCAACATCACCGACGATGTGAAGTCGATATGCCACGACTGCTGGTGACAATAGATAGTGACGTCCGATACGATGATAATTGAGATTAATGACTGTGATGGATTTGTTGAAGATAGTTTTGATGTAGATGGTATACAAACAACAAAATCACAGCAAACTTTTTGATGTAATATTACTTCGTAATGTATAACATTTTATGATATATATCTATGTATTTTACATAAAGATATATAAAACATTTACAAGTTAATTATTGTAAAATTAAACACCTTTGAAATTATATACTTCAGAACATATCTGTTTGATAATAAGATTCAAGACTTAAATTCAGTAAAACAACTTTATTTAAACCCATCATAACTGTACTTATATTGGGCAAGTCTACTTAATTGCGTATAAATATATATTTATATTTCATTATGTTTACCTATTGAAAAATGTACTTATTAATTTATTGAACAATAATTTATTTTATATTTAGATCCATAGTTATTGCAATTTAAGATTTTTTCTCTTATCGAATTAACTGATTTAATTGTAACTTAATCGATCCCATCGAGGAACAATGGGCTCTATTCCAAACTACTGATTTCTTTAGACGACTTTATAACATCTATATTTTATCGGAATAATGTTATTTTTACTTAGTCTTGCTATTCCACTCCTTCCATGTTTTCTTTAGGATGATATTAAAAAATTATTATGTCGTACGATATCCTCAACATCTTACGTGTCCTAGTCTATGTTTAATAATCTTCCATCATGTACTTCACTCAATATACCTTGGTTCGTTACTTGATGTCTCTATAAAGCTGTATATTTAAGCTGAACCATTCCATTTTCCTCCATCGTCACATTTAAAAAGATTTAAACATTTTCCTTTTTTATAATTGCTTCACGTCCATACAACACTCTATTCCAAACACGGATATTACAGATAAGTACAGGCAGGGGTGACAAAATTACGCCTTCTGATCTCATACCACATTAATCTACACTATATCTGGAGATGAAATACGAATCTGTCCAACTAGTCGTATTACGCTAATTTTATTGTATCAAAACCCATTCTAAAGATTTCATGGCCTCCGATAATAAAATATCATCATATAAATTTGTTTTTAAACAATAAAATTTTGTATTTTTATGTTCTGATCTTTTATTTAAATTTCATGTACATATATAAAAATAATGTTCAAATCTATGTGCCTAATTTACAAGCTTAAATAAGTGCAAGTTATTCAGTTAATAAAGAGAAGTATTGTATATATACAACTATATATGTATTAGGATTTATAGTTGTATATATAGCTATACCTACTTAATAATTTTATACATAATTATTTGTTAAAAAAAATTACGACTTCCAAATAGATAAATAGTGTACCAAACGAGTAAAATGTATTAGTTTCATTATATACAAAATCAAAATAACAATATATTGCCAAATGCTGCTAGATAACAGCTTGATTCTTTTAACTCGGATTACTTTTGGAAACAACATATGAATTTTCCATAATATGCATCAATAAAGTTTCTTTAGAGTCGAGACAAAGGACACGTGACATGCAAAAGGCTAAGACGGCATACGTTGTGTCTTTATCTAATATACATGGCAGTTACAAATTATGTATGTATATGGTATATGTAGGTATATAGTTTACTACATCTCTAGAGGTAAAATAATACACAGAATGAGATTCCTTCTTCGACCGACGTGTGTAAATTGTACAGATTGGAGCACAGGCACTATAAATATCAGCCAGTTGCCTAGATCGACTTCAATGCTATCTTTAGTAACAAATATTAGCATATATTATTTATGGTTTGTTCTAATGGACGTATAATGCAGAAAAGGAATTGGCCTTCTCTCACCTTGAAGTGGATCATAGCACCGATTACATAACACATTATTGTACCTACACACTACGTCATGACCATGGGCATGTCTATCACACAATTTTAATCCGAATGCAATAGAATCTAATTTGTAATTTCTCTATAAATAATGCATGACTTATTCGTAGACTTTTAAATGGTGTAGCTGCATAAAATTACTTTTAGCCATAATAAATACATATATGTGTATGTTATGCTGTCATCATTTATCAATAAATTCTACATATTAATCTTCTTTGGCAAAACAGAAAATATATCGCTATCTCATGCAGTTGAACGTGCTCCCTTTGTAATACACTCTGAAGGCATACAAAAATTATTTTACGGGTATAAATTTATTGTCATCGAGGTCAATTCTGTGGCGATATTTTTTAAAACTATCTCTTAATCTAATATTTCAATTTTATAGAAATTCGCGAAATTACCGTTATAAGAATAATTATCATAAATTAAATTTATAATAATTTGACTGAAATATATAAAAAATTTAATGCGTATATCAAATTGAAATTTTAATTTTAGAGATATAAATTTTTATAAAATGCCGCCTCAGAATCGATCCGTATTAGCTATCAATAATTTAGGATTTTTCGAAAACAAATGCGCCCTTAAACTTTATATTTTTATTAAAATGGTTTTCACGCCCACAGAATGAAAACCCTTTTAATACAAAAAATAATCATCAAAACTGGATAATACAAAATTAGCAAAGATGACTATAGCAATACAAGTACATACATGTGTACTCTTACTTCGTTACCACACGTATCTAGGTATTATTATCAATAGCCAACTGCCTGCAATCATCTTGTCCTTTTTTTACGAACCTAAGGACCGGCACAAAACTTTGGTAACGGAGGAGAAAATTCCCGATTTCCAAAGATTGTTTATCATTTATACTTTAATGATATACCTAAATTAAAAATTTTTAAATATCAAAAATAATAATTTTGTATTTGGCGGCTTAATACGGAAATTAAAATATCCTGAATTGACCAGCATTCCTTGTGCTAATTTTAGTAAATTTCTCACGGTGTGTTAACTAACTTAATTCATCGTTTATTATCATTTATTAGTAGCCAGCTTATACCATTAGCACAAATAGTATTTATATTTTCGTTAATTAAGCAGAAACCTATCTAGGTAAGTAATATGATCACAATTATGATAAATAAGTATAAAGAAAAAGCAGTAGGCCAATATTAACTTATATAGTATGTAGATACTTATAGCTACATTTTTTTGTTGCAAGCATTTACTCTATATTTTCATCACCTGGCTAACAGTATAATGCGGAGTCTCTAAGCGCCACTACGTGTGTATTACGTAGTAGCCGTTACTTCCGAGGTGCGCCTAGTTGAACTAACAAGCATGTTTATTTTCTTGATTACGTCATCACATCATCTTGAACTCGACGCTCAATACGAAATTCCAAATGCTTCCATCAGTTTATAAACGCCTTCAGTGTTATAAAGTTTAGTGTCTTAAAATAGAAGATGTTAAAAGCGTGTTGCGACTGCTTATTCGGGTATGGTTTATGTCTAATATAAATAATATAAATTTAAGTAAGTATACAGTATCAAACTTTTTCATGTTCCATTACATTAATTGTAAAATGAAGTACGAGGTTATATTTCTTAACTTTTAAAATGTAAACACAACTGTTTGCAATTAGATATTCCCGAACGCAGCCCCTTACCTAATGTCAATGTCAAATTGATTATTTTTATGGGCAGAGTCAGTAAAATTCCAGACAAATTATCTTTTTGAAGACTAGGCAGCATGGTCTCCGACCTTAGCCTGTTCCAAACGGAACAAACGTACTAAAAAAAAAAAAAAATGGGCAGAGTCAGAATCAGAGTGTAAGTACGTTAGATTGTATCGTTTGGTTGTTTTGTTTACTCGGAAAACTAGCAATACATGACTCAATTCTTTTAGATACGATATAAAAAAAAACTTATTTCTAAACATTACAATAACCTGTTTATCTTGGTAGATTATTGATTGTTATATTAGAACTAAGTACGTAAATATTTTGTAATCAGCACAGGTACTTGTAACCTATAACAACTTCGAATATGTGTCATTTTATGCATAGAAATTTTATCGCGTAAGTAATAGGCGTGGCGTAATAAATTTATTAAATTATTATTATTTTAGTTCACCAGAAGAGCAACAAAAAAATGAACGAACTTCTGCAACACAATTGAATCCTAGGAATCGACAATTGCCGCCCTGGCCACAACCACGATCGCAAACAGAAAAAATGTTCTTAATACCTAAAGAACTAAATCCAGAAGATGAAGTTTCTATTCAAGGGACAGTAACAAATAATCCTAACAGGTACGATATTTTAAGGTTATATTTTTGAGACTGGTTGGATCTATGTTTTAGTATAAAACATGATTTTTTTGCCTATTTTCAACATTTAGGTATGATACAAAATTAAAAAATTCAATTTATGCTTATATAAATATATTTTTCAGCCTAACATTCAATGTGACTGTTGAAAATGGTGATTATTATCAATTGGAAGTAAATTTCGTTGAGAATAGATTGTTTATAAGGAAAATGGAAGAAAACTACACTGAAGATATTAACGGAAGGCATGAGAATATGCAAGCTACAGATCTATTATCAGGTAGATTAATAATTAATTTGATTGTATTATAATTACCCCTATTAGTGGGTAATATGTAAACTTCCCTAAAAGGGGTACTGGGTTCTATTCATAGTCTATTAAATACTTTTAAATTGGTTTGGCTCTGGCTTGTGTGTTCTGTATTACTTCAAAATAATTTGAGAAGGCTGATTACATAGCATATTTTATAACAATAACAGATGTATTCATTTTTCTACATATATGTTGTGTTATTGATTTACAATTTGAATTTTCACTAGTAAATTAGATTTTTAGTAGTAATAAAAGTGCCAAGAATTAGTACCTGGTTTATAATAACAAAGTTCAAAGTGATCATTGTTTTAGTTATTGTGCTAGATTGCTTTAGTATTTCTTTTACTTTTATATTATCTAAAACAATAAAACTTTTTTACAGGATTAAATTTCAATCTAGGTTTCACATGCGGGGAAAAAAATGGCATTGGATATTATATACAATTAAAATATGATGGATATCCTTTAGAAGAGTTCGAAATAAACAACAGTTGTAATAAAATCCGATATATAAGCTTAGATGGTGATGTCGAAAGAGTGAATAAATTAGAATTTATGTTCTCATAATAAACAATTTATAAAGTATTGTGATGACAAATTTACACAATGCCTATTTCCATAAATTAGAAGTGCATCTACTCAACATCACAAAAAATATCTCAGACTACTAAATCTTGACATGACTTAATAACAAAGACAGTAACTACTAAACAAATTTACTTTGGTGCTATTAGGTAACACAAAAAATTACTGTCAAAAAAAAAATATATAAATCTATATGAAAATTGCCTACAAAATAACTAGCAAGTGGATATTTTTGCTCATGTTTATTTCTGATTAGTCTAGTGAGAAAATATTATTCCTTATTTACATTAAGAAAAAAGTATTTATTGTCTATTGTTCACACTCTTACTTATAAATGCTAATTATCTTCATAACAATTAAATAGGAAAATTATCTGATTAATATTATAAATGTGAAAATTTGTAAAACATGTTTTGGTTTTAGATACTAATAGTTTGAACATTAAAATATAAGTGTGATGCTTATGCTTTAATGCTCAAACCATTTGCTTAGTTGAAAACTTGTACACATATGAAGTGTAATTGCAGATTTAACATTTTACTGTTAAATATGTTATAATCAGTCAGTAATCAATGTGTACAATAGCTATAAACTTAATTATCGTCATATCCATATTTCAGCATTCATAGATACAAAAAAATTGTTTTCAATATTGTGAATCATTTTAAATAAATAAATCGAAAATGTTTAAATGTAATATTTAAACGCAATGCCTTTTAAAGCAGTCATGTTAGGATGAAAGTGATAATGAATGATAAAAATGCATATTACTAGATGGATAGATATCCACTAAATGGCTTTATATAATAAGTATAAATTTTTTTACTCACTAAAAATAATTGTTATTGATTAGCTAGTCATTAATTGATTCTTGATTCTGTTCAGCATATTTAAGTATTTTCATCCTTTAAAACACGTCTTATATTTTTTAAAATGTATTATTTAGATTTAAACATTAGTTCTGTTGTATTACCACCTTATTTGACTATTATAAGTGTTATTGTTTTAAACTACATATAAATCCTTTAAATAAAATTCTTTATTTATTAAGGAAATAACAATTATTCTTTATTTAGTAAGATCGATTCTGAAACATCTATATCTAGGACTAAAATTTTAATTTAATATTATGGCAGAAATATAAGAATAAATAACCTTTAATAGAATTAAGTCAAAAATATTTTACATCCATAAAATTTATTTATTTACTCATATTAAACACAGAATCGAACCCATTGTTAATAATATCCCACCCTTTGTGTGTAACTATTATTATTTTAATAATACTTTAGTATTATATAAGTTTTTGATCATATAAAACCATAAATATGTTATTAATTGGGTAGGTAATCTACAATGCTTAAATTTTTAAGCAATATAAAAACAGTGATTGATACTTGATATTTTGACTCTGAAATGTATATATACTATTGAAATCCCTACTAGATTAGTTTGTATGAGTAGTTTGTTTACTGATGAGGTACTTACAATCATTACGTTACATTATTTATAGATTTGTTGTATCGCTACAAAGCAAACATCACTATTCACTGTTTATGTGTGTGGGAATGAATTAGTTGCACCAATGCATTTATTTATCTGGGAATGACCCAAGAAGAATATGAGTGGATACAAGTACATTTACAATTATTTTGTTATTGTTATTCCTTTATAGAAAATCTAACTTACTTGATACAGAAATAAATTATATATTTTAGTACACAAAGTATGCTGTTTTATTTAGCTAAAAAAAGTAATATTTACACATTATGTTACATAGTTTTAACTTCTTTACCATTATATAGTATATTATATATCCCTTTATGAAAACTGTTCTCCCCATCATAAATATCTAAATACCAGAGATTATTTAATATTAGAAGTAAAGTTTTTCGATATACTTTTGTTGAACTTTAAAATTGGATTTAGAATGTTTGAATGGTCTTATGTATTTCTGTATGTATATTTATTAATAAAGTAATCCACAACAATTAACTGTATATATATATATATATATATATATATATATATATATATATATATATATATATATATATATATATATATATATATATATATATATATATATATATATATATATATATATATATATATATATATATATATATATATATATATATTGTTACTTTTGAGTAATTATAGGAAGGAATATTTTCAAAATGTATACCTCTTTAGACAATCTTTGTAAAAAGGAATAGGCGGTTATGCGGCCAGCAAGGACAGGTTAATTAGAACATTGAACATTACTACAAAAATAATTTAAAATACCTACTATTTTAAAAAGTGTTTAACAAAATCCTAAAGTGGTTAAAGATTGTTTAATCGGTGCATTAAACGGTTATAATGTCTGCCCATAATTTTTATTAAACTTAATAAGCTGTCGGCTCACTTAATAAAAAGTAATTATCGTCGTTTATAAACAGTATCATAGACAAAATATATGTCTCAATAGTTGAAAAAAACCTATGTATTTTTATAAATCAATAATTATTTAAATGTTTATTCATAATATTACTTTTGTAGTAAGCCGGTTCAACATGTATTTATTTTCTGTCTATCACAAGTATATTTTTGTGGTAAAGCCATTAGCATTTATGTGTTTATGAAGGCTACTCTTTATTTTTTTTAAATTGATGATAATGGAATGGTAATCCCGCTTGCGCTAACGATACACGCTGGTGGGGCACCAGTGATGAATACACCTGTAATTCAGCATGATGGTTCCCAGGGGAGATCACGTGGAGGTCGACCTGACAGGGTAGGGTAATTATAATACCGCATTACTAACAATCCCCCCCCCCCCGGCTACTCTGCTATTTGACTCCTCTATTCTTTACTGTTATATATCTTGCTGCCAGAACATATGGCAACATATAATAAAGCTAGCATTAACGAGACTGAATTCTATTTATTGGACAATCAAAACAATAACTACCCATGTTTCTTAAAGTTCCGTAGTCAAACAATATTTTTAATATCCATAATTTTTTTCGGTATTCTCTAAAAATAATTATATTGCTATAAGTGAATATTATCATTATCCTCCTTTAATTGTATAATAATGTATAAATAGTAATTATGGGAATTATTCTCTAATTATGGGAAGACAATGAAGCGGGAAAAGCTTATCTAATATATTGTTTGTGGCATTAGTAATAAAATATTATGAATGAACGTATTTATAGTATAACATGAATTTTCCTCTACATCAAGAACTAGCAACCTGCCCTGGCTTTGCATGGGTGTATAACTCGATCTGTAATTTCTATGAAATAAAATATAATTCAAGTTACTTCATGGTAATATAGCTTTCTATATGCGAAATATAACTTTAAACATGTTTTACCTTATATTCTTATTTATTAATATTGCTACCACTCCTGTAATAAAACCATCACGTATAGTGCTCGTAACAGAGATAAGTTTAACGTTTTGATTTTTTTAATATATATTATATATAGCATATTTTTCAAAAATAAATTAGTTTGCGTATTAAAAAACAACTGGAATAGCTAGTCATACTATTCACTTTCTATCTATCAGCACAGTTAATGTATAATAATAAAACAACAAAAAACCAATAGAATTCATTCATTTCTGGTCATAGTGATTAGGACAGTAAAATAAGATTGACTTTTCTTCTAAAATAAAGATAACAAAGATACTACTTATGATGTATTTTGTTTGTTTTTAGGACTACTATATGTTGAATATATATATATATATATATATATATATATATATATATATATATATATATATATATATACCGTATATATATACGGTAATTAATATCAACAAACTGTAGGGATAATAATGTATATATAAAATAATAATAATGAACTTACATGATTGTGACGTAAATCAAGTTATGAATGAATATATTAAGGGTAAGAACGTACATATTACATTGGATTTCCCTGTCTTGACAAACATGTTTGTTATTTACCTTTTGCTGTTTTGACAAACTCGCTTATCTGCTAAATCCAGTTGTTCGGGATACTTCAGGAAAGGATAATAATATAAATTTACCGCAAATTACATAAATATTTATACTTATCATTGCGTCCGGTAACTTTAGTGGAGTTATTTTTAGTTTATTTAATAGCTAGATTTTACCCACAATTTCGTCCTCGGGACCGGGATAAAAAAAGTGACCTATAATCTTCTCCATGCCAAATAGTACGTCTATATAAAATTTCATAGTGATAGATTAAGCAATTAAGGCTCTATAAAATACAAACATACTCATTTTAACATTTATAATATTAATAAGGATTATCGGCAAGTATATTTTATATAACCGTTTCTTGTATTTGTATTTCTTTATTTATTTAACTATTCTATCAAAAATATAAAAATATACAATGAAATAAGAAAATTCAAGTGAAATATAGTGGCATAAAGTATACGTAAAAAATATATAAACATATTTATAAATATATACATATTATTTCGTTTTTTGTAAAAAAAAAAAAAAAACAATTTTGTAAAGAACTTCCATAACAAATTGACGTCTCATTTCAAGCAAGAAACCAGCTTTAAAAAATGCAATTATGGATATTCTAAATTGTTAAATAACTTCACAGTTATTATTGAAACTTTTTTATAATATATGGGGCAAACAAGCATGCAGCTCATTTGAAATACTACTACTGGAATTGATTTCAAAGTGGGGTTGTATGTAGAAGAAACTGCTTTGAAAAACGCACGGTGGAAACCCGCCTTTCAACCAGATGTTCGAGGTTACAATTCAGCAACAGATGTCAAACCTAACAATTCCTCAGAACACTCCCTATAATATATTCCATAAAAGATACATATGTATACATCAACTGAAACTGTATGTCTCCGCAGTTTCGGTGAAACGAGTCGAATAGTAAGAAATAAAATACTGTAAATATGAATATATAAATAAAATACCTACGAAATTTCCTTAATTTCGTGTTTTTATGTCATAGACCGTTGATTGTACGAAGTATAAGCATAAGCACAGGATACATATTTTTTTATTCTACAATGACAAAATAGGACTATTGGCAAGTCCCTCTTTATCTGTCAGTTGCTTTGCTCTTTACAAATTTACATATTTTAATCTATATTTCTGATTCTTATATTGTATACTGTTTTTGCTAGGTATCTCTTCACAAAGATGGTGAAGAGATTTGATAGACATATAAATTTAGAAAAACCTATTATTGGCCATACTACTTTGTACAACATTTCATAAATGTTTGTTAATTTTATTTGTAAACCGCTGTTGGTTTTTTCAAATAAATAAATAAATAGACAAAAAAACCATCCATATCCGTCAAATTATAGAAGGTATATGATGTCTGTAAAGATTTAAATAAACGGTAAACACTTACCCACAGTTGTAAATCGAACGTATGTCTCTTGATTGTCCATCATGGCGTCTACTGCTTGCTTCTCGCAGTAGAGCGCCGTTACTACAGCTATGCTTGGTTGTCTTGATGAGCACAATGTGGGCATTTGCTTCACTACCTTTTAGAATTATAAATATAATGATGAATATCATAATTAGAAATGTTGGGTTTAAAATTTGTCTATAGATTGGGTGTAACGTTGTAAAATAAATATACTTTAATAAACTTACGATGCTTTAAATTACTAAAAACTTAGAAAGCCTACAGTTATGTAAAGACATAATCTCGCCTAGTGTCTTTATTTAGAATGAAAATGGAATTATGACCTAGCTTGTACTATTGGTATACACAGGTGAAATACCGGCAGACTTACCTCAGTTGTTTTTGTTAAGTATTATACCTCAGACTAATACTTAACAAAAACAACTGAGGTGGTTTTTTGAGAGTAGGGATTATTGGCATTTCAATTAATTTCAATGTGGAAAATTGCTTTGAGATACGAGCAAGGTTACGGAACAAATTAAACTCGTATGTCGAGGTACCACTGTATTTATAACCTATCAACTTAAATAGCTTTTTATTACTTTTTTCTAAAATGTGTTAAAGCAATAATTTTCTAATGGTACCTGAGTGTCAACACTATGTTGCCGAATATAGAGACCATCTGACATAGCACGAGTCAAGCCCTTTTCTTCTAATGATTCCAACGCATCTTTTACTTCTGCTTTTGACCATCTTCCGGCTCTAGAAAAGAAATTACGTATTAGTAAAAATTGTAGAGAAATGTATGTATTTGTAAAAAAGATGATAAAATGGTGTTTGCCCGTTTGGTCTCGACATAGAATAGGCCAATCCTTCCTTTTCCGTGGGTGTTATAATAGGCGACTAAAGGAGGGCAAGGGATGAGCAGTTCCCCAATGGAGAAGCTTATGTTCAGCAGTGGACAGTTAAAAACTGATATGATGATAACATTTCGCATATAAGTAGCTAGCATGACTGATCCTAGTACCTACGTCGTTATAATATTTAGGTAAACAATTATAGAAAGCCTCTTATCCCATTCAAATTTATTTCTAGGTAACAATTAATTATAAGTAGTAACAGCTCAGTTGAATAACTTTTCACTGTGGTCCGAAGACCTTCAGTTTAAATTTCTTTTTCGAGATCTTGATATTAGAGGGCGTCATCTTAACACGAATAGTATATATTAAAATAGTAGTAGTTCTATGTAGTAAGAAATAAAGATCACCGATGTGTCTCTTTGTTACAAGCGTAACAATTTTTAATTTTCTAAACCTGAAATTCGACATTATTACGCGATTTTATGTTACGCTACACACCACGTCCACTCCCAGTATTATTGTTTTTATGTGTGTATATATACATACATAGCTGGTTTCGTGTTACATCTTCAGTGTGTTTTAAGGTATGATGCGATTTTATTTTATATATAACAACATTTAAAAAAAATTATACCGATTATCGTCATCATTTCAGCCATTATTCATTCACTGCTGAACAAGACCTCCCTCATAGGCTGTCATAAGGAACGATACTGAGCCACCTATATCCACTGATTCCTTGTAATGCATATAAAGTTGTCACTCCATCTAGTAGAGGGTCGTCCTACACTGCATTATCCCGTACAGGGTGGCCACCCAAGAACTTTTCTGCCCTTTTTTTTATACTGATAATTCCTATAAATACTATAAATGCGAAAATGAGATATTGTTAATTTGTTACTACTTGGCGCCTTAGCAACACAATTATCACGAAATTTAGTATAGGCCTAGTATTTGAGATAGAGAAGAAAATATGTTATTTGGAAACCCGTTCATCAATATATCCTTATTACGATGAAGTTGTGGGTAAATATTACTAATATATATTATTGTAACCAAGATACTTACGTGACAAAGTCTTCTACAGTCAGTGGATTAGGATATGCATTTTCTATCATATCCAGTACTCTTTGTTCAGAAATAACTGGTGTTTGATTTAAAATGCTATCTTCTATAAACGCTGCAATAAAAAAACAATAACATATTTATATAAATGATATTAAACAATTACAAATATTTTAATGAACTAGATGTTATGTTGCGGAAGACCATTACACTGGTTATTAAATTAGAACTATTTTGTTTAATTCTGCTACCATTAGTACGTGTGTGACTACCAACACTCGATGAATGATCACCACTATTATTACCAGAAGAATCACAACTTTACATATTAGCCTACAATCTCAGACTGCCATGTTGTTCACGCTAAATGAGGCATCTTCAGACAAATTATTACATCAGTGCTCCGAGCCGAATGTTAAGGTTAAAGTATGCGGCACCTAAACTACGAAAAACAAAATAAAAAATTCGGAGTTGGGTGCCAAACGGTTAACTTCTGGTAATAATAATGGTGGTTAATCTTCGAGTGTCGGCAGTCACACGTATAATAATGGTAGCGGAATTAAACAAAATAATTCTAATCAAATATCCAGAAATAATTACAACCCTTATACTCTTAGTAATATTAAAAAAAAAAAAAAAAAAAAAAAACAGTGGCATGCACACAAGAACAAATATCACACCAATAACGAAACAAATAATCTAATAAATACTGTTTGCTAGATTGATTCACCTATTACATTAACAATTGTCAGTTTTGCTTATATGTTATCATTTAAGGTATACTGAGTGAAATCTAAATCATTAACGTCTAAGTATTTTAAAAGTGAATTTGAACTTGTTTAGAAGAAAGGTAAAGCTGCTAATGAATTTGTTTTCACTCTGTATAGCATAGCCCAAGATCCCATTGTGTTAATTAATGAATAATTCTATTAAATTACTTAGGTATTCCTTAGTGTAATAAAAATGTGCTTTCATTAAAAAACTGAGGTTCTATAATTAATTAGTAAATTTATTTGCAAGTAAGATTAATTAATCTATGCACGTTCATTGTATGTACGCTGATTGTATTTCTCACATGGAACAGAATTTTTATCGTGATTCCTTAGTTTCTCAAAGCACTTCCTTAGTTCAGGTCATGCTAATTTTTGGTTGTATAGATAAAGTCCTTTTATATAAGTAAAATTTATGTTAAATATAATTTATAATTCTTCCAGTGTGGTCCTGGTATAAAATAGACCACCCCTTCATTTCCCGTTTTATTCACAGCCAAATTTTAATAAGCAATAAGGGACAAATATTCATCTACTGTATTGTAAATAATAAAAAAAATGTGAGCATTGTTGTATAATATAACGGGAACCTGATCTATTATAATTTATAGAGAAAAAATTAATTATATAAATCTCTAAATACCAAAAGGTATCAACTATATATGTATATAGTTTAATTCAAATTTCTGGCAGTTGATTTCTAGAAAAATGTAAATATTATAATTAAAATGATGGAAATTATAAATTTGTTAAGTAATAAAAACACAAAGTCATAATGAACCATAAAAAACCAGAGGGAGACTTTGTACAAAATTCGTTTGCTTGTACCTCTGTACCTCTGTCTCATTCGTGTTTTAACCGTAAAACAGTTGTGTTTGTATGGCTGTGTTTCGGTTTGAAGGGTGGGATATGGCGTGAATTTACAGGGTACAGAGGAATAACACCTGAGTCCTCAGGAATGGCAACGCATGGGAAATATCATGAGCGAAACAGTATACTCTGTTATGTCCATGATATTGCTCATGTCAATAGGCGACGATTACCACTTTCCATCAGATGGGCCGTCAGTTTTTTGCCATTTTAAGTTGTATAAAAAAAATTAAAGAAAAAAAAATATATTTCTTTTATAACTATATGAACATAACACTAAGATATTTTTAAATAGCTGTGCTCTACTAACATTAGAGGTGAATAAGTTCAGAAATATTTTAATAAGCAGAGATTATATGTGCAGGTGATATATTTCATAGAAATATCATATTTATATAGATGATTATACATATATATATTGTAACTATAAAAATAACTCGCATCTCCAAGTTTAAATATTTAGCAATACATTAGTGCTCTTTAATCATGTCATAATAACTTTATACCAATAATATAATAACAGCTATATCATGAAGGGGAGGGGGTATAATAATGATAAGTATACTTGGATCCTTTGAATATTTTTTAACAAAGACATCAAACAATAAATCAATTAACTTTATAAATTTCTTAAATGATTTGACTAATTAAGTACTTGCATCAAAATGTTATGGTGAGGTTAATGAACAGAGAAAACTATATGCAAGGCTTCTAAACCTAAATAGTGTAATAAATTTTATAATAATATTCAAACACATGCATACTACTGAATATTATACATACACCCATTATAACAGTTGTATATTATTCCCTTACTAGTAATAACGCCATTTGTTTCTGTATGATAGAAAAAATAAAATTTATGAAATAATCAATTAAGCATATTTGTTAATATTATTAATAACTGTAAATACAAGTGGAATAAAAACTCGAAATAAAACACTAAACCAAACCACTTAGCAAGTTGGTAATAATAAGTCCTCTGAAGGGGATGCCCAATAGTGGGATATTAATAGGCAATAAATAAATACATAAATAGTTTTGAATTTAATGTCGCTATGTAATACAGTGTTAATTACTTCCAAACTGAATAGAAACTGTACTATGTATCACAAACAACTGATAGGTAGATACTCATATTATTTTTTGTAAACTCATATTTATATACATATATATTTAAATTAAATACATTATGAAAAACGCTTAGGTCATTACAAGCAGACATTCATAAACATATGTTTGTATTTTAATGTACTAACTATCGCTATGTATGTTTGTATGGTACACATCAACAAGGTCTGTAATAAAATCATTGACAATGATATATTTTATAAATGTCTCATAGGTGTGTTAATTAAATTACTATATTATGGGCAAATATTTGGTAAAATCTAATTTTAAAAATTCAACACAATTAGTCAATTGTTGTATCATTTATATATATAATGTATAAAGGATATTATACTACATACATAATACAATAATATATCACAATACCAACCTGGTGGAGGTGAACCACGCCCCTCTTGTCTCAATTCAACTTCTAATAATTTTAATTGATGATATTTGTTCTGCATCAATTTTATAATCTTCTTTATAAAGCCGACATAATCTGTAATTTATTAAAAACATTCATTCAATATGTGAATATTCTGTAAGGCATTACGCACAATACATACATGTCAATGGAGTTAAATAATAATTAATCTTTTTTTTACAAAATTCACATCTCTCTCCTGAAAGAGGAGAGAGAGCAATGTAATCCCCTGGTAACAATTCTCTCCCTGGATACAAGGACCCAAGGAGATAAATATTATTATTATTCTTTTTAATTTTTTAATACAATAGTTTACTACATTTGCTACATGTTGTTCATGAAAAATGTAAAAATATTACTTACAATCTTAGCTTATGATACTTTTAGTACAGAAAATGAATTTTATATAAAAATAGAATCCATTTACTTGTTCATGCATGATTAAATAACAATACTCATATATCCCAATATAAAATAGCAGGATTATTAAGAATTGGCACATATGTAAGTCACTATTAATATTGATAAGTTAACTGCTCAATCAGAAGATATTTAAACAATTTTAGACAACCAAATAAAAATGTAAGAATTTTGTACCTTTGGGAAAGTCTTGAGGACTGACAAGCTCTCTGAAAAATCCTTGGGCTTCATGTGGACGCTCACTTGGGGGCATCTGTGGTTTAAACCAGAACCTGAGGGCTCTCGCCTCTCTTGTGTGGGTTCCATTAGCAGCTGATACAAGATAAACGCGGAATTCAAGCTGAGCATGACATGGTTCTGTGACTCCATTCTCTGTAAAAAAAATGAAATATAAAGGAACTAGCAGATATTATTTATAAAACCAACCAGATATTTTTAGCTGGTTGGGTTCTCTTGTTTATATTTTTAGACTGCTTAGCTATTTTCAAAAAAAAAAAAAAAAACACTGAAAAAGATTAATACAATAAACTCAAGATTTTCCATACCTGCCTTACAATTTCATGAAAAGTTACAAATATATAGGTAATAATTCAAACAATGAATCAAGATTATTATCTACAATACTTTGGAAGAATACACAATATATGAATATATAAAAACCCCACAACATTACGTTGCTTTAGGCCTTGGCCCTTTAAACAAGTTTTCATTTATAGCTAAAAACTCTGCTCCCCAGTCTGGGGTAGGCAGGTCCCTTATCTTCCCGTCCTTTTAAAAATCCTATGCGCAAACCTCTGAAATCACTCACCAATTACAACAAAATTTTGTAAATATTTGTTTTTTGCTTGAGAGGACAAGATAGAGGGTAAAACAATGTTAACAGCAGTTAGTACAATATATAATAACAATTTGACACAAATTCCCATAGGTATGTTAGCCAATAAAAGGAACCACAATTAAATGCTATACTTAAGGTATTTAATATTTTTATTTTTAACTATCTAATCCAGAAGATACATACTCTTATTTAAATAGCCCAATCAGTTCAACTTTTCTCAAAGGATGTCTTGACCAAGAATCAACATTTATACTTATACAGATGTTTGATTGATGTCATATCATGACTACATTGGCTCTACGATAATGGTAGTGAGTCACCTAGATAATTATAATACATTACAGTTGGATGCCAGTAAGCATATTTATTATTAGTTTCATGATTCATAATACTAGAGATGATAATAGAATCATCAGAGAATAAAAATTTTCTACAAATTTAAACTTGTCAAAGGTTGACTGAGTGAGGATATAATACTGACTTCCTTAATATTACAATTTAACCATATAAATGAAAAACCTATTATATGGTAAACTAAAAAGACTCACATTATATGTATAATTGCATAAACTTTAAGATCTTCAACAGATGACCACTTGGTAGTTAGCAAATTTCAATATAGTATTAAAATTGTATACACACACATACTCTATGGCAATATTGTACTATGAAAAATAAAATGACATCTTTTTTATCCCCAATTCTTTGTAAATGTTTTTGTCTTATCAGAATACATGTTGTATTTAGAAATAATGTAATTTGTGAATTATCATATAGCCACTGTCAAGGCTTGGATACTTGTTTTATTCTACACATAGGGTCGAAAACTTGTTTTCTTTTTCTTTTGTTATTATTGTTTTTACTGATATTTTCTGTTCTTTACCTAATTTTTACCTACTTAAAAACCACTATTACTTCAAATTACCCCCCAAGTCTCTACACAACACCCCCATTTTTTTCTGGATCTCTTACCACCCCCATTTAGGCCTGCAGCACCCACAAGGGGGCCTTATCACCCACTTTGGGAAAGGCTAGACCGGGCTAGGTGATGAGGTACTAATAGAAAAATCAGCGTTTCTGCTTCTGCAGGAACTTTAAGCTGAATTGGCATCCTTTTTCATGTCCGTAACACTGACTTATTTCAACTACACTTTTATAAAATGTAAAGTTTTTTTTTTAATATTTTTTTTAATGTTGTTATTACTTTTAATTTAAGTATAGATAAGTGTTGTGGATTATTGAAATAAATTTTCATTCATCTAAATTAATTTATAAATTAAATAAAATACTGTTGCAATTTTAATATAATATACATAAATAACTCATTTATCATCCCTACTTTGTATTTCAAAAATACAAATACTTGTTTAATTTAATATATCTCACAACACACATATCCTAAAATAATTTATCAACTGTTGCTGTTGAATTAACATAATACTAAATTTTTATTAATAATAGAGTGATTACAAACAGGAAATAACAAGGTCAATGTGATAAATATTTGAGCTAATTTGTTGCAAAAAATTATTGAATACTAGTGATCTGCTCCAGCTTTGCACTGATGGATAGATAGAAATAGTCTTTAATATAAGCTTTAATAGAAACTTTTTATACTATAATCTATCATAATTTTCATAGGGATTTAAAATTTTTTTATAATTAATATATAGTCTATGTCACTCACTGATAATATAGCTTTCTATAGAGAATCCTATTCGGCAGGAATTTTTAAAACTTATTTTAATATTTTTTGAGTTTCTCCATTATAAATAAACAATCAAAACTTTCCTTCCTCTTTATAATATTAATATAGATATTATATTTTAGAAAAGTATTTTATAGTTTCCAATTTATTTAAATACAAATTGTGAGTGTGTTGTTATTATTCAGAATGTTTTTGTTGTCACTGAAAATACCACAAATTTATACACACACAAAATAGCAATAATTCTAATCTTTTATATATACATTTACATACATTTATATATATGTATCTTTCTTTGAGTGGAACAATAAAGTTTCCAATAATTACTTGAATCATTATTGCAAATAATGTATCAATCAAATATGTATCAAATATACAGTTTAATAAATGCTAATCATAATTATTAAATCCAAATATTATATAATGATCCCTTATAAATCTGTTTCACTTCATCCATGGTAAAACCTTACTTCATATTATAAAATTAGTTATTTAGCAGTAAGATATTATAATTAATATATATGTGTATAACTCATATAATTAAAGCATGCATATTATTGTAACACAAACCATAAACTTTTTCCTTGTTGATGATTATACCAGTATGGTCACCCCCTGCCACATGAATCTTATCACTAGCTTCAGCTTCCACAGCTTTTCTCTCTACTATAAGAGTAGTAGATGTCGCCGTTTTGCTCTTAGGAGTCATAACAACTTTTTCATCTATAGTTTCCGCCATTGTGAACTTCTAAAGCAATAAAAAACAATAATTAGAATTAAATTAGTTACACCAATTTATCTTCCGCCCAGATGCTGTTGATGAGTCATAACCATAACAATGTACCCTTTTAGAGTACAAGGCGAATGACACTACCAGACGACGGGTACATTACCTTAAATACTTGCATATATACAGAACATAATCATGTTTTATAGAGTTCGAATTAGAACACTTGTTGGATCGAAGCACTAAGTTTCACAGGGAGAATCTCGATGGACAATAGAATAACTACCAGTAATATTTGAATATGAGAAATAGTTGATAACCTTCACCTGCTTTTGCTGTCTTAATTACGTTCACTTTGCTACAGCTTCAAAATAAGAAATTAAAATTTTAAATAAAATAAGTAGGTAGATTTTTATTAATGTCTATTCTCGCTTTGTTGACATTGACAATTTGACATTACACATTTTATGTCGGTTGTCATGGTTATCATATAACCGTCATTTAGCCACACTACAAAGTAGATACTGCAAAATGAGGTGAATAGAGATCGGGATGTAAATAGGGACGAAACCAGCAGTGCCATTCTGTAAAATGCAAACTCGATATCGAATCTCACTCAGGTGACCGTTCTCACTTCGATAGCGAAATCACTTGACCTTGGATTGGCATTCTGTTTACACTTGAAGTGCAGAGGCGATGTGAAGTGAGTTTCGAAATGAATTATCGAGAACTAGAGACGTGCCCGGTGCGCCATGTTTAATCTATATAATCGATTTAAAGTATTTCCTTTGTTTTTTTAGAAATTATATACTAATGAGTGTATTATTGGCTTTACTTATGTTTGAGATTATTTAGTCTATTTAATTATACAAATTAAGCGATAGCTAAACCAATTTAAAAAAAAATATAATTTCTTGTCAGTATAGCCAACATTCCTTTGCGTCCATGTAAAAAAATTATTTTGTTTGGTAAACTTTGTGTTGTGATTCCAAGAACAAGAACTTTAAGTGGAGAGGACTAAGTGGTTTTACGTTCTTGCGATACACATGGGTACCTATTGAACACAAAAAATTAACATGTTGAGTATCAGTAAGTTTAGTGCATTCAACATTTGTGTTTCGAAAGAAGTGGAAGCAAAAATGAAGTGAGTATACACACAATTTAATGTATTTTTATATTTACAGAAAATGTTGTATATCTAAGTGAATGAGCCGATGATTTATCTTATTGATGTGAGTAGCAACCATCACACAATGTACTGTGATGTCCATGTTACTCCTCTTACATTGTTATATCTAAGGCCATAATTGTTATGCTTTGTTTTACCCTATACCTTTAATTACACTGCAATCACAGTTATTTTGGCGGTAGGAAGACTTGTAAAACATAGATAGGTGTCCATGCAAATGACTTAGACGATGTCTCCCTGTAGTAAAGTAATTATTTACTTTGCTGTCAATACTAATTGTTAATTTTTAAATTTTCTGGTAATTATGTAATATTTTTTTATAATGGACCGTATAACTAACCTGACTGTTGGACTATCAAAGTCATTACAGAATCATTGCGAGACTATTATTTAAATTTTTTAAACTAGTCTATAATGCTAAAAAATATCTTATATAGATTACAAATAGTCTTGTGAAATCATTCTTATATTTTTGTTCTATATTTATATTAAATGAAATGTGCATATATGATAATTTATATATTGTAGCATAAAAATTCCCTATGTTGTAAGTTTGGCAGTAAGAATTTCATAATTACTATTCTTTTACAGCTCCACGCCGTAGTCGGCGATTGATACCTGCGTCTCCACCTTCTCAGAGGCGGTCACAGCTTACCAGCCTCACTGATCGCTTCCTGAGAGTGGAGGAGCAGCGGTTAGAAATAGATAGCAGAAGTGTAGCTGTATTAGAAAATATGGCTAAACTAATGAGGGAACTCTTGCAGCGAGACCAAGATAGAAGTCATGAGGTTAGCCAGGGATTGCTGGCTGTAGGGGAGGGATTAAAATTGTTAGCCGAAGCATCGAAGCATTAAAAAAATAAAATGTTGAGAAAAACAAGGTCTTTTATTTTTATTGTTTTGTGACAAAATGTTTGTTATAGTAAATATATGTATTTACTCCCTACGAGAACGCCATAACTGATTAACTAGCATATCTCTGCTTGATTGACCCATTGCCAACTCGCTCTGAGAGTGGGTCAATGGCAACTGACGACCCACTGAGACGCGTGCAGTTGCACGAAAATTTGCTTCTTCCTCCTCATCATGACTATCTAGAGTCGGTGCAGATAAACCAGCTCTATTGCAAATGTTGTGCAGGACACAACATGCTATCACTATTTTTCCGGCTGTATCAGGATGGTAATGTAGAACGCGGTGCACAAGTAAACATCTAAAACGTCCCTTAAGTCTACCAATAGTTCGTTCGACTGTGTTACGTGCTGTTGCGTGTAATTTATTGTAATATTCTTCAGGTGTACCCTCAACAGCGTTAGGAATAGGAGTCATCAAATAAGACCGCTGAGCATATCCTGAATCTCCTACAACAAACATTAAAACCGGTTAGGTCAAATCTTTATCATATAGGCGGAAGTTAGAATCAACTTTAATTAATTGATCTCACCAAGTAAATATACAGTTTCACCAGCACCTACCAATTCTTCTAAATGGTTTTTTATATCACTATTATTAAAGATAAAACTGTCGTGTGTGGCGCCACCATAAGTAGCGTCTACATGTATTATATTGAGATCCGCATCTGTGTACTGAAATATAAAAATCTAGATATAATTATTATACTTACTAGCGACTAGCGACTACCGACCACTTCGTTGGTTTCCTAGCATGATTGCCTTTACGACAATAATAGCGCTCTTCATTTTCTGTGGGTCTAACTATTGTCACAAAAGTCCCATCCACACACCCGATTACTCCAGGAATTTTGAATTTTTCATAAAATCTGAAATAATACAAAATATTTTTTCTATGTAATAAAAAAAATATTACCTACCTAACAAAACAGACAAAGAAATAAAATTACAAAAATTTGTCAAATTTTTACAGTAACATATATTATAAATTTCGATATTATAAAAGACAGTCAATATTATTTATAGTTATAGATTACGAATTAAATATTATTTTATCAAAAGTATTTGTATATTACAAACCGTTCTTTTAATGCCAGCCTCTCCTCTGCATTCTGTGGAAATTTTATATATTTGCTTATAATAGTTGGATGATTTAATGTCTCCACTACCTCGCAAATGCAGCGAGATGCAGACGGTTGGGACAAAAAAGTATTTATATTTTGCCCTATTATCCTTTGATAACTGCCACTCGCCAAGAACGACAATGTGCACAATAACTGAAAAGAGATAAGTAAATAAGTCATATTATGTGCTTATCTACTATACTATTTATTATTACTTGATTGTACGGAAAATACTACTGTAGTGTTATTCGGTAAGCATCACTTCGAAACTCGATAGCTGAATCCGGAGTGAAATTATATCATGGCATTCTGTAAAACTCGATTGCGACTGCAGCGCCACAACGATGAGTACGGTGGCGGGATTAAACATTCAAAAGTGATATTTTGACGTTTGGTGCAGTGTATTGGCATTCTGTAAGGGAATTTCCCACTCACTTCGATACTCACTTCACCCAAGACACACGATTCCATTTGTCAAATATAAAGTTCCTATGGAGTGATCGAGATTTTATAAAAATATTATAAATTGTATTTAAACATAAGTTTTTTGGTTGCCTAATACATTAAAATGGCTAGATTATTTGTGTTATTGAGTTTATTAGAAGAAGCGAACTCTTTAGATTTATATAACAGCCGACGTCAAGCTCAACAAATTCGTGCAATGCGATTGTTTAATAGAAATAAGGATTATGTGAATGTGTACAGACTTTCAGAGGAATTAATAAATCAATTAGAAGAAGATATTAAGTTTTTTATTAAGAAACCACAACGTCGCCACCGAGGGTTATCCGTTAGAATCAAGGTAAGATCCAGCTATCTATCTATTAGGTACCTAATTTAAATAACTTGAATAGTCATTTAATTAGGTACTATGTTATGCTACCACTTATTTTCCGTACAATCAAGTAATAATAAATAGTATAGTAGATAAGCACATAATATGACTTATTTACTTATCTCTTTTCAGTTATTGTGCACATTGTCGTTCTTGGCGAGTGGCAGTTATCAAAGGATAATAGGGCAAAATATAAATACTTTTTTGTCCCAACCGTCTGCATCTCGCTGCATTTGCGAGGTAGTGGAGACATTAAATCATCCAACTATTATAAGCAAATATATAAAATTTCCACAGAATGCAGAGGAGAGGCTGGCATTAAAAGAACGGTTTGTAATATACAAATACTTTTGATAAAATAATATTTAATTCGTAATCTATAACTATAAATAATATTGACTGTCTTTTATAATATCGAAATTTATAATATATGTTACTGTAAAAATTTGACAAATTTTTGTAATTTTATTTCTTTGTCTGTTTTGTTAGGTAGGTAATATTTTTTTTTATTACATAGAAAAAATATTTTGTATTATTTCAGATTTTATGAAAAATTCAAAATTCCTGGAGTAATCGGGTGTGTGGATGGGACTTTTGTGACAATAGTTAGACCCACAGAAAATGAAGAGCGCTATTATTGTCGTAAAGGCAATCATGCTAGGAAACCAACGAAGTGGTCGGTAGTCGCTAGTCGCTAGTAAGTATAATAATTATATCTAGATTTTTATATTTCAGTACACAGATGCGGATCTCAATATAATACATGTAGACGCTACTTATGGTGGCGCCACACACGACAGTTTTATCTTTAATAATAGTGATATAAAAAACCATTTAGAAGAATTGGTAGGTGCTGGTGAAACTGTATATTTACTTGGTGAGATCAATTAATTAAAGTTGATTCTAACTTCCGCCTATATGATAAAGATTTGACCTAACCGGTTTTAATGTTTGTTGTAGGAGATTCAGGATATGCTCAGCGGTCTTATTTGATGACTCCTATTCCTAACGCTGTTGAGGGTACACCTGAAGAATATTACAATAAATTACACGCAACAGCACGTAACACAGTCGAACGAACTATTGGTAGACTTAAGGGACGTTTTAGATGTTTACTTGTGCACCGCGTTCTACATTACCATCCTGATACAGCCGGAAAAATAGTGATAGCATGTTGTGTCCTGCACAACATTTGCAATAGAGCTGGTTTATCTGCACCGACTCTAGATAGTCATGATGAGGAGGAAGAAGCAAATTTTCGTGCAACTGCACGCGTCTCAGTGGGTCGTCAGTTGCCATTGACCCACTCTCAGAGCGAGTTGGCAATGGGTCAATCAAGCAGAGATATGCTAGTTAATCAGTTATGGCGTTCTCGTAGGGAGTAAATACATATATTTACTATAACAAACATTTTGTCACAAAACAATAAAAATAAAAGACCTTGTTTTTCTCAACATTTTTTTTTTTAGTGAACCACTTACAATGTTAACACGAAAAAAAACAATCTTGGCTGTGGGATGCTTCGGCTAACAATTTTAATCCCTCCCCTACAGCCAGCAATCCCTGGCTAACCTCATGACTTCTATCTTGGTCTCGCTGCAAGAGTTCCCTCATTAGTTTAGCCATATTTTCTAATACAGCTACACTTCTGCTATCTATTTCTAACCGCTGCTCCTCCACTCTCAGGAAGCGATCAGTGAGGCTGGTAAGCTGTGACCGCCTCTGAGAAGGTGGAGACGCAGGTATCAATCGCCGCCTACGGCGTGGAGCTGTAAAAGAATAGTAATTATGAAATTCTTACTGCCAAACTTACAACATAGGGAATTTTTATGCTACAATATATAAATTATCATATATGCACATTTCATTTAATATAAATATAGAACAAAAATATAAGAATGATTTCACAAGACTATTTGTAATCTATATAAGATATTTTTTAGCATTATAGACTAGTTTAAAAAATTTAAATAATAGTCTCGCAATGATTCTGTAATGACTTTGATAGTCCAACAGTCAGGTTAGTTATACGGTCCATTATAAAAAAATATTACATAATTACCAGAAAATTTAAAAATTAACAATTAGTATTGACAGCAAAGTAAATAATTACTTTACTACAGGGAGACATCGTCTAAGTCATTTGCATGGACACCTATCTATGTTTTACAAGTCTTCCTACCGCCAAAATAACTGTGATTGCAGTGTAATTAAAGGTATAGGGTAAAACAAAGCATAACAATTATGGCCTTAGATATAACAATGTAAGAGGAGTAACATGGACATCACAGTACATTGTGTGATGGTTGCTACTCACATCAATAAGATAAATCATCGGCTCATTCACTTAGATATACAACATTTTCTGTAAATATAAAAATACATTAAATTGTGTGTATACTCACTTCATTTTTGCTTCCACTTCTTTCGAAACACAAATGTTGAATGCACTAAACTTACTGATACTCAACATGTTAATTTTTTGTGTTCAATAGGTACCCATGTGTATCGCAAGAACGTAAAACCACTTAGTCCTCTCCACTTAAAGTTCTTGTTCTTGGAATCACAACACAAAGTTTACCAAACAAAATAATTTTTTTACATGGACGCAAAGGAATGTTGGCTATACTGACAAGAAATTATATTTTTTTTTAAATTGGTTTAGCTATCGCTTAATTTGTATAATTAAATAGACTAAATAATCTCAAACATAAGTAAAGCCAATAATACACTCATTAGTATATAATTTCTAAAAAAACAAAGGAAATACTTTAAATCGATTATATAGATTAAACATGGCGCACCGGGCACGTCTCTAGTTCTCGATAATTCATTTCGAAACTCACTTCACATCGCCTCTGCACTTCAAGTGTAAACAGAATGCCAATCCAAGGTCAAGTGATTTCGCTATCGAAGTGAGAACGGTCACCTGAGTGAGATTCGATATCGAGTTTGCATTTTACAGAATGGCACTGCAGGAGTTAGTAGAGTAATTTGAATTAGATACAGTAAATATTGTAGACTTCATATATGACAATTAACTATTTTACCCAATAGTACAACATTTAATCTCTTCTCTTACATCAAAACTATGTAAAGTTTTATAAATTGGTATAAATATTATTTTCTAAATGGGTCGTAGTATTTGAATATTTTTTAAGCATTTAAACTTACGGTATAATTCAACAAAATCAAATATATCACATTTGGTTTATAAGGAGTGCCATTACTAAAATATTTAATTCTTTCTGGAAGTGCACTAATTCAGGTAAGTCAAGATTTCTGTGCTTTCTGTAATGTAATGTAAATTGGACACTCTTTTCCGCGCTTAGCCTCTCGTTCGGGCCATTGTGCGTAAAAGTCGTGGCTAGTACAGCCAGCCGCCTAGAAGCACAAAAGCTTCCTGGGATATTTATAGGCCTCACGGAGCGACCTCACCGTTCAGAAGATTTTTAAATGTTGAGGGGCCACAGCTTCACATTCCAGGATTACGTGAGTTGGATAGCAGCTAATACTGCTTTCTGCTATACATATAGATCTAGTGGTATTATGTTAAGGACCACCTCTATTGCTGTTGTAGGAGTACTTTCCCTGCAGCTGCTGACAAAAGAACAAGCCAGTCTCTGAAAGCTTTTTAGTTTGGCGAGAGTGGTCGTTAGTCTTGTCCTTGCCCACCAAATCAGTGCACCATAGACCAAAATTGGTCTTATCACAGCTCTGTACAATTATAGAGTTATTTTTGGTGAAAGACCCCATTTATTTCTTAGCATCTTTTTACACTGGTAGAATGAAATTGTGCTTTTGTTTAGTTTTTAGTCAAGATGTTTGTTCCAAAGCAATTTACTGTTCAGTATAATACCAAGGTACATGACTTCTTCCTTAAGTTTTAGTTCTGTATTGAAAAGTTTTGATAGTCTGTAAGGACATGTTACCCTTCTATTTGTGAACATGATTAATCGATAGTTCATGCTATGCGCACCATCTCCCAATTATTTCAAAAGCTATTCTCATGCAATCACACAGGATACTTTTGAAATTTCTTGATAAAAGTACAGCTATATCATCCACATAACCTATCGTATAGAGGCTGTTATCGTTGAGCTCTATTATGACCTCATTTACGACTATATTCTACAATAGCAGTGATAGTACATTGCCTTGTAGACATCCTCTACTGACAATCCCTCGTGTGGTAATATTTACAGTGAATTGTATAGCTTAAGCATGTTATATACCCATTATTTAAGTGCTGTGTCTACTCCATGTATAGCTAGTGCCCGACCTATACTGGCAAAGTTTGTTTTATCGAATGCCCCTTCGACGTCTATGAATGCACCTAAGGTTGGCTGCTTCGATTGCAATGCATTGTCTATTCGGGCACCACCACCACGTTGGTTGTCACATTATATATATGTTTCAGTCAAACGTCGTTGTGGTGTCACTCTGAAGTATCATTATCTTCATCTATAAATCTGAAGGAAATCGAAAGTAATGAAACTGAAGGTAATGAATGATTTTAACTGTTTTTAAATTATTTACAAATAAAATACACATTACAAATTAGAAGATACAAAATTACGCATATATCGTCATAGTCGTAGGATACTGACGGATCTATATATGTAATATTTGTCAGATCCGTTAGTATTTTACGACTATGACGATATCATCATTTAAACAAATTTAAAACAACAAACATTATGCACATCAATAATACACTGAATATTGGGGGGTAAGGGATTGTTAGTAATGGAGACTGAGAATCCCATTGCTAGCAATATACCCAATCAGGTCGACCTCCTCGCGGTTCTCTCTGGAAACTATCACGGTTTTTTTTTGATGGGTGAAAATGGTATGGTAACCTCGCCTGCACTAACGGAATACGCTGGCGGGATACGTTGGCGGAGCACCAGTGAAGGGTGATAGATGAGAATGAAAACAGGTCAGTTAGCCCATCATGATGAATTTTTATTTTGTTTGACTTATTATAAGCAGGATACTGAGCGTAATAAAATTTACAGACCTAAAATATTATTTTTATTTATTAATTTTACTTCATATCTGGTTATCTATATAGGACACATTTGTACGCAATTATAGTTTATTAAAAAAAAATATTTTCAAGTCTTAGGTTACGTAGTTCCTCTAAAAATTTCACGGACATGTACTTTGCACCAAATCAGAGAAATACTCACTAGTCTAGCTTAAAGGTAATTTAACCAAGCCCTTAATAGAGCCTTAAAAAAGAAAAATTACATGACACTGACATTATTTGACATTGACATTTATTGGTATGAAACAAATTGTCTTAGTCCCAATCCAACATTTTAATTTTTATTCATCCTTATTTTTTTTTTTATTTAATTTAACACTAACCCTTTAGGGATACTAATTTTCTGATTTGTGTCTACATTTTGATTTTCAAGTTCATTTAAACCCCTACTTTATTCTACTTTTAGTTCAGCTGCATAGCATGTTATTTGAGACTTAGCTTTTGATTCACAGATTACCTCTTCTATATTATCTACTCTTTGTAGACTAAATAATACTTTTTGAATCACTCAAGCTTAACTTTAGATATATATTATTTATAATATCCGAAATCCAAGCATAATACGTACATTAAATTAAACGAGTACAATGCAGCATAAATTGAGTATTGTGTTATTGTTTTGTAAAATAATTATAGTTTATAGCAGCCAAAGTCTCGTAAGTGTCAGTGACGATGATATATTGCAATTAATAAGAGACAAAGATAAATTAATTGTTTTATTCTGTAAGTCTATTTTTAATATATTTTTCAACAAATCAGTTGAATTCAAACAATTTGAACTGATTTTGAGTTTTTTTATAGCAAAGCCACAATGTGATGTTTGTAATAAATTTGAACGCCACTTGGAAAGTTTACAAGAAGACTTTAAGAAGCATTTGAATGCAGTTACAGTAAAGACCATCAACAGTCATTTGTCACATCTGTACAGTCCTACGAAAGAACCTGCACTTGTATTTTTCAGACATGGGGTACCATTGCTTTTCAGTGGTAAGATGATTTATAATTATATATAAAATTAGAAGAATCTTATTATTAGTAATTAGACATTGCTTTTCAATGGGCAAAATTTTGATTCTTTATTTTAAGCAAAGCCTGGGCCGTTTGTTTTGTTTATAATAAGGAAATTATGACCTCAGTGTCAAATAGAATCTGATCGTTAAATTATCTACTAGTTATATCTAAAAAATATTATTTGACATGATAATAGAGAAATGGTGAATTGTAGATTTACCTGTTCTACATTTGGCCACTAATTGTTTGAATCTAATAAAATTTATACATATATTCATGCAAAAAAATTATATGAGTTAAGCTTACCTGTTATACATCTTTATTCAAAATAAACTATAACATTGAAATTTATGTGTACAATAAAGTCTAAATAAAATTTTTCTATCTACTAAATATACCTCTGACTCTCTATTTGGGTTTACAGCATCTAAGTATATTTATAACTTTTAAAATGTTTAATAAAATTTATAGCAAAACTTGATTTTATGTTTATGTATGTGGGGTAGTATTGAACAACACAATCATCTGGTGTAATTATGTTAACAATTTCTCTATGTTGTGTTGAATATAGGTTAATTAGGCTATACAAAAATTTTCAATTTAGGCCTCAATGGGGTTAAAATGATTCTTTCCTCAAAGACATCTATTATTTTTGCAGGAGAACCAGATGAGAATGAAATATATGGATTTTTTGAGAAAAATCAGTCTCCAGCTGTTAAGGAGCTAACAGACAAGATATTTGAACATATGACACAAGCTGCTACTGGTGCTACCACTGGAGATTGGTTTGTCATGTTGTGAGTGAATGAAAAAAATTTTTATTGTAATCATCATAGCAATCCATAGACATTCTATAATAGATGGGTGTAGGCTTTTTCCCTTAATAAAATGGATAGTATCCTATTATTACTAATCTTGCTAGTGAGCTTATTATAGGGTTTTGTTTCATGTTTACTTACACTTATCCTGCTATTTAGTACTGTGTTCTCTTAGCTATCCATTACAACATCCCGAAGAAGAAGAACACATCTATTATATGTATAAGAATAGAAGAAGATTTATAGACACATTAGTCAAAAATCTTAACAGGTCAAGTTATTATTTTACACTAAACTAAACTTTCACAGTTTTTATGCAGTCAAAACTGCTTTAATGGTTAGGGGTTTAGGTTATAATATTGACATTATTTACTGTATTGAGAATAGAAACTGTAACTATATGCTGAAGTCACAGTTTCAATACCTATATTCAATATGATATAATGATAAAAAATCCAATAACAATTTTAGTGAAATAGGCAAATAATATTTTTAGAGATTTTCCTAATTTTGTTTTTATAATTATGATCCAGCTATGGTGCCTCATGTGTTGAATGTCAGAGGTTGCATGCTGTATGGGAAGGTGTTGGAGCAACATTGCGTGGACGAATAAATGTGGCACGTATAGATGCAAATCTTGCTGGAGTTATTACAGCCAAGCGTTTTAAAATCACCAAATTACCAACATTCCTTTTGTAAGTATAACTATTATAATTTTATTGATTTAATAATATTAAAGTTATATGATGAACTACCTGTACTAATCACTTTTATATTATTTTTGTAAGTATAAAGTTTAATTTATTAGCTGTTCTATAGACAAACAAATATCACAATAACTGTTGAATCTAAAACACAGCTAAAACCATACAAAGAGCAATATAAACTTGTTATTTACATTTACTTCTTATTTCAGCTTCCGTTTAGGTAAAGTGTACAAATATGATTTGCCGAAGAGTGATATAAAGTCATTTGTTACTTTTGCACAAGACTGGTACAAGAATAGTAGATCTGAACCAGTACCTTTACTTGCATCACCATTGTAAGTATTGTAGTAATGGTTACTCTTAGATGAAATTTTTGTTTACATGTAAAATACAATTTTAATAATAATACTTATGTATTTTTTACAGTGATGAATTAGTGGATTACAGTGTTGTTTTGATCAAAGAAGTTACAACATATGGTTTAGATATTCTGGCTAAATATCCATGGATTTGGCAAATAGGTGTAGCTGGATTCGGTTTAGTAGCAGTAACAGCGTTGATAGCTTTGGTAAAGGCTGGAAAATCAAAACCTAAAGTTAAGGATACTAAGAAAGAAAAGAAGAGCAAATGAGGAGAGATATTTCAATTAACATGACATGAAATGATGAAGACTATTAATTATAAAAATATTTTTTATTCCATATATATAAAGTTTATTAATATTTTAAGTATATAGTACAAACATGTAGTTATAATACATATCTTTCCAACTTAATGCAATGAGGTTGGTTTTTCACTACAGGTTTTAAATGTTGAATATGTTCCTAGATTCAGGTCTGGTGTAATAATATAGAATATTATATTTATTTTGGTATTAAAGGGCATTACTGTAAAAAATAGTTAATTTACTATTTTACGATAATATTCTGTTTTTTGGATAAAAATTGGGATGTATGTATATGTATGTACTTATATAACTGTGATTTCCTTTATTATTTAAATAGTGTTTTTTTGTGTAAACGTTTTACAGTACAATAATTATACAGATGAAAATTACATACTTTGCGTACAAATATATAGAACAATCTATTTTATTTAAATTATATATATGAATATATAAGTTTTAAGATATGTCATCAACTAAAATTGTTTTTCTTGTAATTCCGTTTTAAATATAAAGTTTCATTAAAAAAGAATTTTATGAGCTTTGTATGTTAGCCGACAATATTTTAGATTAGTTGTTTAAACATAATGAAACAAGACTTGTAGTTTTTTGCTATATTTTTAATTATATTAAATTTGCATTTATTACTTATATATTCTCTCAAAACAGGACAAGGTATATGTCTTTACTTGAGTTGGATTAATATAATTGAATATGTTAGTTCCTAGCTCTCTATGTTGAAAAAAAAAAAAAACGGGAGAAAATAGGTACTAGTAAGTTTTCTTACTTGTGTTTATAAAAGTTGAATATATATTTAATTTCTAATTTGTGAATGGAGAAATTCTAAGATGGCAATTTATGAATTTTTTAGGCAATATTTGTTATGGGTTGTTATTGGTTGTGGCAAGGTTATCAAACGACTATGAATCTTTTGCATCTCTTAACGCAGTCGCCAATGTATTTGCCTTGCAACTTCATTTTTGTTTGTATAACAAATATTGTAATCCGTGTTGTTTCTTTTGCTGGAAAATACAGGTTGCAGGTTAAAATATCCGCTTCACTCAAATCATATTGTAATGAATATTATATACACTTGTAAAGAGGGTATCTTAATTGCTATGTTAATATGGAATGAGTTTATATGGTTAAAAAAATCCGTCCTTGTTTATAAAAAATGTTTATTTTTGTACTGGATAAATATGAATAAATGGTTGAGTTCAATATTGTCTTAAATTTTATACCTCGCTATCAAATGCCGTTCGATCATGATTAGATACATTACATAGATATATATGGTTGTATTTTATAGCCAGGAATAAACTCAAAAACAGAGGAACAGTCGCTGTAGGCATCAGATAGCTTGGAGCGCCAAGCCAAATGTGTAAAACAATTTCCAGCGCAAAATATAATGCCAGTGGTGTCTTTTGAGTGGTATGGGAACAGTGTTGATATTTGTAAGTGATTTTAGAAAATTTGCGAATTATTATTTGACATAAAACTAAAGTTAAATTTACGTGAAGTGAAAGCGTCGTTCGTCCAAAGTGAACCGAAAGACAATCTCGCTTTACCAGCCAGTCAGTTGGAGCCAGTGCTGTTCATAATATGAAATTTTTACTTAATTTTTTATTAGCTTCCAAAAAATCATTTCATTGCTGATCTTATGAGGACCTCTAATTTTAATTACTAATTAAGTTTATGAAATGTAAGTATCAATATATTTATTTAGATTATGCATATACATATCTATGATTTTGATGCTTTAAGGGCGAAATGAAACTAGGCGCATAAAATGTATTCAAAAATTTATTAATAGGAAGGTATACAGCCAGAACAGAAAAATGTAACAAATTGTCTAGTTATCATTATGATCGTAGTTATACCAGGTAATTATAGAAACGCATACATGGAATGTATAAAAAAAATTAAGTGCTCTTTAAAATAAGTATTTTCGTTCTTTACATATTTAGTAAATAATCTTGCTATGTATTTTATCGAAATACCTAAAAGTAGGCACATTAGTAAATAAAAAATAAAATAAAAGATGTATGTATCAAAAGTGGCAGAACGCTTACCATGACAATTAGTATTTTTATATACACTAGCAACCAAATCGACTCAACCCTTGACGGCGCACTGATGCATTGATTTTACTAAAACGACAAATGTCAATTATAAAAATGATATGTCATACTAAAGCTGAAGAATTATGCTCTCATTTAACATGAATACCCTAAAAAAAACTTAAGCGCTGATTTAATGATGCATTTTAATTGGGCGTTAGGGAAAATTTGCTCTATAAGGTATTCACGAGATGCGCTACCTGCCCCCGCTATAAAACCCGCTCACACCCCGTTACCTTATCAGTCGCTTATCACAAGTTGACCGGTACACATCTCAGTAAATTGCATTCCTTGTTTTCGCGAAACCATGGATACCACACCAGAGGAAGCCGCTCAAGTTGTTGCCTTGTTGCAACAAGGGTTAAGCCAGCGAGCAGTCGCTGCCCAGCTCCTCTTGAGCCTGTCTGCTGTATCCTGAGTATACAAACGGTTCTAAGAGACTGGTGCCTTCAATCGGAGACAAAGAACGAGCCGCCACCGGTGCACTTCAGAGAGAGACGTCCGCTTCATTGTCTCAACCTCGCTGCGCAATCGACACCTTACGAGTGTTGATGTGCAGCAGGAACTGAGACGTGTACGAGGGGTGGCTGTAAGCGAATGGACGGTGAGAAGACGCTTGAAGGAAGCCAACTTAACGCCAAAAAGGCCTGCGACGGGCCCCAAATTGACTGCAGGCCACCGACAAGCGCGCCTTCAATTTGCTTGAGAGCATTTCAATTGGAGCGTTGCGCATTGGCGGTCGGTACTATTTACTGATGAGTGCAGAATGTGTCTGCATGGCAGTGACAGGAGAGGTCGAGTTTACAGGCGTCCGGGAGAACGATTTTCCCAATGCTGTTTTGCTGAAACAGTGATATATGGCGGCGGTTCCTGCATGTGGGCTGGTATTTCCTTAGAAGGAAAAACTGAGCTTATTTTTGTACCTGGGGCCTGGGGGCGACTGAGGAGGCGGACTAACAGCTGATCGATACATCACCGACATCCTACTCGATTATGTTGTGCCCTACGTAGGGTTTCTCGGCGAAGACTTCGTGTTAAATGGTCGAATTGCGTACGATGGGCTGGCCTGTGCTGAGCCCGGATATTAATCCCATCGAGCACTTATGGGACGAGTTTAAAAGAAGAGTTCGGGCCAGTAATCCAGTCCCTTCAAGCGTAGACGAGCTAAAGGCAGCATTGTTAGAGGATTGGGACAGCATTCCTCAAGAATTGATAAGATCAATAAAAAACAGACTGCAGGCTGTAATAAGGGCTAGAGGGGGCAATAAGAAGTATTGATTTAATAAATTATTTACCATTTTTTGTTAAATTCCCAAAATACGGGACCTAAGCCCTTTTCATAAATTCCTATTTTTCCTACTCTTACGTTCAGACATCATTTACTTAATAAATAATTGATGGATTTCAATGATAATGATATCAAATTAAAGCTGACATCTTAAGCTTTCGAACGCTATCATTTTAATAATAATAAAGTTATCTGTGTGAATTCTGGGTATATATAATTAAAAATTATTGCACAAACTAAACAAGGGCCCTGGTGGCCTGTTAAATCTGGCACTTAAAATGCCTACTGAAAAAACATTTAATGGAAAAAATAGCAAGATAGAACACCAATATAATTATAATTTTTGAATAATTTTCTCTTTAATTCAGGAACATTTCTACAGCACACACATCCATTTGTTTTCGGCTACACTTTTGCACTTGAACAATAAATTAATTTTTACTTTTAGTTTAATGAGGCTATATAACTTAGTGCTCAAATTTGTCTTGTGTAGACAATAAACACCCACTTGAATATACTAAAAACTTGTGGTTTTTACTTCATTATTATAATTATAAACACGACAGCTGTGTTAGCTAGTGTACTAGTGTTTTGATTAGGCTTTATAATGCCCAATATGTGTTGAAATACAGACTAAACAAAGCTAACAGTGTGGTATTGTGATGAACTACAAACATACAATCTATATGAAATTGTATAACCAATTTAAGCATTATATTGTATCAACTTCAATATTTATTCTGAAAACAGATGCAGGATCAGCAAGTTCTGTTCGCACTGCATTTTCAAACTTTTTGAATATAACAGAAAATTCCATTATATTTTGAGGTTTAGATTCTATCCACATTTTATCAAATTCATAGAAGAGGTAACAGTAAAAACGATGAAATAAATTAATATCTGGTAGATATCTCTTGGTGTTGAACATGTAAGTCTTAGCAGACCCATCTTTGAGCAGGTAATATGCCATTGATGTGAGATTGATGCCAACTATAGCAAATGTATAGCCATATTTAGGGTGATGGGAATGACTTAGTACATGACTAGAAGCCTGTGGGTATTCACTAGCAAAGAATAATAGATTTTCTAATCCAAGTAATCCCATACCACGGAAGTCAGTCTTTGGATCATCACCCTGAAAATAAAATGTCACACTACATTACATGCTTAAATTTAGATTTTATTTAAAACCTTGTAGTTTCTCACTTCTGTGATGAGCAACTTATATATAAAAATATTAGGTATTTTTCATTATGAAAAAATTGCAATAAAAGAATAACAATTCTATTAATATATTGAATATGAAAGTTTGTAAAGATATTTGGTATTTATTACTAAATTGTATTTAAATGGCTTAAAGACAAGGTACACAATAATTTCATACCTGAAAACCAATAGCCTGCCATTGTTTAGAAACTCTGCTTTCTAGAAGTTCATTTGGTACTAACAAAGACCATAGTTTTAAAAGTTTTTCTTCATGACTAGGATCATTACTGTCAAACTGTATTCGGCGCAATTCTTCTACTTCATTGACTAAATTTCTATAACTCCAGATTTGTTCTAAGCACCTTCGTATTGATACAACAAATGATCCATGTAGTTTACAATTAATTTGTTTCGCCCGAATTATAATTGCAACTGAAGGGTCAAAAATGTTGCGGAAATTGTCCACAGTAAATCTTTTTTCAGCAACTGTAGCATCCAGATGTGAAATAACCTCTTTAATATCTTTTGTACGAGACAACATTAATGACCTTTCAACATTGCATGTTCTTGGGGCACCAGCTTTATCACCATAACATATTCTTTGTAACTCACATAACCGAGTTGTTTTCCTAAGGAACCATTTAATAATAGGCCTCAAATACCACTGTAAGACTGACCACAGATTAATTATCATGTTTACAAGGTACTTAAAAGAATATTTTTAGTAACCGACTCTAAGACATTTTTTATAACTTTGTATGATATTTTTGTTTTCGTGATTTTTAATTACAATTATATTATATTTTAGGATTTATATTTTCGTTATTATTTTTATAATGTGGTCTCTGAAGCACTAAATATTTGTCTAAATATATCAGGTAAATATTATGGATACACATCGGCTGGTAGTGGTAGTTATGTTATGGCGTAGACGTCATTATTTTTTTAGGTGTGACGTTTTCATTAAAAGTGGTTTACACTTTCAGAAAAAATATATGAAAAGAAATTTTGCTAATATTTAATATAAATTGTAATAAAGTAACGAAAGACGAATAGCAGACAAAAATTGACGTTTGGCTTTGACGTTACCATGACAACACATATGTCATCTGTCGTGTTCTAAACTAGAGATGGACAGCGTAAAATTTATAAAATCCATTCAATAAAATCTGTATGTTAGATGAATCGAACTTTTTTGAGATGATCACACGGAGGAGTGTGATAAATTGTAGCAGGTTCCTGCCATTTTTATTTTTTAAAAAGATTTCTTTATTGAAAATTCAAATTAGGTAATGTAAATTTTCTTGGAATCCTTTAAATCGGCCATTTTTTATGAGTGATTAAAGATTGGTAACTCCATCCGCGCTATTGGTATACACTGGCATGGAAGACGATAGGTGATAATGAAAGCGGTCTATTGGCGACCGGCTGATGCAAACTCTTTAGACGTTATTATACTCTTTTTTTATACATTTACTTTTAGAATGTTCTTATTATTTGTAATTTCAATTTTATATTTTTTGACATATATATCATATTGTTCTGTTCCTTGCTTGCTGTTTAATACATTTATTTCGCTACTAAATTCCGTGTCTACATCATTTCATCACCTCATCAAAGTCCACCGCTCCATAATAAGGTTAGTTGGCCCACCATGATGAATTCGACAAAAATTGACTATGATAATTTCCAGGGGGAACCGCGTGGAGGTCGACCTAAGAGGGTATATTGCTAATATAATATAATGGGATTAGACCTCATTACTATCAATCCCTTTCCCCCCAATCTGTCATTTTTGTAAATTATCAGCATAATCTGCCACAAATGGTCACACTGACACGGAGTAAGTAATCACTGATGTGCATTTCTGTTGTAAAGATTCAAGCATGATATACGATATGATTTGACACTCGGCTTGCCTTGATTATTGTTTGACTAATAATTGGTATATAAACTTCTTGTTGGCTCAACAACTCCTTGGTTATACTAGTTATTAATCGAATAATTAAAATATATCTTGTAAGTAGATTGCAATAGTCGAAAATGATTGTTATTTTTCAGTTTTACATATTTTGTATAATTTAAAGTTTATTTACTAGTGAATAACAGTAAATGTTGGTGTTGCCTCTGTAGAGTCATTTGGGACCTAAAATTGCTACTGCAGTATTGCTTTAATGTGCACAGATAAAGTAATCATCTATTTATATTCATATCAAAAAAGTCTAAGCAACACAAATTTCAATTTTACAATGTGTTTTCGCATTAAATCCTTAGTATTTTCTTATTTATATTATTTTTAAATGCTTTTTTGATATTAAACAACAATTTATTTTTTATTTTTTAATAATCTTAATCAACAATAATTACGAGTAAGTACTGTATGTACCTACGTAGTACAAAGTAAGGTGCCTAATCAACTAAACTTAAACTAAAATTAAATAGTTGTAAAAAAATTGCATAAATTAATACAAAGTGTGGCCTCCTCTGATATGGAGAACTTGCTGGCACCGATTATTCATAGAATTGATGAGACTGTTAATTTTATCCTGCGGCAATTGCTCCCAGAGAAATTTTTGTGAGTACATCAGTTGTTAGGTTGTTGTCACTCCATCCAAGTCCATTAAAATACGTCTCTGGAGCATCTTCCATGCATGCTCGATGGGGTTGAGGTCTGGCGATTGTGCAGGCCAGGGCAGGATGTTTTCTCTTGCCAAGTACTCCCGTGTGTGCAAAGCTGTATGCGAACGCGCATTGTCATGCATCAACGTGAAATCAGAGCCAAGCGTTTGTGCGAATGGACGGACATAAGGCTTTAGAACATCCTCAACGTAATTTACAGCGTTCATGTTACCAATTACAAAAACGAGCTTAGTTCTTATGTTCTTAATAATACCCGCCCATACCATAACTGTTGAGCTGTTGTATGGATGCACTTCCTGAACACACCTCAGTCTTTCAGTATTTCCAAGACGACGGTACACTCTTACCCTTCTAGTATCAGGCTTGAACCCAAATCGAGACTCATCGCAAAATAAAATTTTATCCCATTGTTCCCGGGTCCATGTAATGTGTTCCCTACACCATTCATTTCGATGAGCGCGATTCCCGTGTCGCATCGGTGGGCACCTAATTGGCTGTTGTGCTCGTAGGCCATACTTATGCAGTCGATTTCGCACAGTTTGGCAGTTGTTATTGTTAACAACACCACTTGAAGTTTATAGCTTTAAACCTATCTCTCGGGCGGTTAACATCGGCTGGCGTCTTGCAGTCAGCTGTATGAATCGATCTTGCCGTGTGGTTGTATACCTTTCTCGACCTGGGTGCTGCTCAGCAGGATTTCCCGTGTTAGTGTAACGCTGATGAAGGCGGCAAATAACGCTTCTATTGACACCAAAATATCGAGATACCTGAGATTGACATCTTCCCGCTTGCAACATCCCTACAGCTCTTTGCATTTCATCTGCGTTGAAATGACTTCGCTCCATGACGTAAAAAATGTCTTGAAAATCCAAATTTGTTCAAAATTACTTTTTTCAAATTATTGTTTAAATCATAAAATTGATACAGAATACTAAATTTTAATAAGCAAAGAAAACGCTATAAAATTCGAACAAATGCATTCGCTTTTGAATTTGTAAAAAAAAAAAAACAAACTCGATACTTATTATCAATTTTTTTTACAACCAGTCAGTATATGCTCTAGATGAAAAAAGTTTACATAGCTATTACCTACTTGGTAAGAAATGATATAATAATTGATTAATAATTTGAAACAGTACGTCTTGCTTAGACTTTTTTGAGCAGTGTATATACTAATTTCATTCTGTAGGTATACGTTTCTACTAAGCGCTAAAATCATTCACTAATTTTATTCATTTGATTACTAATTTTATTCACTATAAGCTATTATTTTATAAAATGAGTACTAAATTACTAATTTAGTAGTCGAATTAGTATTTATTAATGATTCGAATAGTGAAATAATTTGGATTCACTCACCGCCATATTACTGACGTTATTCGTTTACACTGACGGTAGTTGTTTACTACACAGTAGTAAGCAATAATATTGTAGTTGAGGATAAACACAAGTGGCCCATCGTGACGAATTTACCAGGAATTATCCATAATGATTTCTAGGGGAAATTATGTTGAGATTGACCTGCCAGTATATTATTCGCGGTTTAATTGGAAGAGGAGGGAAGGATTAGCAACGGAGAAGTGGTCCCATTGTTAGAAATATATCTGATAAATTTCAATGCGGTCCTCTTGGAAATCGTTCAGTTAAACATAATTGTTGATGAAAATTCGTCACGATGGGCAAACCTCATCCTCACTGGTGTCTCGCCAGCGTATGCCGTTAGCACAGGTGGAGTACCATTTCACAAAGATTTTGGAATCCTTAGCCATCTCATTAAAAGATTAATAAACTCCACTATTAACAATAACTACAGATTAATAGTTAAATAGGTATAGATAATCAGTGGGTACAATACGAAGACTATAAGGCATAGAAGTACATATTATAACATACAGTCTTAGCGCAAAGCATATTATTACATTTAAGTACAAAAAAATATAGACGAATACTTGAGGACAAACCAATTTTTTCAAAGGACTATAGGAATAGAGTAAATGAAACTCGAAATAAGTCGAATTTGTGTTTTATTTGATGAAAATTGTAATTCATAGATTTTATAATAAAATTATTTACAATGCCACAATATAAACATGAACGGGCGGTCATCGCAGACTCTTTTTTATATACAAAGGCGATGCGTGAGGGTGTTCGCTATCATTACTAGGTAAATTTAACTAAGTACAAAATATTAATGTTGCGATTAGTTTTACTAAATAATTGTATAGTCAGCAATCAAAAATTGGTGATTAGAGTGCGCGACGCGCACATCTGTGCCACAACTAATAGTCACTATAATAGGTACATATAATTATTTATTTATTTATTATAGACATATAATAATAAATAAAAATTTAGATCATTATGTACATACATATAGTATGTAGCAACAACAGAAACGTTATTTTTATTTCGATTATCTCAATCGACAGTGCGTAGACATTTGATGTTTTTTGTCTTTAGAGTAAGTAGGGAGGTACCTACTACAGTTTACAATATGGTGTTCTAAGATGGTGTCGTAACAATAGTATATGTACTTACTCATTAAATATGACGGAGTTTATTAAAAATATTATTAATACGTACATACTTATTTTATTACCTAGTTAATTGCTTTATAAAAGATATAATTAAAATAAGCTATTTTAATTCTAGCTAACAGTATTGTACTTATATTAAATTATATCAACAGTAATAGATATTATTAGGTTAAGGGTATATTACTGTCTTAACCCAAAAATATCAGAGTATAGGTACTCCTTAAGGTATACCTACATATAAATTTTTAAGCTGCCTATAAAGCAATGCGGGCAATCTGGGCAATCCGTTGACTAATGTAAAACAGAATAATGAATTAGTTATATATATATATATATATATATATATATATATATATATATATATATATATATATATATATATATATATATATATATATATATATATATAGAGTAATTGTGACAATGAATATTGTTTTGAGTATATATTTACAACTATTAATTCAGACATGGTATTATTACTGAAAGTAGTGTCTATTGCCAGTATCTACATGATATTCACGAGTTAAGTTTCTTATATTTAAAATTTTGTCCTGAAGTATTATATTTGATTACATCACTAATATTATAAATGTGAAAGTGAGTTTGTTTGTTTGTTACCTTATAGTGCCTTAACGGCTTAACCAATTACAATTAAACTTAGTATACACGTACTATATGGTATGGTGATATATGAAGGCTGCTTTTTATCCTGACCAGTAAACATCCCGGTTACGCGAAGTCGCAAATAAAAGTTAGTATGTACATAACTTTTAATAGCAATGTAAGTATAGTGATAGTTTTTTTTTATTTCAATTCTTGGGATTCCAAACTGTTTGCTACCGAGTTATAAAAACAGCCTGAAACTGAAATCTATGGAGTGATAGTCCTGAATGTGTCTTTGGCTAAATTGGTTTTTATTGCAGTGATAGTGTTTGTACGAGTATTAACGTGATTGTCGTCTTTCATATTTTATATTGAACTCGCTTGACGTTAAATTTATTTCATGAAGTAAAGATATATGGATATTTTTTCCCAGCTAAAGTAAAATATTAAAAATTGCAGTATAACAAAATAATAATCAACAATCATTGAAAATTGTATATATTTTAGTTTTGCTCTATCAGAATTTAGATATTAAATGAATTTAATGCTATTGTGTACAATTTAATTTCTAAGTATTTAAACCAGACTGTTTTAAATCTTAAAACATATTTCTTAAACATTTAAAAACATGTATTAATGTTTAAAAAATTGTACTATACCTACATACCTGCCATTGGGTAAAAAGTATTTTTTTTAATAAATTGATTTCAAATTTGGCAAAATTATTAGATTGACACAGCATGGATAAATGATCCATTATAAGTAATATATATAATATATTTAATAGGTTTAAGTTATAGCGTAGGTATATTAATCAAATTAAACCCAATAAATAGATTCGTAGGGTTTTTTTTTATTCTGAATCGAATTCGATGTTGTTTTTTTCAATTAGTCGACTTGACAGACATTGTTCTATCCATATTCCATTTTTTTTTCCAAAACCCTTAATTGGACTATTATATTGGACTATATAGGTACAAACACTAAAATTTGCCATATTGATTCAGCAGTTTTCAACTAATTTGTTTACTTATTATTGCTTATTAGACAAAGTTGCTGTGGTTTAGGCACATTTGTTACCAGGTTGTTAGGTAGGTAGGTACAATCAATTAAATATAGACTTATATTCGACAATATCATATATATATATATATATATATATATATATATATATATATATATATATATATATATATATATATATATATATATATAATGTTAGAAATAAACAATAATTAAAAAATATTAAACAACTAAAGATTTTTATTCATTACATACATAGTATTTGTCATGATTTTTAGTGTTTGTAACAGTCATGTTTGTTTGTTTTTAGGTAATTTCTATTTGATGCTACTAAATTATTATGTACATTACGAGATCTTGAAAATCTCGTAGAGATAGTGAAAATAAGTCAGTTGGAATTCTCCTTTTGTATTAAAAAAAAAAGATAATATCCCATTGAGGAGTTACATTCTTCGAACAATTTATTAATAGTTAAGTACCGCAGAGTATAAGGTGCATGCCCTATGTAATTTATGTTATTATTAGTTTACTACACACAAAAATAATAAGTTATTACCGAGAAAAAATATATTTATCCGTTTCTTGATAGTGGCAGAAAGGATCCACATTTTATTAATCTCACTAATGTCTTTTCGTGCATCATAACATTATATATTTATTATAGAACACTTAATTACTTATTATAGTAAATACATATCATACAGTAGACGTCGTTATTTAAGTAGATAATTTAATAGCTTTGTAATAATAGTATTTAAACAAATTAGATTGTATTTGTTTGAACCTATTGAAAAAGATTTTATGTAAATGTTAGCTTTCTCAATACTGTATATTCTTTAATAATTTAATACATTTTAAAACCGTTTATCGTATAAAGTTATTTTTCTTACCAAATAATAGGTGGCAAAAATAATGTAGTTATAATTTTGTTTCATATTTTTTCTTTAAAGTATTCATATGTATGAACGTAGCTGTCACATTTTATGCTGAAGAAGTTTAATTCTCAAATGTTATTAAATATGTATTTAAAGTACTTTTTAAGTACTATAAAATTAATTCATCGATCCAAAGAAATATTTATACGTTACTTATCCTACTTATTGTATAATATAAAGCAAAAAGAAATTTGCAATATTTTGCAAGAATTGTAGCACTACTTGTATTATTGTTTTTATGGTACAGCATACCTATGGTACAATTGTCTAAGATTTTAGATATAGGTTACTTATAAAATATTCCTAAAATTAAGCGGCTTATTGAGCCTACTCTCTCTTTGGGCGAAGCATTTCGTTTATGTAAACACGCGCGGTAAAATATATAGATAATCTAAGCACTTTCACAGTTAGGTACAATTTAATATTAAGACAAATACACGCATGCCATTGTGGAAATAACTATACCACGATTTGGTGAAAGACTTATGAAGTTTTGTTTATAAAACAAATATTTGCAAACAATTTTCTAGTGCGTCTGGTATCCTCCCACCAGATTGATTGACCAACTCAAACGTATTATATGAAAGCCAATAGAATAAGAAAACAGTAGTTCAGGACCTATCCAATAATAATCTATAAGAGAGGAGTATGTTCAATTCAACAGTGAATGGACAATGAAAATTTCAATGATTATAAAATATTTCATAGAAATGACTTATACCTATTACGTAGGTACAATTTCATTTTCGGAAATGACTATAATAGTAAAAAGTATTAACTTTCAGGTCAGCCTTTATAGAGCTAAAATAGATTTTTTTATGAAAGAGATATAAAATGTTACAAGATATATTTTCCAATAGGTAATATTTGTAGGTACATAATTGTAAACACAGTGCAAAAACTGAGTTGAACATCTTCGCAAAATATAGTTAATATTTTCGTAGATACTTACTTATTTTGTAGCATTGAATTCAGTATATATATATATATAGGGCAAATTAAAATGGTCTAGATATATATTGAAAAATAGTATTTATGCCTTTACTAATATGTAATAATATTTGTATAAAATATACGAACACAAACTTAAGTAGCCTTCCAAACCTAATTAGGTAGGTTCTATTCTTTGCTTTCAATGAATTCAAATTTTAATTCAATTTCAAATATTTAAATTAAAAAATACCCATAATGAACCTTATTTTCCTTTCCATTAATATTTACATATACATAACATATTTGTATAATAAAAGAGTTGACCAAGCCAGCCGAAGACGTGTGCGATAACTTTTCAGTGAAATTAACGATATTAATTTTATTTACCCATGTAAATTACTTATGTATATATATAAACTAAATACAATAATTATATATGTATATATAAGTATTGTATTTAGCTACTATAGTATATAAAAAAATATCATGACGAGCTATCTTTGTATCATGCAGCACAGAATACATAAATAATTCTTGTGGTTTGGCTTGTGAACAGATTTAGGTTAGGTTACATGTTCGACTGAAATCACCTTTAAATATTTTAATAAAAATTATAAAAACTATTCCACTGTGATTTTATAAAAAAAAAAAAAGTTTTGCTTACATTAGCCTGGCGTGTTCAAAACTCAGAAAAATATGCCTAGTAATAAAAGTGCAACTTCGTTTCAAATTAATTAGTGTGTTAAAAAGGAGAATAAGGTTTATTTTTAATAAATAAGAAACAGTAGGTTATATTTTGTAAATTAGTTTTTTTAGTGTTAGATCGGTAATTAAATTGTGAAAATTTTTACAAATACCGAAATATACCTATTTATACCTAGCTAATCAATATTTAATTATTCATTATTTTATACAATTTAGGAACAAAAAGTATATACGTGATCTTGCTTATATACACACAGTGGCGGTAGCGTATCTACATTAGTACAAGGTGCTTAACTTTTTCACAATAAGGAGCGCCACAGGTGTTATATATAATACATGAACACATTTCATTGTATTATGAAAACAATTTAGTTGCAATTGTGTCGCCGTAACATGGTAAGTAAGATGATATTTCACTTACCTGCATTGTTAATATTGTTATAAGTTAACAAACTGATGTATGGATAGGTATACCGACCTATATTTAATTTTTCATTTGACTCGCATATAGCGAGTTTACATTTTATTTCATGATGTTGCAACTTCAGGTTTTTGATATAATAATATTATCACACTCATAAATGTTTAAAAAGGCTTCATAAACACGTTTGATGAAATAATCTAATACACTTAATAACAAATGTTATACAAAGATAAAGGCAGCATAGAATATATAGCTTTGGTTAACAGGTAATTAGCATAAAATTTTAATAGATACATAGGTACGTATCTCATAAAGCGAATGATATGTTATTTTTTATCTTATAATTAAAATTGTATAAAACACTGAGAATTTAAAGTAGTATCACTTCGTGTCTATCCAAAAAATAAGATAAAGTTTTAATTATATAAAATAAACTTTAAACAGCGTCAAATTAAGTGTATGGGACCACCAAACAAGAGATCAATATAGTTACTTTTAACGTTTACATTACTTTTTTTAAGTATCTTCGAGCACGAGTTATAGTGTACCTGACCTTAATAACATAAGTAATTAATTAGATTGTAATATTTGTGTTTAAATATAGTTTAAATACATATTTTAATCTTATCTTTGTTAATCTTATGTCATAGTAAATAAAAATTTGCTGTAAACTATAAAAATAGAAAAGAAAGTGGAACAGGTCGTATAGAAGTAGGATCTTGACCTTAGATTTATTATCTAACTTTATATAGAGTCAATTATCTAAGGTTACAGAAAAAGTCATAAGCAAGTAATAAAAAGTTTATTGATATGTCCTGTATAGTCTAGTCTGGAAATAATATTATTTGATGCAATAACCCAGTTCTAGATATTATTAACGGGTATCCGGGTAAAAAATATCTAGAACTTGTCCTGAAAAATCTTTTAAATGGTGGTGACTCTTTCAAGATTGAAAAAAAGAATAAGTCCAAAATATTTGAATTCAAGTTAATATGTACTGACGTATTCCGTTGTTTAGCCAAGTACTATTCGACCTGGTCTCTTGCTTTCCTATTTATTTCTCAGTAATCTGTATCATTAATTTAGATTTCATTATAATTGCATTGGTATACATGACTAAGTAATAGATCATAAAGTAAATTAAAATTAAGTATCTCTTCTGTTTTATAGTGGTTTAATACCCCAAGGATTTAATAAAATAAGTTTAGTTATACTTGTCTTTAATATATGGGAAGGTACCTACCTATCAACTCGTTTAGATATTAGGTAGGTACTATTTAGGTATTTATTTATATTGTCGATGATATAAGGAGAGGTAATTATTATTAAAAAAAATATATATAATTGATAAATGTTCAGTATGAGAGATCATAATGATATATTTACGTGCAAATATTTAACCGTATATGAAACATCAGTTACTTTCAAGCAAAAACTTTGAACGAGCACGCTTAAGTCACATATACAAATTTATAATTGGTTTCGAAGCACAGCCAAAACGCATACTCGTATTCTTAAAATGTATTATGTACTTAATACATTTTAGATATAAAATTTAATTTTCAAAAGAGTTGACTCATTGGTCCGCTTTTTTAACAAGCAAAAGGCAATTATCGATGGTATATTATGGTATATAATGAAATTGAACGTTTGTAATTGAAAACAATATTAAATTTTATGTGCCGTAAGATTCTCTTTCATAAAATTTACGTATAGCATTCAATATGAGAATCCATATACATGTATAACAATATACCTTTAGATGACACATATCATTGATGCTTATAGTTATTTAATATATAATCATAATTATCATAGTTAATTATTAATTAATTATATAATAATAACAGCTGAAGGCTACATTCTACTTACGCGAAAAAAAGGTGACGGTATGGTCTCACAGCACAATATTCATGATACTTACATTACAGCTTTGCGATGTATTTAGGGTAACATACCTTACGTATCGGCAGGTGTAATACAATTTCAATGTATATTATTTACAGTTGGAATCACATACATCATTTTCAGTATAACGACTAAGAAAATTTCAGGCAAAAATAATTATTTGACATGTAAAAGGCATGTTCATGGTTTAACATCAAAATAATAATTATACATGAACTAGGTAATCACTTAAAATTTATAAAAAATTAATTACGTGGTTCCATTATATAAAATATTTTGTAATATAATAACGACTTGAGCTTTATCTATGCATCTACGTCTAATTGTTTTTAACATAATAAACTTAAACATAAATACATCCATCAAACATCATCTTGTAGCTCGATTTCATATAATAAGTTTTAGTTGTAACATGTTCAGCTATTCCTATAAATATGTTCATATATAGATAATATTAAAATCTTTAAAGTAAGTGTAGATTCAATATAAAACAAATAATAATTATAGCAAAAAATCGACCGAATAATTAACATATATAGCTATGTTATTTAAATGTATAACCAATTATATGAAACCGATAACTATTATTGTGTTTGCATATCTAACTATATATTTTAAAGCAACTTTAATTATTATGATATTATCACAACATATGTGGGTAAATATATGTATATTCATAACCTAATTCAACTACGGTGATTTCTAAAATAATTGTACATATAAAAGGTATAATGTCTTTTGCTATCTTAAAAATATAATTAAGACTTAAAACTTAAATTATAATTATACGACTGGACTGTCTTTAGGTTTGAAATAGGTTTCTTTAATATTAAAAGGGTGCTTAATATCAAGTGATTTCCAACTTGAATTTATCCCTTCAGATGTCGCTTAGATCATTATCTACCTACACAAGAATCCGATTAACATCGATACAAGAATTTTTCATACATAATATGTTTTGATCCCTCTTTATCCTATCATAAGTTTCATGTATTCATAACAAAGTATTCTTACTCGTAGGTATATTACAAACATTCACATAATGAACTTTTTATCGAAAACTATTTCAAATCCCGTAAAAAAATCATCATCTCTTTCAATTCTAATCATTGACGCCCTTTAACGATTGAAAGCAGCAACGATAATACTCTTGATTGTTACGCCCCTTATATTATACTCTTAAATACGATCACTGTAGTGGGTACAATCACAATTCGTAACGATTGTTGACACTCATCAAAAACGGACCGTGAATAGCTTTATTTCATCCATAACTGAGACGTAATAAGATACGAGCTAAAAGACACGATTGCTCGTTTACGTAAGCGGCAAAAAGTATCTAGTATCTAAAGGTAGAGGCAGCATTAAGAGAACGCCTTGTAGTGGATGAAGAAGAAGATGAGAAACACGGCGTAGGCAGTGGGGAAGGTGATGCGAGCAATCACGTCGATTGTCTTCGCCACTCGAATCGGATGCGGGGGTTCTTTTTTGCGAACCTGGACGAAACATGGCTGAAAGAAATTATTTTGCAAATGAATGATGATACTGCAAGCTAATTATGAGAATATAATGAGCACTAAATTTAAGCGAATGATAGTGCATTGTTTTCGAAAAAAACTGTTTGCTATTATTGCCAATAGTCGGAAAACAAATTGAAATACAATGTTACCTACATAGGTTTGTGATGAAAGAAGCACTGTGTAGGCATCTACATAAAATTTAATGCTGCGCAAGCTGCTACAAAAACATTTTTTATTATCATTTAGTACATATTTTAATTTGTAGAAATTATGGTATTTTTATATATAATTATAATAGAAACTAATAATTTTTATAGTCGTTGTTTTAAAAGTTTATTTAAAATCGATTAACTACTGGATGTGTCTGGCTAATCAATAATTAATTTGTTTATTAACTTTGAAATCATACATATATATTTGCATATAGGTAATTTGAGTTGCTAGTGTAACCTATTTTGTTTGTTTTACGATATTTGTCTTAACACCAATCAATATGATTATGATTTTTAGTAACACAGTCACCAACATTTACGTTTCTTGAATTTTTAAAATTATCAACATGAATCTCTATGAATTAGGCAAAATATTTTTGGTTAAATATATAGGTACATAAATAAAATAGAAATTATACTACAGTAAACTAATGTTAGTCATGATATATTATCCAATATTCTTATTAAATTTGTCAATTATTATCGGAATTGTGACCACATTATATAATCACGCATGATTTGACGTTCTTATTTGTAATATGCAATTAGGATATCTTATTAGAATGATGTTTAAATGTCGATAAGTAATAAACTAGTTGAGGGTTTTAATAAAACTTAATAAAAACTACGAATAAGTAACTGAGTTCGATCCGATTTTTAATGTATATTAATATACAAATATATATTTTGGGATTATTAGAATTTCTGTTAATAAAATCTTTTCATTTAGGGAACCCTTTTCCAAATTTATAATTAATAAAAGACATTGTAATCTGAAGTTACACATGAGTAACTCAGAATTATGTCAAATTATATATATTTATGTGTAAAAAAATCTATTGATTTATATACAAGCAAATTACCTTTCAAGAATATTTATGAGCGTATACGTGCTGTTATTTGGATTGGATGTATTGTCTCTGATTCGCAGGAATCTTCTAGTTTTTTACGGAATTTTTAGGTTTGGTTGAATTGAGAAATTGTTGGTAATGTTTATTATTGAAATAGTACCTAATCATGTGTCTTTTTTTTTGTCAACCAGGTTTTTTAATATATGAATAATTTCAGTCAATATCAAATAAATTTTTAAAATATTTTTTGCCATGGTGTTAAAACAAGTAAATAATATATTTGAGCACGTATGATTTGATCGCAACTCTGAAGAAAGCAACAGCACAATGTCACAGCTTACCTCTGACACACCTCCATTATTAGTTGTATGTGTACAAGGACCTGGGGCCCCTGTGCATGCTGTGCACGTGACTAAATCTGCTGCTCCCGTCGAGTCTCGCTTTTTATCACCCTGCAATAATATATCTGCTTCGTCTAACTACTTGCTATTTGATCAAAATGTAGTAAAAGTACTGCGAGATTAGGAGAATGAATACAGAAATCGATAAGGACAATGGGTTGTAATTACAATGTACGAAATTATAGGATTTCTTGGTGCTTTATTAATATTATTTTATAAATATTTATTTTGGAATTTATCTAGTGTCATTGATAATGAAACGTTTCTTATTAGGTATATGTTTTCCTAAACAGTGTTTTTCGAGCATACTTACAGGCTGTAGCAATCCAAAGCAGCGTTAAATAAAATAATGCGTTAGTTTTCGTGATATCAGGTCAAATATGAGGATGTGGATAAATGGTTTGTTTGGGCGTTTCATTGTCATCACTTACAGCACCACTTGGCTCCGGTTGGGGTGTCTCTGACTTTGCCCAATGGAGGAATGCCATCGCCTCCTAAGTAAATTGATAATATCTTACTTTAGCTGAAGCATGACAAATTAGGTTGTTACATTAAATTAACGTTAAAAGTCACTAGTATATTGTATTTTAAAATATCTTTACATAGAAATTGAATAATGTTATTTTGTAAATTGCTGTTAATGTAATGTAACTTTATCTTGTATGACGTGCAGAAGCTGCAATTTCTTTCGTTGTTTTTTATAGATTAAAAGTTCAAGACTTCACTAAAAGCATTCTACACTTTTTTTTGGTTAAAACATTGATATAAGATCAACAGTGTTATTTCATTTGATGAAAAGTATATTTATTTTAATTTGTTTCAGATTCATCATCGTCCATTAATCTTTAGCTCTAATAATTGTAATTATTTTTAATCATTTTTAGAAGGAAACGGTATATTTATAAAAAAGCCATGCGGATGATAAAATTTGTGCATTGGAATATGCGTGTACTCGTAAGTATAGAACTTACTATGGTAGAAAGGGTTGTAATATCACACAATAAAAACAACTGGCTTATTGAAGCGATTACCTATAGAATATAATATTGTAAAATAATATAATTTAAAAACATAAAGCTTAGAATAGCACATGCTCTTAATCAGGCTGTCATCGTTAGTTCATTGCCGTCCGTCATATTTCTTTCGGAGTGGTAATTTTTTTCTTAAAACTAGTTTTTCTACTGTAATATATCTATATATATAATGGAATATATAAACTTTATGAGTGCAACATATACTTTACATTAGTTTCTCAAAGGCATTAAAAACAGGTACTTAAAATAGCCAAAATGTGGTTTAATATATGTTGCAGTTTTTATAATACTATGTTGTGGTGCCATCAATAAAAGCCTTTTAGAAACTTTTTAGATTGTGTAAAGAAATATAACAGCGAAATGTTCGGAAAGTGCCAGTGTATGTGGCGAAGGTTCTTACCAAGGGGCTGGCCAGTATAATGCCAATTCTGCTCAGGACAGCGGGCAGTCGCTGTGAACACATCACACACACAATTTGTTCACTCGTGATAGATGGTCTGACGTTGTGCATATGTGAACGTAGACTATATTGCTATGGCCAGATTTTTGTACAGTACAATATTTTTAAAAATATGAAGTGAGATATATTATATGGGAGGAATTTGGAGATGTTGTTATATTTAATAATTGGGCTTTGTGGTCACTTTTACTTATAAGTGCAATAATTTCACAGTGGTAAATAATGTTTGTTTTGAATGCTCTTCTAACAAATTTAAACGTCTTTAGTGAGTTGTAGCACTAACTTTGCAATGTTTTCTGAGTTTTAACATGTATGAGTATGATATGAATTTACTATGATTAATTGATGAAAGTAAAATAATTATAATAATTTTAGAAGAATAATGGTTAAGAGATATGGCCACACAAGATAGTCTCTGTAGTTTTAGATGATAAGAAAATAGTGAATTTGCATAAAAATTAAAAGTGGAGTTTTTGGCCTACCCAATAAATAAATGTATAAAAAATATTTTAATATACATGCAATAAATTTGAAATATTTGGAGCATGCTTCGTTAATACAAGTAATATAAATTAACAACATGACATTGCTATCAAAGATGTATTTAAAATTTGATGTACAATTTATGCTATGTCTTGTTGTTATTATATTTGAAGAAAACATTGCAAAGAGTAAGGAAGGAATATGCAAATACACGAAGGAACTGAAAGTGTACGAATTGTTTGAAACTGATTTATTTATAAAATTTAAGTATAAATAAAATATATATAATTAGTATTATCAACTATAAATTTATGATAGTTGCCAATTTATAGATGCAAAAAAATTAAGAATATAACATATAACATGAATTTACAATAGACCCTTCGTGAATTTATCAAGTTATCTATCATATGTGATGTATTTTTGTAGGTACGTACTATTGTCGAGTAAAAATGTGCTGTATTAGTAAAGGATATATTGACAAATAATATATATTATACTATAAATGGTTTTAGTATAATATATATACTTTTGTATTTACAAAAATAAAAAAGAAAGATCAGCACTATTTATGTGTGTAGTTTGTACCAATATCTTCTATAGATCTAGTGCTGTTTACACCAAATAGTAATATAAGGAAATACAGGGACAAATATATTTAGGGAGGTAAAAATATTATTAAAATAAAAAAATAAAATTTCAATAATTATTATATGATTGATTGATTTATGACTTTTAATAATATTTCTACATTAAATTGCAATTAGGAAATTGCCAAGTATCTAATAATAAATAAATAATGTTTAACATATAGGTAAGTAAAACACGCAACAATATACATATTTTAAGGGAATTTTAATATCTATAGGTTAGATTGACAAGATAGAATGAATGCCAATTTGAGTTACCACAACAGTGCTTTGGTACCGCTGCTATGCGGCGCTAAAGAAAACAACATCGACCACACGTATTTAAAAATATAGACAGATATTATGTAAATAAATTGAGCACAATTGCTTTTTACCTGTGTAACGGGATTCTCTCCTGGTCGGTAGACCACATTGTGTAAAGGCCGCTTTCTGCCAACGTAATTGACACATACGAACTCCAGCAATGACGCGTAGATGAAACACATGCAGACGCCGTCCCATACGTTCATAGCAGTCAAGTTTGAAACCACCGGTAAAGTTGAACGGAAACCATTTGATGTTGTAAAAAAATTCAACATTGTTGTTACACCTGTTCCCAAAACATTGATAACAGTTAAGATCATAACAAAAATCAAGTAGTAAATGATCTATATTACTTTACAAATAATATTTATGACATCAAAAGCTGACAGTAAAAGAAGAAATATGTGCAAATATTATACAAGCGATATATCTATTGTATAAAGGCAAAATAACGCAAATAAGTCATGCTGTCTCCAAATTAATTATTCATAATAGGTAGCTAACTAATATTAAAAATAATCTATCTAATTTATATTACCGGTTTGTATTTTTCAACAATTTAACATATTTCCCAAACTTACAAATATTTCCAGTAGGAATAATTTAAAAATAATTGTCTAGAATTTAACAATGATATACATACATTTTAACATTAATAAACATTATATCTACTATTAACAACATATAACAATCGGTTTCACTTACATAAGTACGAGAATTGGTACAATGAATTTGAAGCAAATATAATTGTAACTAAATCTGTAAGCAAATTAAACACCAACCTATCATTACTCTAGCAGGCACGGCATTCCATTCCAGCCAAAAAGTAATAAATGATGATGTCACCAAAATGATGCCAGGTATGAAAACTGTGGTGAAGTAAAATGATCTATCCCGCGTGAAGATGAGATCCACTTTCAGGCAGCTGTAATTACCTAAAAATGTTAAGCAAAACCTAAAAATAATAAATTACGATTTAATGTGGGTATCCATTGGCTATATATATTTACATTGCCAACGTGTAAGCTAAACCTGCGAAAAGAAAATAGATAGCGTGTTTATTTGGCAGCCTCAGCGACATGTACATTTAGAGAATAAAAGGTGGGATGCAAGACCGAGAACATTCCCAATCGCCAGCCATTAATTTTACCTATCATGGAACGGGCTGGCACGGCGTTCCATTCCAGCCAAAATGTGATGAATGAGGAAGTCACCAGAATAATTCCAGGGATAAATACTGTAGTAAAGTAGAACGCTCGGTCTCTAGTAAATATTAGGTCGACTTTTAGGCAGCTGTAGTTACCTGTGAAGTGAATATTGTTAAGTAAGACGTGAACACAATACAACGTGATATAAGTACTTGAGCCAGTATCAATCACTGTATTTTGTTCATAAACGGAAAATGGTGGAGGTCATAGGTAAAATGTGGATATAAAATTCCAAATAACTCCATTCAGAGGCCTTGTAGTTAATTCATTTAATTCTTATTTTAGCAATGTCTAATAAACTAACTACTATCCTGAATGTATGAGTAATGCGTGTTGTGTTCATATGCTTATGAATGTAAATCTAGCATCAATGAAGTTTTCCAAATAACAGGAGAGCAAAACTATGTAGGTAATTCATAAACACGTGCTTTACATTTTACATGCATGCGAAGATGAAAAGATGAATTGGTAAACATACAATGGTCCGTGAATGTGTTAGGAATTTATGAGTTGTACCTTTTCTGATGGCTTTCTTTACACCAATCACTTGTATATAACACAATTACGCATTTACTCACACATAAGCGGAAAATATACGGCAAATACGACGATACCGGACAGTACGGTGCATCGTCCGGTGCAACTCAAGTACCTTGCTCCTCAAAGCGTCTCTGGCAAAGATTACATGTCAGCTCTTCATCGTCTTCGTAAAGTGAAATACCATCAGCTGCTTGCAAAGACGTTAACACATTCTTACATTCTAAATTTCAAACTTTACTAACATGTTAAACATTGTATGTGATTAATGTTTTTATAAATCTACTACTAATATTTATTTATTGAGCGTATCACTAAACACCCACGATATGATCAAGTCACTAATGAACATGCGTAATCGCTAGCTATGCTCTATATAATTATTTTAATAACATTTAATAAATAAATCAGGTACATATCATATGCTAGAAGCGTCTACAATATTTGACGATGATATAAAAAAGAAAGTCATGAAAAATAACCTTTTACTTAAATCAAGACCAAGCTGAAAAGAGTTAATCAGAATTTCAATTCTATTACTAAATTATCTCTGATCCTTTCTTGTGCAAAGTATAGGGAAGTGCTTGTAACAAAAGAAATGGATTTGAGGATTCTATTCTACTAAATTTGGTAAGGTATTTAAAAAAAAAAAAGTTTTGTTGTATTATGTAATGTTATATTAAGCGTTGAAATGTTATGTGAGAATCGATTGTGGTGTAGGTTACCTCTCCAACTAGCCTTGATTGGACAGGGAATAGTTTGATTCTGGATGAGGTACGCGTTCAGAGTGGTCAATGAAGGAGACTTGCGCAGAGTATCCTCGTCGTTCTTCCATACGTAAGTAATAGCAGATTGTTCGTATGATACTGGAATGTTATATAATGTTGTAAGATTAAATAATATAATTTAATTGACATTGAAAATAATTATTTTGGTTTTTATATCTATATATATAAAGAGCAAGCTTTTGGGTAAGCACACAAGTATATCCCAAAGGTTCCACTCATTAAATACATGAATAATTTAGATTAATTTAGATAATAAAATATATATTTTAAAATTTATTGCGAGTATTATTTAATTTATAAATTTTGAGCATCACAATAATTGTAAGAACTATGACAAAATAATTTAAATTACAAAATTTTACTTTTTTATGTAATCTAGAATGTAGCTAACAAGCATCACTTGTTTGCCATTCAGCAGCCTCATTTGATGAGACGTGATAACTGTTGCTATTAACGTGGTCAGCAGACACTATCTAATAATTAATGAACTATATAAAATACTTACTACTTTCTAAGGCAAATGAACACAATGGGTCATCAAAAGGAAATATGTTAAGTCTTCCCTGGCAGGAAAGAATGAGATGCCGCCGCATCAGGTAATTAATAGTGCCATTGCGGTATATGCGCAACGCGAAGTGCATTGGGATTATGGGGTCCTGGAAGAAAATTATTTAATTAAAAAAGATATATACATGTAAGTAATAATATAATCTCATACTTCGTGTGTTTATCTTGCGGGTAACAGGTTACTAAAATCGTAGAAAAAATAATGTAAGCACAAAATACGTATTCAACAAATAATTTGACTGTGTGAAACTATCAGTTACTAGTGTTAAAATAATTTTTATTTTAAAAATATTGTTTATAATAGTAAAAACTGTGAAAGTTATGTCTTCGCACCATGCTAGTAGATAAAGAAAATAAGATCTTATTTTACATCAAATAAAAGCAGAAAATATTATTTTATATGCGTGAAAACGTTACAATATGTCTATTTTTTTTATATAGATCAGTTTTGGGATTAATAGTGGTGTTCTCCAACTGAGATGTTATATTCTGTCTGTAAATATGTTAGTTTCTTGTCACGCTATGTGAAGTTTGTACGACTTTTTAGATTTGATTACATTAGGATTTAACAGATTTGTCTTATTTATAGTCTTCACGTTATTTTTATTAATTGTAATGTTGTACACATTACAATTAATAAAAACAATGTAACTCAATATATATATTTAAATAAAGACCCATTAATATTTCAACCTTGGTGAATATTTAGTGATTTGATTGTATACTTTGTATTTATATTAGTCAAGCTTTTGATAGCAAGTTAAATTTATTAGCATAAATAATCATAATTACTTTATAGAATAATCAGACCTTGAAGTCTCCGTGCATAATGAAGTATGTGTCGGGCAGCCAGATGTCTTCGTGATGATGGATGGCGTTTAGGAAGTCGTAGTGAGACTGGTTAGAATACCGTAGTCGTGGATCATACCATTGTTGTTGGAGCAAAAACTCCACTTCGTATTTCTAAAATGTTAAAAATATTATTGCTCTAATTTTTCATTATAGTATAGAGTGACCTAAATTCAGTCAGTCTAAAACTTATTATTGATCCATTAAAATATATGATATAACACACTAAACTAATAAAACATAATGCGTAACACTTACAAGACTAGATTCGTCTGGAGATGCTAAACTAAGAAGTAGCACGCTAACATTTACGGTGAGGACACCTGGAAATCAATACGGAAACAATAACAATAATGCTATTTATATAATTATTACAAATAGTTTATATGATAAGACAGTTACATTCAACGCATGCTTCTTAGACTAAAGGTGCTAATAGTATATTATTAGATAAATAAAAATCTGATATGATAGTATTTTTGTTCTCATAAAAGTGAGAAATAACGGGAAATGTAAAACTTTAATAATCCGAATTACACAATTCTAATTCAATATTTTAGTAATTGACAGATCCAATATCATAGAAAAAATAAATATTATAAAAGTCACTTTTTTACAGTTAAGGGATAATTAAGTTTGTGTTTGATGTTTGTGAAAAGAGAAAACCATTGACTGTAAAGAATGAGAAAAGCATAAAAAGAAAGAATGAAAACGCATGATATTCTTATACTGATTAGTAGAATTAGATGAAATTGAGTACCTAATAATAATAATATAAATATTAGATATACAAAGATAATAAAATATTAATAAAAAATTGAGACAAATATAGAGAATATTTGTCTCAATTTAAACTCTGTGGAAATCTATACATTTAACATCAAAGCGAGGTGCATTCATATATGTTTTAGAAAAAAATAAATAATAATATAAAATTTGCAAGTTAAATCAAAGCAAAGGAGTGGGTACATCCCTAATATCTACAATTGCGTGTGATAAAGTAACCAACCTGAATACTCGGAGTTGCGTGCAAAGAGTTGCTATATAACATAAAAGACACTACATTGTACATATATAATGCAGGGAAACTTAAAGATTTCTCTTTTCAGAAACATGAACACAACGCACCGCGATTGTGCGACCGAGGCCGGAGCGAAGAATATCCGACCTTATTTTGAGCCAAAGAGTCGTTGGGCGATGTTAGACCACAACAGAATTCTGGATCTGCAATATTAGATCAATTTTTTATTTCAAACTAGCTATTTATTTAAACAATATCGTGAAAATAAAAATATAAAAAAATGCTTATTTATTTTGTTAAGCAATATAATGTCTACAAAGAAAAGGGCATGATGTAATAACATTGTTTCATAATTACCATCTACTGGTGGAAGCAGTCTTTTGTCATAGCGGGAATTTTTTAAAAGGTTGTCCAGTATCTCTTTGTCCGACTTTCCCGCAGCGAATCTAGAAACAAAGAACAGAATGTGGGCGTTAGCACAATAAATAATTCCTTGGTATTTTATATTTTTCGTCCGTACTATTGGATAAGATTTATGAATAACAAAAGAGGTGTAAGAACGATTAGCTAAAACCGTAGACATTAGGAACAATTTATCAACGTCGCATATCATAGCAAATTAAGCGTGTGGGAACGCAGAATGGCAGACTTGGTATTGATTTTAGATTAGCCCTTATTACCTTGCCACAACAAGAGTTTCTCAACAAGGCAATACATTGAACAAAGCATTGACATATTAAAACAGTACATGAGTTTAATTATAACACAAGCAGTAAGTTATATTTTGTAATACCTATTAATAAATATTATGAATATCCTATCTAGTAAAGGGTATAATATATCTGTGTGTATTATTTTAGTTACATTGCTCTATCAGTAAATCAGTTAGGTACACGGTTAGACAACTAGCTGATATCGTAGTAAAGTTTCTGCAAACACAATAGGTGCTAGGTATGAACAGAAACATAACTGATTCAATTAAAGTTTGTGAGTGTGTTGGGTGTTATATGGCAATACTAGTTGAAGCGAGTTGAAGTGTCCTTATCACTGTCTATTCAGGTATAAATATACGGTGAAGTTTCCATTTATATGTCATAATAAAGTCAGGAAGTAAATAACCTTAATAAGATTTGCTTTATATACAAGTATTAGATTGTAGATATAGAGGTTTCATTTGCTTTAATTGTCAATAATTTAATTCTTACTATAGAGTATGTAACATGTTGTACCTAACGCAAATAATATTTTTATATAAATTATTTTGATATCTATCTGCTCTTAATTTGTTTCTATTGGATACAACAATGTGACTTAAATTAAGATATTTGAACGTAGTTACGATTATCATTACTAGGATAAAAAGATCTATTGAATGTACTAATAATTTTGGACAGTTGTAAGTAATAACAAAAGATTTAGTCCATAGACGATTTACCTACAGTTTTATAGTAGAGGGTCTATAAATGGAGCGAGGAACTTCATGGTTGAGTGGTCGCGCACTGGCCACCGCGTTACATCCGCTCCGTCGCCTGTTACACTCACCTTTTCATGCTTGTGCTCATTAACGAGGGCACAAAGACTTGTCTTTTCATATTACAGTCGAAATGTCGCCTTTATTTTTAATTCTTAAACATACCTACACATTAAATGCGTATATCTATATATTTTTATTTTATTATACTCAAACATTATTCTCTATTCAGTTTTATTAAAAATATCTCTGTATGGTATTATAAAAGCGATTATATTTGAATTGATCTCTGTATAGAATCTATACAATTTTATTGATTTATATTATCTTTTGTGGATTATTAATTTAGTTGATAATCTGGAAGTAAAATGGATGCTAATTTGAGAGATCAAGATTTAATAAAAAGATTTTATTGATTTATATTATACGATTAATCAAATTGTATAGTGGTGATGCTTAATAGATAACATAGTAAATATTTGTAAGTAGAGAATAAATTTATAATGAAATGCTGCAACTGGATATAACAAATGCGTAACCATTTTGAGGTAATTTTTAATAACTATAAGATATCGTTTAATTGCTTAAAATATAGTTGAGCGCAATGATGGCTGGCTCACTTGTCATACTCGTGAATGCGTGCTACTTGTCTGCTCATGTTTATATGTTTATTTTTCATCATTCAATTTATCAATTAATGTACAATATAATCAATTTATGTTGTACTTTATTAACTTCGTATATTTTAACGGAAAAGTTTTTAACTGTTCCCTTATAAATAATGATAATAAAAACATTTGTCTTAAGAAATACGAGCGGAGTTTTTATTAGTTTTATATGTTTAGCGAAAGTCACTCTCGCTGTCGAAGTCCGTAGGTGCTTAAAAAATTATACTATTATCATAGTTTTTCTTGTTAAAGATATATGCAATAACTTACATGTCGGATGTGAGAGCCGAGACTTTGTTGAGCATGAGGAAGAAGGCCACGGCGCATGCCACAACGCATGACCAACCCATATTAGGACATCTGGAAATATATAAGTGAAAATAAATGATTACTAAGTATGTAATATAGGAGATCTGTTGTATACTAGGTAAATAAATTTTTTATACTTTTTTTGTTTTTTATAATTTATAATTATTGTACTAATTCAGAAATAGAACATTATTGTTTATGTTTTATTATCTATGTACAAATGCACCCACATTATATATAAAACATGACATCCAGTCCATCCTGAAGCGTCAATCGCTATAATACTAATATTTTAGTTAGATCTTGTAGTGAAATAATTATTCTAAGGATTAATATAAACTACATTTGTAATATAATTGAGCCATATTATATATTTAGTCATATAAAGCGGTCATATAAATACTTTACATTTAATTTTTACAAGGCAACAAACAAACAAATTCACTTTCATATTTATAATATTAGTAAGGATTGTTATAATAATGTTCAGGAGATTGGAAAGTTCTAAGTCCATGAAGATTTTGGCAAAGATAAAATAGCATCACTTGTTGTTTATTTCCAGAAGATTTAATTCTATTTAAACATCGATGGCTTTGATTATTTAAGTCAAATAAACTGATAATATTCATGAAACTGAGCGTTTTAAAAAGAGTATAGTCGAACTTTATTAGCATGAAAGGTCTCGCGGTTTATATAAAAGGTTCAAAGACTATTTTCATGTTCGACCTTTTCATTAAGGAAACTTTGATAAATGTTATCGTTGGATGTCGGTTTGTTCTCTTTTCATTATTCGATGTAAGTGAAAGTTGGATGGATTCAATTAGTGATATTGCTCCACGACTCATTCCGAAATCAAGAAGTATATTTCCTTTCTGTAGATTTGTATTTATTTTTAATGTTGGTTTGTTTCTGCTTTTGTATCTTTAGGTCATTATTTATGTTTGCCCCACTTAGTGCACCGTAATACCGTAGTAGGTATAGTTGTTTCAGTACCGTACTCGATAGAAATTATGCTATCCACTATTATTTATACTGTACTTAGACGGGGGTTTTGCTAGTAGTTCCCACGCTTGGCAGGCGAGTTGATAACCGCAGTTAGGCTTTTGGGGATGATTTAAGAAAGACGCTGCTGCCCGTCCCTCGAGTATTAAGTTCCCTTAACCGTCTCTTACGACGGGAATGGAAGGGGCGGCCTATTCTATACCGGGACCACACGGCTACTATGTATATATATATATATATATATATATATATGTGTGTGTGTGTGTATATATATATAAGTATGTTTTTTAGTGTTACCTAATAAAATTATATATATAGTTTATAATTACATAAAAATGTCTTACGCTGAATACTCGGAGCTTAATGTTAAAGCTTATGTATTTTTTTTTATCTTTATCAGTATAATCTATAATTTTCTGTTAGAATGTTCATTTTTTCTTTACATAAAGTATTTCTATTTCATATTTACTGTAGTCTAGGGAATAAATATTCAAATCTTTTTCTTTTACCTTTATGTACTAAAAGAACAAATTCACCGCATTTTAAGTTTCTCGAATGCTTTGTTTACGAGCGTAATAACTTCGTAGATGTAACTTTATTTATCTGCGTCTATATTATATCGAGGTGAAATAATTTAGACCGGTTTGTTTTGATTTTTAAACGACATTTATAAGATTCTCAATTTATTTGTTTTGTTTTTGTAATTATGTTACGCGATTACGGCATCAATTTCGAATCGATTTACAAAACTATTTTCTTTTGTGTTAGTTTTATACTAATTTTGTAAACAAAGCTGCAGTATTTCTTTACGGATAAAAACAACTGTTTGTTGCATATAAACATAGATTGAAGTAGTTTTTTTTGCGAGGCGAATATATCTACAAGTAAATAATATAGAATTGCTTGTTTGTTATAGTTAGTATATACCATAGGATCATTAAGCTCATTTACTATGCTAATAGTACATACATATAAAATGCTAGCAGCATTATAATAACATGAAAATATTTAAGTCAGCTGTATGATTCATTAATATTTAAAACGTGTTCGATGTAGGTAATTAATGTGTAAATGCATAATTTTTAATAGAATATTATCCTCATCATAGGGCGTCATGCAAACCTCAATGTTCCTGGCTACGAATAGCGTGCCGCAAGGCCACCATGAGCTTTGTTTTTTTGCTGCTAGTGCTAAGTACCTATTGAATACATGACCCACTTTAAATGTTTTATTTGTATGACGTCAATTATTATAAAACGTATTGGATGTACCTACAAACGAAATGTCAGAAAGATACATAATTTTACTAGAGATAAGCTTTGCCCAAATGTTGCCTAAATATCGAGAGATAGTAAGAACTTCTGCCACACTAGCGTTTCAGTCAAACACTTGTGTTTGGATAGCTGAATATTTAAAGATGTATGATATGTCATTTAATGGGTCAACTTAATGGGTAATGATATGAAGACATAATACCTTAATTTATGGAATTTGAAAGTAGGTCATTTAAGGAACAGTAACGCACGAAGGGCACCATGGGCAGCACAGTCTATTTTATATAATCCGTGGAGTTGTTTATGACTATATGCGATAGTTAGTACTTTCAAGGAGTATTATATGAAATTTTAGTTTTATTTAACTTATCACTTGTTCTTGTGAAATTTCCTGAAATACTTATTTAAATGCTCACTTCTGTTAAATAAGAAACTGTTTGAACATTTTCGTATTTCTAGACTTTATAGTTTCAGTTAGATGTTGTAGTCAGTAAGATTTAGAATTGCCTAAGACATCGTTTAGTATATACCCAAAAAATTACAAGCTAATTAAAAACTTTTATTTTTGTGATGATGCTTAAAAAGCTTCGTTTTATCCCAAGTTTTGTACTAATTTGAACATTTTATCTTAAAGAATGAACGCAGACAGGACCACAAAAGCACATTTAGGTGTAATTGTAGTCCCTTATATTTGTGGTTTTAACTAATCCCTTGACATATTGTTGCAGGATGTAACAAATAGCCTTTAATTTTTCCTCGTCAAACGATGTTGCCGTTATAACCTTAAATTTGTTTTCGTCGACTCGAAGGCTGAGATTTAATAGGTAAGTGAGCCTCTTAGAGTCCCGTAATCAATAGTATAAGGGAATTTATATATTGTACTTTTTTTACTTTGTGTCATGACTATACATGCTGTTATCAAAAATTGTCGTAAATCGGACTTGAATCGTGTTCACTAGGTAAGCGCCACGGTTGCTAAAGGTATTGTTTAAAATGCAAGAACGTGACGACTTTTTTTTAAATATATTGATTTCAGTAGTTTTAAACTAAACTTTTAAATCATTATTTTATTTTCCAAACGTCCAAATTAAATGTCCAATGGATGTCTATATATATCGACCTCTTACTGTACGATAGCAAGACATTCGAAACAAACAACGGCAGCTTCGATTTATCGAGTAGGTATGCTTAGATACTCCTTAGGGACATTCCTAGATTGAAACTCTTTATCAAGTTTACCGATTGTGCTATCCACCAATGGACGTAAAGTTTTTCGATATACTTTTGTTGAACTTTAAAATTGGATTTAGAATGTTTGAATGGTCTTATGTATTTCTGTATGTTTATTTATTAATAAAGTAATTCACAACAATTAACTGTATATATATATATATACAGTTTTTTAAAATAAGGAATGTTATTCTATGTTTAAAAAAATCCTCGTTAGCAATACAAGAAAAATAGTAAAAAAACACTGTCCAGAAATTCCCATTACTGCTATGTTGGAAATAAAAACAAACATAAAAAAGTCCAGTAATTTCCATTATTGTCGTGCTGGGAATTGCTGACGTGTTATTTAGATTATGTATCTACCGAAAGAGTTTAATATACTCGTATGTATTTTTTAATATTAAAGCAATTTTAGAGTAAATGAAACGAGAGAAAAAATCATTTATATGTTAGGACTGGAAAGGGTAGAAAGATAACAGTAATATTTAGTATAGTATACAAGAGAGCAAACATCGTAATTCAGTATGAAACTTTAACTAAAAACGTAACTAGGAGGGGGTTGATGGGGCTTGTGCCCCGGGATTTTGGGGGGCACCCAAATGGTAATTCATTTAAGTGGGTGAAAGGGGAGCAAAGGGGTGAGGTATTGCCCTGGGCAATATTTAATCTAGTTATGTCCTTGTTCTAACTCTTATGTCTAACATCGTGACTTGTGATTAAATTTATTTTGTCAATTTTTAAGTACGATTACAGGAAAACCGAGGCTCTGAATAGTTTGTACTAATAAGAATAATACTAATTACCTTTCTGCTGACTGCAGAGTGTTGTGGGCATGTGGAGATTTGATCAACCTGCCCGAGCTTCCTGTTTCCGTCGCCACAACATGTTGCACCGAAAGGTCTGAAACAATACATAATTGTTAAGTTTGATGTAACCAAATGTAATATCAGAGAGATACTAAAAAGATTGAAAACTAGATTGTCAAGTCATATGAAACTTTATAATAGGTACCTCTATGTTTGCATTATACAGAGTAAAAAGGAAATCGTTTGCGGTGCGTAAAACTAAGAACCTTTTCCTGCTCTAGAATGTATTACTACAAGTAATCTATTAATCACAAATTGAAAATGATAGATATTTTGTTATTCCTATGCCTAATAACTATGACCAGAGGGAAGGAATTGTTAGTAATGGGGAGATTAGTCCCCACTGCTATCAATATACCCTATCAAGTCGATCTCCCGCAGTTCCCCATGGAAACCATCCCGACTAATTTATCGTTGAATTCGTCACGATGGGCTACCTGACCTGTCTTTTTATCCTCACTAATCATTCCTTACTGGCGTCTCGCCAGTGCATACCGATAGTGCAGGCGGGGTACCATTTCATTATTATCCATAAAAAATAACTATTTCATTTCTAGAAATTCAAATTTGTTGGTCCGGTACATATTTTGCGAAATGTTTACTGTCGCTGGTAGAACTGTATAGCTATTATAATAGTACTAATCTACTGCAGTGCACTTTTAGCCTATACTAAGGGAGTTAAGTATGTTTAAATTATAGATACCAAGTATAGTCAAGGCTATTTTATAAGCTTTATTCTACTAAACCTCTCATTATTTAATTTTACGTTAGCACTTTACTGTTCCATTGATTTTGCCTATCCTAATGGGAGACAGGCGTGACAGATATGTACTTTACTGTTAAATTCGAATATTGATTGTTGACAAATGTAGGTAATTATTGACGAGCAATTTAGAAATGTTAAAGTCGTGTAACAAAATTAATGAATTCGCTCTATCCTTAGATAGTGATCTATATAATAAAATAAGGCTTACATTAGGTTTACATATTAAATGAACTCGTACCAACGGGAGACAGTACCGCCCATGACCTTGGGTATTCCGTGCTGCCAAAATACGTCCCATTGTGAAAATTAAAATGTCTTTTATACTATTGCTCAAGTACATATATTGCCATTGATCCGACTAGTAAATTACTCACAGCCCTTTTGTGCTTGTAAATGACTAGCAATAATTTGAATTGTTTTATACATGGTATTAAATTCAGGTGTTATATATAGAAAAGGTATTAAATTTGTAACACAGGGTGGAATCAAAATCAATAGTATCTTTTGAAAGAAACGGTTTAGTAGTGAAATTGGACATTTATAATGAGATTTAGAATACCATACTGACTTAATAGATAGACGTGCTATATTTGTATAGGAAGTACAAAATTTGTTGTCATATTTCGATCTTTGGGCAAAATTTTCAGTTACATATAATTATTTTATTTTTAAAACTCTTGTCTACTTATCATTTGTATACTTTATAATATTTAATTTACTTATAATAATTCTTAGGGATTTGAAGAAATTAATAAAGTCAAGTATGTACCTACTTATTGAGACATGTCAAACGGAAATGGTGGTTAGTTGTAAAATAAGCTCAATTCTGTCGATTGTATTAACTGTGTTCCAAATAGTGCAGTTTGTGGACAATAAAACGCATCTATGAATTAATAATTGATAAACTAAAATAATTGCCTAACAACACTTGACGGTTTCCCGTCAAAAAGATCCCTTCAATATATACAATTCTGTGCAAGGCCATGTTTTTAATTTAGATCTTAATTTTCTGTACCCATATAAATGTTGGCGTCTGCTCAGCCCTATTCCGCAATAATGTCTATACTTACCCTTTTTCATCGGGTTACTCTCCGTTTTTAATTAAATCAACAACAAGCATTTCATTTTACATAATACCATGATATTATATTTCTACGAATATTTAATATTTTTTTATTCGTCATAAATTACCATGATATCAACAGAGTCGCTATAAGTCATAGATAACTCGTATATACAGCAGACTGAAAAACTTATTATAACTTCAAAATGAAGAAGGATTTTCACGAAACTTCATTTTGTTACGTATTTTATGACCTACCGATGGTTACGGGTTCTATCCTCGTACAATACAAACATTTATATTCATGAGTACGTTTGTTTGTATTGGTCTGCGCGTTTTATATGTAATACGTATTTATGTAAGTGTATCTATCGATTGTTTAGAAGCTAACACAGTACAAGTTTTGCTTACTTTGGGTTTAGATGGCCGTATTATGAAATATGTGCAGGATTTATTATTATTACCTTTTTATGTCTTTGTTTCTTTTTCTTATTTATTATAGAAGATTTTAATCAAAGTCACGAGTTACAGCTGGTCCTTTAATGGTCGATAAAAGTTTAGTAAGACCACCTGTGCTATTGGTATACGCTCGTAAGGTAAGAATGGGATGGGTGAGGATGAAATCAGGTCAGTTAGCCCATCGTGACATGACAATAGGTATTAATCACGATTGTTTTCAGAGGACACGTCGTGGAGGTTGATTTGAAAGGGTATACTGCTTGCAACAGAACCACTAGTGCTCATTACTATATAATTTAATTACTAGTATCATAGTTTATGTAATATTATAACATAGAGAAATTAAAAACTAATATTATTATTGTTAACTGCACACTTTTAGTAATAAAATAAAATATTTCTCGTATGTAAAGCCAATGTTTAGTAAGATAAGAAGATTATGGTAATGTGGGATTCATCTGTAAATCTTTGGGGAGAGCTTGGGTCATTTTGCAATATAAGTACCTTCCATTGTAATGTAATTGTATTCTGTATTTTAGTATTTATCCGCGACTTCGCGTGCGTAATTGCGAAATATTGATTAGGATAAAAAGTGGTATTATGTATTTCTTTCTTCATCATAATTAATATATTTTCATAATTTTAAGAGGTAACAAACAAACATACTCTCTTTCACATTAGTAAAGAATTTTATCATATAAGTAAACGATGGATATAGGTATATTGTATTATAATTAAAGTTATGTAAAGTTTGTATTTAGATAGGTACGACTGTGTTGTTGTCATACCTATTAATGTCACAATTACAATTGATGTGGACGACCTTTTGAGGTATTTTTATTAAGTGGAAATGTCACAAAAATATTAATAGTAATCGATACAATAAGATATGGCGCTATAAGATTGAAATATAAACATTATTACTTATAAACTAATTTCTTGGCTTCGCCCACTATACATGACAGGTCTATGTGACGAATTCGTGTATCTATCTACATCTATGTAGATGACACAACAATTTGGTTATTGGGTCAGCTAGTGGGGAATGTGAGCAGTAACTAACATAACACAGAATATCTTCTTTTGAAATTAAAATATTTAGGTATAATAACAATACTAGAGTGTACATTTTTTATAAATTGCCTAAAGGTTTATATAGCAGATGATTGGTATCAATTAGCGAATCAACGACCATACGCGATTCGCTATTTATAGCGAGACGCTGATTACCACCATATGTAACTAACAATCGCGTCTAATGGATATTAATACAACATGGTTATCATGAATACAATGAAAAAAAGAGTCATAAATTCTCATATGTTAAAAATTGCAACGGTTATATTTCTTTGTGCTTGTACAAAATAACAGGTAAGTATAAAATGCTAGACAACAAACGTCTAAGGCCATAACTCAGAGTTGAGCGGATCAGGTTAGCAAATTCGCCATCTCATGTATGTGAAGCGAATAATCACCGCTGCGCTGCCCTCTGCGTAACTCTGTCCTGTTTTGCAGGTCGTTAAAGGAAATATTTTTTATTTACATGTATTCAATTATGTATTATACATGAAAGTATATAATATCTATGCGAACGTTTTTATTTCAGTTATGATATAAAGCCGCTGAGCTTTCACGCTTATTATTCCACTAAATTTACCCTCCGACACAATCTATTTCGTTTATTTGTATTTGTATTCGCGAGTTCGATATTTGCCCTACACTTAATGTTATTTATAGCGAACTCCTACTGGTATTGATTAAACTAAATAACAGGGTGAAAATAAAGAGACGTTTATTAAGAAAAATATTGTATACATATAATGCTTCAAATAGAAGGCATTGGAGAAACTTACCATCTAAACGTTGTAGGTAGATGACCTTGGTAGTTTATGATTGTAATCCATAGAGTAGCATGTAAAGAAATGGAGGTCATGCCATGAAATTGGCCCGAGGCGTTTCCTACATCAGTGTGAGGCGGACGTCTATTAAATATTAAATAGGGTTGTTGTATTGTTCTTAGGTAAATGACGTGTAATAATTTTGGATAGACACACTAATCTCTGTTAGAAATGTGTAAGGAAATAATTATATTTCTAAGGTAAATAGGAAATACTAATATAAATATATAGTAGAGCAGTAAAAAAATTGGTGAATGCAGAGTTTTATTATTATTTCATATTATCATCATATCAGGTTTTATCTGTCCACTGCTGAACATAAGCCTCCTCCTTGCTCGTAGTTGCCACGCTTGCCAGGCGGATTGGCAACCGCATTTCGACTTTGCATTAATTATATTTTTTAGATACTAGGTGTACTCTATGTCTGTAAAATGTATTTTATCAATTTATTTCTTGTTACAGATAGGCATTGTAGTTATAATTTGTAAGCTACTCTTTCAAATATAAACATTATAAAGAACATCAAAACATATCCTAATATGATATATATAAGATTATAGAAACGACATTTAAGAAATTATCAAAAATATATGATGCAATTGTTATACATACATTATTATATCAACTATAGTACTGTTATAAGAATAAGGACTATTTATTCTTATGCTACTATGTAGAAGAAAATATTTAATAAAATATTCAATCTATATAATATAGAAACTACTTACATTAAATCAAGTCGATTGCTTGGGTACCTCTGTCCCATTCGTGTTTCAACCGAGAAGCAGTTGTGTTTACTGGGTACAGAAGAATAACACCTGAGTCCTCAGGAATGGCAACGCATGGGA